GCCGTTGACCCAAAAGGTGGTCAAGTGCTTCGAGGCTGCGGCGACTGCCACCGGGTGCAAGGTGGAGTTTGATTGGTATGCTATGCTCAGGGGCCCCGGGAAGGACATCACTAACAGTGAAGAATAGGGGCATCTCGTACGCGGATCTGAAGACCAATACGCCCATCTGTGAGAACTACGTTACTGCCATGCGCGCAATGGGCCACCATACGATTTTTGATAACTCGGGGAAGAAGGGAATCCTTGCTGGGGCGTCGACGGATATGGGTTCGTATTGCAAGGGTCTTGATTCGGCTCTAGGGACCACTACTGACATTGTCGTGCAGGTAACGTCACCTATGCGGTGCCCGGCTTTCATGGAATGTTCACCATCCCCGCTGAGGGAGTGAATCATACACCGCAGTTTACGAATGGCGCTGGATCGCCGGAGGGGTATAAGCGTAGTCTTGCCTGTGCCGCTGGCATGGCGGTTGTTGCATGCCAAATCTTGGTGGATGATCAAGTTGCCGCGCAGGTGAAGAAGGACTTTGAAAAGGATGAATAAGTTTGGTCAAGGTAGGAGATGGTTCTTAGTGGATATGGGTCACGTAATGAATTCGCAGTAATATCAGATTTCTCAGGATCTTCATCTTCTCAGTAAATCCTAACATGATATAATTAATACCCAAGTCTCCGGATATTACACTCTGTTCAGAAAGACATAGATTGGACTCCAGCATTCACAAGTGCGACATAGGAATACAATCAAAAAGAGTAAAAACATCAGTAGCCCAGTACTTGCATCTATCATTTCTTAACCAGATCCCCATAACCAGAGACACATCCTAATCGCACTACAATCCTACCAATCCACCACAACCCCAGACTCCAACTTAACAAGTAATCCAATTAGACCGCTGAGCGGCAATCTAGCCCCAAGTACAATCTGTTACTTTCCAAACGAAAACCCCAGCCCCTCACGTAGGATAGAACTAAGACGAACATAAGCCAGACCCCAAATCTCCCTACTTCCCACCCTGCCCAGGGAGTCAGGGTAGCACCAACCCCCCCCCCGAAGCAGTAAGAGAGCAAGCAGTCGAGAACCGAACCGCCACCACGTCAAGCCAATGCTTGGGCACCACGATCCCGATCGTGCGTGCCATGCAGGCGGGATCCACCCCAGAAAATATTCTCCGATGACAGGTCCGATGGATAGGTCTGGATGCATTCTCCGGGTGCTTCGTGGTTGGATTGTCGATTTTTGGATCCGGTATGTTCCGGGTTGTTGTATCTATCTATTTACCTATCATATAGAACCAGAATAGGGATGAGGTATACATGAGGGTTAAGTGAGTGGTGAGTAGATAGTTAGTGTACTGGCGGGGAAGATCCATCGACCATCGTCACCGGAGCCACGTAGTCCCGTTCGTGATCACCATGATCTGCGAACGGGGTTCCCCTGGAGAGTTATGGACTCATGGAGAGAAAGGGACGCATCTAGTGAACCATAGTAGATGTGAGCTGGCCCCGGAATTGCGGGAGGTAGGCCCGATCCCTACCGATCCGACTCGTGAAGATCAGATAACCCCAGATATGTACTGGCAATAGAGGAAACGGCCTGGCCAGAACAGGGACTACTGTATTTAGGACATCCGCCACATCCGGGCGACTAGTGGATACATCTATCTAGATAACCAGAATGACCCACGAGAGGATCTTGATCCAATCCAAACACCCAAGTCAGGCATGCACTCTTTTACTACTACTGATATATTCGGGAATATCCGGATATAGATCTAGACCTAGCACCACCACCACTACTGGATAGAAACAAAACACAAGTACCCAAAATAAAGCACACCGAAGTACATCCCAACCAACATCCCAACACCACCGCCCAAAAGGGAACCTTCGAGAATCCTTCCAGAACCAGCCCAGAAGACGGCAAGTCTTGGCGGGGCCAAACAACCCCTCATCGGGGCGATGCATCTCAGTCGATTTCCAGACTGCCTTGTCATAGGATAAGGCTGGAGGGGGTAGCCAGACTTGGCGCCACACGCGACTCGTATACACATCCAGTTAGTTTAATTTGTTCATTTTAGCTCTTCATGGATTTTCTTTTCTTTTCTTTCATTTATTTATTTATTTATGTATTTATTTATTTTTAATTCTGTTTTATGCTGGGGTGGATCTAGCCTCTAGGGTAATGTAAGGGTAATGTAGGCCGTAGGAGGAAGCTAGGATCAGTGATGTTCGTTCGGGTTTCTTGCCTGTTTGATTTTTTTATCGTCGTCGTGCTACTTTACTATCGTGGTAAGATCTACGCGTGTTCCTGTCTAGGTTATATTACATTTACATAAAATATATACTGTGTATAGATAGATTCTAACCAGACTACTGTATCCACCAGAATCACACCGTAGACAAAACCCTAACATCTATGATAAAACAACATCCCAGAATGGACGATGCCAAAGCTTGACCTCCAGAAACACGCCCCTCCGGTCTCTCTTTAACCTGACTCGTTTTGACTTTCTGATCCATGGGTCTAGGCTTGCCTTTGAGTTTAAAGTGACAGGAAGGTTTACGATGGACATGGTTCCGACATGAGGTGGTGTCTGTATGTCTCCGATTCTGGGGTTCCTGGGGAATGAAACTTTTTTACTTTGATGTGTCGGGTGACCGTGGGGTTGAGGTGGGTTATACAGTAGACTATACATGTTCGATTTATGAGCTGGTCATTGCGTCTACGATTGCTTTGTTGGGGGGGGGGAAGCAGGGAAGAGGCAACGGGTATGTTATCATCTTTTTTTTTCTTTTTTTTTTTTTAACAAAAAATCTAAAAAAAAAAAAAAAAGTTAGAGAAGAATTATTGGCCAATTTGTCCTAGAGCATACATCATTTACATCACTGGAACAGCACATACATACAGTGAACTTCCCAAAACCGGGAACATTACACACCTGATGAGATCAGACACCAACTTGATAGAACGATAGATCAGACCCCGTATCGGAAAAAGGAAAAAACACCAAGACCCGAATAAGGCGCCAAGCAACCCATGGAACCAGCCATGTCGCAATCCATCTGGAGGATCAGTAGTGAGGGAGTCCGAGGAGAAAGAGAGAGAATTTACCCGGGGTCGGTGGGGGAGTACTCCGTCTGACAGATGGGGCACTTGTAGCGGCCATAGGTGAACCATGACGCAAGACAGGAAGCGTGGAAAGCGTGGTTACACTGGTTAAGAACGAGGACACCGCGGTCGCCGTCGCGGTACCGGTACCGCGTCCGATCTGACTCGAGCAGGGGGGGAGTGTCAGCGTCAGGGGTCAGCGTGTCGTGACGGTGGAGAGCGGTGGTCGAGCGTGAATGAGGAAGGATGCAGGCGGGTTCTGGAGAGGACGGCAGCGTGTCTTGCGAAGACGACGGCACGACGAGCGTCGAAAGGCAGATGGAACTGGCAGACAGCAGAGAAACAAATCAGAGAGCGTGAAAACAGACGAAACGGGTCCGGATGAGAACGGCCAAGGCCACTAGTGCCAGCCCTGTCCCCGCATCTCCAGGGCCAAGACTCCCGGCGTGCTCCAACAGTGGGATGCGCAACCCTACCAGGTTTCCTGAGCGTAGTGTCGCGGCTGTTGTGGTTCCCCATTTTCCGATCGGGCCAACTCTTCCAGCCATCGTTCCACCGTCACCTGTCGCATGCACCCATTGGCCTGAAGCAGCTGCACTTCACTGGCTCGTCTGGCCGCCGCTCGTCGTCGGTGATGCCACATAATCAGTCTGTCCTGGATGGTCAACCGTTTGCTGGTACTTGACAGGGAAAGGTGACAAAAACAAAAAAACAAAGTATATCTCGAGGTGGATGGATGAAGAAGTAGAGCATGCGAAGAGACCCAACAGCCAACACCGGTAGATGACCAGTCCCAATCGAAATGCATGGAAGATTCTCTCCTGCAGCGGGGATCAGGGATGCGACGAATGAACTCACATAGGAACCAAGCTAATGGCGCCAAAGATCAGCACCGCTCCGACCACGACACCGGCGATTTCAGCGCCGGGCGGATCACCCGCCATAGCACGAGCGACACGACGGTGGTGATGTCTCGTGTCAATACGAGAACGACCGCCAGGCGCAACTAACTGGCGACAGATCCAATAAGATGTATCACTCGCGGAGGATCGGATAGGTCGGCTCGAACAGCGGCGTCGGGAGTCGCATAGGGCCGGTCAGCACAACGATAAGAGTCGTGGAGTGGGGGGAGAGGGGGGGGTCAGGGGGACGAGTAACCAGTCAGAGAGAACGAGGAAGAAGTATTTTTGGCCGATTCTCAGAGCGATGGGGGCTGCATTTCAAGCGGCGACTGGCTCTCAGACCCCCTCCCAGTTGCGTCTGGCCAAGACTGACCAAGCGTGCAGAGAAGCCGAGGCGGGAAATAACCCAAGAGGTGCCAAGCCTCCCGCGCCCCGGAACGCGCTTGGCATTCCGCTGGGTCGACGAGGGTCTGGCCAGTCATTTGCCTCTGCCCAGCGTTAAGCGACTCTCACGTGGCGACGGCATTGGTCGAATGCGTCATAGTCCAACCGCCGTTTGCCTCCAAACCCAAGGTTATGCGCCAAGACCCGCGTGCTGTTTTTAACCCTCATTGGCGCTTGGCTTTTTTCTCGCCAGTTTACGATAATCCAAGGGCATCCATGCCAAGAGATGAACCTTTGTTCGCGTCATTCACCATGAACAACATAACATATAAACCCGACAATCCCCCCCCGGCCTGATCCAGAATGGAAAAGAACGAAAAGGCTAAACCCTCCCCTCCTCAATTCCTCCCCGATCCATCACTACTCCCGTTCACGGTGTATCTCTACCTGGCGTAGGTGTATGGACTCGCATTGCCTGGAGGATACAATCTATATGGAGCCTCCCTAAGGACAAGCCCCACTATTAGATTCTATCACGTCACACAACCCTTCCCTCAACCCATTAAACACAACTACAACTGCACATAGACACACACCACACTATGTCTCACGACGAGAAGAAGGCTGATACGGCTCAGCCGTTATCACAACCTGCCCACGCCCTCTCCTACACGGCCACCCTCCAAGAGCTCTCAGTGAACTCGGAGGAAGGTCTCACAACGGCGGACGCCAAGAACCGTCTCAGTCAGTATGGCCCCAATCAGCTGGAAGGCGGAGAAGGGGTCTCCCTCATTAAGATTGTCATTCGACAGATTGCCAATGCAATGATGCTGGTACGTGGATCTCCCTCTACACACGCGCTTGGGGACAGTGGACTAATTCTGGACAACAATTGTAGGTTCTCATCATTGCAATGGCAGTGAGTTTTGGTATTCAATCGTGGATCGAGGGCGGTGTCATCAGTGCCGTCATCGCGCTCAACATCATTGTCGGTGTATACCAAGACTATGCAGCGGAAAAAACCATGGATTCCCTGCGCTCCTTGAGTTCCCCCACCGGTGTGGTGACTCGCGACGGCAAAACCAATACCATCCCGGCCACTGAGATCGTTCCCGGAGATATGGTCGAGCTGAAAGTGGGCGACACAGTCCCCGCGGACCTTAGGTATGTAACCAGCCAGAAAGATGACCAATAATCCCCGCTAATCGCGTCTGCAGGCTCGTTGATGCCATGAATTTCGAAACCGACGAAGCGCTGTTAACCGGTGAATCCTTGCCGGTACAAAAGGAGGTCGACGCCGTGTTCGACCCGGATACCGGCCCGGGTGATCGCCTGAATATCGCTTATAGTTCATCGACCGTGACCCGGGGCCGCGCCCGTGGTGTGGTGGTGGGAACCGGAATGAGGACAGAAATTGGTGCGATCGCGGCTGCCCTCCACGCCGGGGACTCCAAGAGACGGCCCGTCAAGCGTGGCCCCCAGGGCGAGACCAAGAAGCGCTGGTATGTGGAGGCCTGGACCCTGACCTGCACGGATGCCGTCGGTCGCTTCTTGGGTATCAACGTCGGCACCCCTTTACAAAGGAAGCTGTCTAAGCTGGCCTTGCTGCTCTTCGCAATTGCCGTGGTTTTCGCTATCGTGGTCATGGGTGCAAATGAGATGCGGAATGATAAGGAAGTCATCATCTACGCTGTGGCAACTGGCCTTGCTATGATTCCTGCTTGTCTAGTGGTGGTCTTGACTATTACTATGGCGGTAGGCACCAAGCAGATGGTACAAAGAAATGTCATTGTCCGAAAGCTTGACTCCTTAGAAGCTCTCGGCGCTGTGACTAACATTTGCTCAGACAAAACCGGAACGCTTACTCAAGGTCGCATGGTTGCCAAAAGGGCTTGGCTCCCATCGCTGGGTACATACTCCGTGGGATCCTCTAGCGATCCGTTGAACCCCCAGGAAGGAGACTTGAGCCTGCTACCTCAACCCCCGGTTGAGCTCCAACGTGACACACAAGGAGAGCCTCGGGACCCTCAAGATCTACTGAAGGATAACCAGGTGCTGGAAAACTATCTCAATGTCGCGGCAATGGCCAACCTCGCCCATGTCCACAAGTCGGAGAATGATGAGTGGCAGGCACGTGGCGAACCCACGGATATCGCCATCCAGGTGTTCGCGTCTCGCTTCAACTGGGGCCGTGATCGCTGGACCAAGGGCGACAAGCCGGTTTGGACCCAGAAAGCCGAGTATCCGTTCGATTCAACCGTGAAGAAAATGTCGGTGATTTTCGCCCAAGGTGACCGCGAGATGATTTTCACCAAAGGTGCCGTCGAACGTGTGGTGGACTCTTGCACGTCAGTCATTTGGACTGCTGGCTCTAGCCCCGTTCCCCTGGATGGAAGCATGAAAGAAGAGATCCTGCAGAACATGGAAGCTCTGGCCAAGGAAGGCCTCCGAGTGCTTTGCCTCGCTTGCCGGGAGAATAAGACCCCCACCGACGCAGAAGCAGTTCCCCCAAGAGACGAGGTAGAGAAAGATCTCACTTTCTGCGGTCTCATCGGTCTTTATGACCCCCCTCGTCCCGAAACTGCTGGAGCCATTGAAGAGTGTTACCGCGCGGGAATTGCTGTGCACATGGTGACAGGTGACCACCCCGGTACAGCGCGTGCGATTGCAGCACAGGTCGGTATCATCCCTGCAAACATGGACAGCGTCGCAAAGGATGTGGCGGATGCAATGGTAATGACGGCCAGCCAGTTCGACAAATTGACCGAGGACGAGATTGATGATCTCCCTACTCTCCCATTGGTTATTGCTCGCTGCGCACCTCACACGAAGGTCCGCATGATTGATGCGTTGCATCGTCGTGGCCGGTACGCGGCAATGACGGGTGACGGTGTCAACGACTCACCGTCTCTCAAGCGGGCCGATGTTGGTATTGCCATGGGACAGGCAGGTTCTGATGTGGCTAAGGATGCCTCAGAACTGGTTCTGATGGATGACAATTTCGCCTCTATCATCAATGGAATTGAAGAGGGCCGTCGTATTTTCGATAACATTCAGAAATTCGTCCTGCATTTGTTGGCCGAAAACGTTGGACTCGCGCTCACTCTGCTCATTGGTCTGGTCTTCAAGGATGTCAACGGACAGTCCGTATTTCCCATTGCGCCCGTCGAAATTCTCTGGATTATTATGATCACCTCCGGTCTCCCTGATATGGGATTGGGAATGGAGATCGCGGCACCTGATATCATGAACCGCCCGCCCCAGAGTGTATGTATTCCCTTTACCTCTCTCAGTCTCGTGCACGTTGCTAACACGTATAATAGAAACAAGGTATCTTCACATGGGAAGTCATTGTGGACACTCTTGTATATGGTGTCTGGATGGCTGCGCTGTGCTTGTCATCCTTCTCCCTAGTGATGTACGGATGGGGCGATGGCGACCTCGGAAGTGGCTGCAACACTGGCTACAACGGCAGCGACCACTATGATGGCAACTGTGACACGGTGTTCCGTGCTCGTGCAACAACATTCGTTTGCATGACCTGGTTCGCGCTCTTCCTAGCGTGGGAGCAGATTGACATGCGGCGCAGTTTCTTCCGGATGCAGCCTGATTCGAAGAGATACTTTACCCAGTGGATGTTTGATGTCTGGCGCAACAAGTTCCTTTTCACCGGTATCATGATCGGATTTATCACCACCTTCCCGATTCTTTATATCCCTGTCATCAACCATGTGGTGTTCAAGCACACCGGCATCTCCTGGGAATGGGGAGTGGTGTTCGTGGAGGCGATCCTGTTCTTCATGGGTGTTGAGGCGTGGAAGTGGTGCAAGCGCATCTTTTTCCGGCGCCAGGCGTACCGTCACAAGGACGAGGGCGAGAAGAAACTCCCCAACGACTTCAGCCGGTACACCACGATGAGCCGGTCTGATACCCAAGCAACCAGCATATTGAAGACCGAAAAGTCCATGGTTTAAATAGACGATGCCATGACTTCGTTGCACATTTGAACCCGGGCGAGCCCATCTTGTCCCGGGCGTTTAGATTCCCATTTTCGATTTCCAACATTTATCTTCATCTGTCGGTCTGCCTAACTAGACCATCGCAAAGTTATCGTGGCATCACCTTGCGTTAATGATTAATGTTATCCCTGCGAGACGTGATCATGAGTTGGGTGCACATACTTAATGAGCATAGTTTATAGATAAATACCACTTTTTTTTTTTCTCTGTTCAATCGGGATGTCCTTTTGTAGGAACAGTGAGTAGAACCTTAGTCTGTCGTGGCGTATATCAAGTGAAATGGAAATAAATGAGCATCATCTGCGGCAATGCCTAGTTAGTCCACTTCAAGATACATGTTAGTCACTGAGCAAAAGCGGTGATCTGGGAATACCAGCCACCGGAGACAGAATAGAATGCCCTGTAGATCAGGCTCGAGCGAGTCGGAAGGGCGTGTAGGGAAATAAAACCGGGCGGAGGGCGGAAGGACCATGACCCTTAAGTACGCCAGGGAGGGGGAAAACACAGCACCAGCCTCATGTGATAGCTATTAGGCAACCGTCATTGTTTGGGTGATACAGACCAGAGCAATTGCACCGCTGTCCGCATCATAGATACTTGCCAAGGGATTTCCAAGACATGGGCAGAGCTCGGGGTCGAATCAATTCTACGGGTGGAGGGGACCAGACATCTATAGCGGTCGATCGAACGATTTCTATTGGATCATAATAATGCCTCATAGGATTGACTCATACGAGGAGGGCGCATAGAGTGATTTGATAATCTCAGATGTGGGAGGGGTAAAACAACAACTATTTACGAACTCGCGGCGGCCGGCGCAGCGGATACATTTTCCGACGGAGCAGGTGCCTTCGAGATGGCGGCATCGGCGTCCTTCTCGAAACTCTTCATGGGGTAGAAGCCCCACCGCTCAAACATTTCGCGATCTTCATCCCAACCATTGCAATCGGTCGTCAACATCTTCTCGCCGGTAAAGACAGCGTTCGCACCGGCCATGAAGCACTGAACTTGTTGTTCCTCGGAAAGTGAGATGCGGCCCGCAGCCAAGCGGACGATCGTGGCGGGGAGGACGATACGGGCCGTCGCGATGGTCCGGAGAAGCTTGTCAAAGGAGATCATCTTGCGTTCACCCAGAGGGGTGCCCGGGATGGGAACCAGAGCGTTGACGGGGAAGGATTCCGGGTGGGAAGGGAGCGAGGAAACCGTGTGGATGAGACCGATACGGTCGGAGTCCGCCTCGCCGAGACCCAGGATACCGCCGGAGCAAACATTGATTCCAGCGTCACGGACATGAGAGAGGGTCTTCAAGCGCTCATCGTACGATCGGGTGGTGATAATAGTGGGGTAGAACTCCCGGGACGTGTCCAGGTTATGGTTGTAAGCCGTCAGGCCGGCATCCTTCAGCTCCTTGGCTTGGTTCTCGTCAATCATGCCCAGGGTTACGCAGACCTCCATACCCATTTCGCGGACGCCAGACACCATCTGCTTGACATTCTTGAGACTTGTCTTGCGACCGCGCATGTCGCGCCAGGCCGCACCCATGCAGAAGCGGGTGCTTCCATTCGCTTTGGCAATGCGGGCGGCTTTCAGCACATCGTCCACGGGACTCATCTTCGTCGCTTTCAAGCCGGTGTTGTGACGCGACGATTGAGCACAGTAGGAACAATCCTCACTACATCCTCCGGTCTTAATGTTCATCAAGGTACACATCTGAATGGCGGATGGGTCATGGAATCGACGGTGAATGGCAGCCTGGTTTGGGATGAGTAAACTAGCTTCTAAGATCGTGGTGTCATATGGCAAGAACAATCAAAAGCAAACAATATCCCACGGGACGTAGGCTGGAAAACGAAACCACATACCGCAGCGTAGGTTAGCTGGTTCAACGGGGTCTCATAGATCTGCTGGACCTCTTCGCGGGTCCATGTGGTCCGGGGCACCGTTGCGGCCGTTGCCTCTTGCAGAGCTACCGGGATTCTGCTGGCAATTGAAGCCGCACTGGGGGAGGACTGGACGGTGCCATAGGACCTTCGTAGGATGATCCGAGGAACGGACCGAGGGAGTAGTGACATGGTGATGGTAATGTAGTGCAGAAGGAGAGATGCAAGTCCAATGGGGGAGCGGAAGAAAGGTAGTACTTAGGTTAGAGGGAACACAAAAGCACCATGACAGCTCCCAAGAAGAATTAAGGCCAATGACGCCAAGGGACGGTGAAGAAAAGACCACAACCTCGGGAAAGGACCAAACAGACGAAAAGTGGGTGAGAGGGGTAGATTAGGTAGGAGTCAGATCGTGCTCACCGGCGGGGGGAGGGCCAGAGCTTACTGCACAGTGTTATTCCGGAGTAAATTGGTTTGTTAGTGTGTTAGTGTGTTAGTAGTTTGTTCGTTGTTGATTGTTACTACCTGCTATTACTCACAGTGGGGAGAAAGTCTAATCATTCACCCAGTCAGCGACCACCTGATGCAAAGCAAGCTGTGGCTCAGGAACAGAATGGTTCATTTTCCCTCTGCTATTCGTGGGGTGGTTGTGTTGACCCCAACGAGGGGTTCAACCCATGGACAAACAATCTTTTGGTAGATGGTTGAAGAATCCGTATCGTCATCATCATCATCACCACCGCCGCCGCCGCCATTGTTCAATCACTGCCGCGGTGGTTCCTTGATCGGGAGGTTGAAGACCATGCCCACTTTGGCTTTCCCGCCAAGGAGAGATTCTGGAATGACCAACTGTTGAGGGGTCAATGGATCGTTGACGGAGGCTGTGGATTAAACGCGCAGATCCAGCGGGCGAGTTACGTATTGGTGGGAGGATCCCCACCAGCCGGAGGACGATGGTTAACAGGACTAGTTACGGAGATACTACTACTACTATCATATCATCATCATCGGGAGAAAGGAAACATGGACGGCTGCCTGAGGATCCCTTTCCATCTTCCGGAATGACTTTCCCGTGACCTCCATCGGGGGCCTGCCAGCCGTCACGTGTCCCGTGCAGGCCAATCAGGCTGCCACCTTTGCGGCCCTCGGGCCGTCGGTGAACGAAAACCCGCACGGATTGGGAGAATTCCAAACATAGCGAAGGTTAACTTGGTTGGAGTCACCGGGAAAGCCCATTGAGCACGATGACACTCCCGTTCCAAGGTTAAAATGATCGCCCGTTAGCCAGGCACTCCAACCCTCCGATCTCTCCCTCCTTGAATTAAGTACTCACACGGTCATGTTGTCATGGCATGACCAACAATCGAGAATAGGTACTCAAATAATACTGAGGGGAATTGGTCCAAATGCTACTATAATATATATCCCTTCCGCGTTCAAGGTACTTCGTCCAGAGTGTGTCCACCTGCTTTCCGGAGTAGAATGACTAGGACTCCGTGGTACCCGATAATAACCGTACAAGAATAAGCACTGAAAAATTCAATTTCCCCGACAGAAAGTAAACCGTACGGTGGTCCTTTGGTTCGCTGAAAACAGTATAACTCGTTAATCTCATTTAGGGCCTTTTTTCCCTGTCTCGTCTCCCCTTTTGACTTTTGGTCAGGGGTGTTAGCGGCAATGTATCCGATGTACAGTAAATTACACAGGCATTGTTACTACAAGAGCGCCTCCCGCAGCAACCCCTCGATGGAGCGTAGCGCCTCCGGTTGAGAAGTAACACTCGACATGAGGTACAGAACGTTTCCGAGAACACGCGAGTGCACATTAAACTTTCCGTCGCTCGTCGATAACCGCTGCTGTAAACCTCTGGCGGCTGTCGAGGTGTAGCCTATTTGCGCGGTGGAGACGTCACATGTTAGCCCGGAGCGCGCTGAACGGGGATGGAACAGCATGGATGACTTACCTCCTCCCTGCACGTCTTTCAGCGAGATACTGAGCACCGTTCCAATCGCGAACACGCCATCTACTGATGGCGCATGGGATAGATCACTGACCAGACCATGAGACCAGACACTCCAGATATTAGAGCTGTCCCGCGCACTCAGGGTCGCAGGGGTGTCTGACAAGGTTGGCCTCCAGTCCTGGCGGTACCCATCCCAGGACCCACTGTCTTCCATCCGCATCATGGTCTGCAGCGAATCCACTGCCACCTGGCAGCCCACAGCATGTGCCGTGTAGCTGTGTCCATGGAGTAAAGCATCGCTCTTCTCCGGACTCGAAAATGCCTGGAAGATTTCATTGCTGGCCATCGTGGTACATAGAGGAAGAAGACCACCAGTCAGAAGTTTCGCGTTTACAGCGATGTCGGAGTCGACCTGGAGGAATGAGGCCGAGGATGTACGGCCAAGACGGTAAAGACCGGTGAACACCTCGTCGAAGATAACGGGGAGACCAGACCAGGAGGTGGCCACTGGGTGATCCTTGGCAGAGTTAGCCCCACTTGCGTCAAACAGCTCAGGATGGCCGCGGACAACGTCGACGAGACACCGTTGGAACAGAGGGTCACTAAACAAGCCCGTTAGTCATGGATCTTAAATGACCGTACATATCGATACTGACCAAAACAGCATGCCGCCAGCACCTAGAATGATGGGCTCCATGATAAGGGAACCAAATTTCATCCCTTGCTGCTGAACCAGATCCTGGATAGTATGTCGAATATAGTCCCTGTAGCGCTTTCCCGCAGCCGATTGCAGCCGTTCCTCCATATCAAAAATGTCATTGAGGGACGAGAACTCGAGGCCTGAGCCTAGTGATTCTTGAAGGTTCTCGGGAATGTCGACCTTCCACATTCCTTGGGACATTTTCACTTGCGGGAAATCAAACCAGTACCCTCGGCCGCGATACCATTCGACTTTCTTGTTGTAAGTGGAAGGCTCTGAGCAGTCCATGACGCCAATCGTGTCGCCATGATAGCTTCCCTTGAGACCGAGGATACTGATCTGCTCCTGGCTGGCATCCCATCCGTACCGGTCGCATGCCGCCCGGAGACCCATCTTCACAGCGACCTCCATGCCGGTACTTCCATTATCGGTGTAAAACACCTTCCGGAAGCGAGGGTTGCCGATACTCTTGAGCAAGAGTTCTGCCAACGACAAAGCGGGCTCATGTATATTTCCGGGAAACATTACATGTCCGTACCGTCCAGCGGCATATGCAGCCGACAAAGCCAAGCTCGGGTTGCCATGACCCAAACCTTGCGTCCACCAGGATGCAGATCCGTCAAATGTTGCGCGCAGCTTGCTTTCATGGTGGGACTGGTCCGATTCCACAAACGTTTGAAAGTAGTCATCATAGGCAGAATCAATCGGTGTGATATCCTTGGCCTCCATGCCATGATGCTGCGTGAATGGATACCAGATGGTGTCATGTGCCCGGCTGGCCATCGATTCCAGCCGGTCGATCCTTTCCGCGTTCTTAGCCGATAACTGTTCCAATAAGCTCGCAACATCCGTTTCCTGTGCAACACGACCATAGTATGTGGTCATGGCTTCCTCATCCCGCGCCAAGGAATCTACATCTTGCACTGACGGCTTCGGAGGGGGCGACGGCAGTGGAACGAGAGGAATAGCCTTTTTCTGGAAATAGTTCTGTAAGTATTCATGGTTCTTGTAGTACTCATCGCGAAACAGTAAAACCGAGTGGATGTCGTAGCCCCGAAGCAAAAGCGACTCGTAGGCCGAGATAGACGAAGAGATACCACCCAATCGGGAATCTGCGACTAGGACAATTGGTAGCCGCAGTGGGCGATAGAGGTCTGCCTGTGAATTGCCATTGGGGCCGGGGGAATGGACACCACCGGCCGTTTCTACTAGGGCAAAATTGACCCCGCTGCCCGCCCAGTCAGACAGGGTCTTGTGGACAGAGGCCACGATATCATCATCTCGAGGGATCTGCCGAGTGTTAGTGTTTTGGTACCTCATGTCAGAGGGAATGGTTTCCGTACAGTAAATTTCTTCTGCTGAGCCGCGATATGCGGACTGACGGGCTCGTCGAATTGGTAGAGACACTTAGTCAATGTACCCGCCGCATGGCGTTGGATATGTCTAAGATCATGGATCAGTATGTGTGTAACTAGACAGATTGAACTAGCGGGTTGGCAAGATGGATTCAGCCCACGCACCGATCATCTGCGTCATCCAATGGCCCCGTTGAGACGGGTTTTAGAAAGGCCGTCTGATCCTGGGACTTTTGGCGCTGGACCGCGTTACAGAGAACGGTCGAGACAATTGTTTTTCCCACATCAGTGTTGGCGCCGTAAACCTGATGGGCGCGAAGGGAACGCCAGAGGGCAGCTCCCACTGGAGACATCACAGTCAGAGCCGGTAGATGGTACTAGTAAGCACACATCGAATGATCGAGAATTAAGAAGAGAAGTGAGAGAGAGGAGGCGAAGGAATCAGTAATATTAATAATAACGACGATAACAGTCAGAAAAATAAAAATAGTATTGCGTACTTGGAGTACAGCCTACTACTTCATAGTCAGAGATACGAGAGGAGTAAGAGATCCAGAACGAACGGACTGGGTTGAATTGGCCCGAGGTATTCAGGCAGCCGGGGAGGGAGCCACACTCTCCAGGCATTCAGGCAGCCCGCCGCGGTCCCCCCCCCACCGGTTGGCCCTCAACGGCCTGTCTTGTGGATATTCACTCTTTTTTTTTTTTTTTTTGTTTTTTTTTTAATCTGTTTATTTTTGTTTTGGTATTTTCTTTTTCCCCCCTTCCCGCGCTTCAACATTTCTCGTCTGCATCCAATCCCAATTTTTTAGGAGAGATCTTCTTTATTCTAGCGGGTCGCCTTATACTTTTACCTTCAATGTGTCAAAACTCAAAACAGCCTGCATCGTACCCTAGGTATCTTTTTCCCCCATAGTTAGCAACTGGTCTACCGAGCCAAAACTTCTGATGAATTGAATCATGTCTGGTATTATGGATGGGTCAGGAATGGTTCCTATAAATATACCTCGATTACAAAATTAGTACAGACTATAGTATCACGATCTTACATTGTAACGAATTATGTTCTCATTGCACGAAATTACGTGGGATAATCAAGAAATAATCAAGAGCAAAAAAGGTTTTCAGTCTTCACACGGAGCAAGCCACCAAATGACGGGAAACAGCAGCTCCACTCTTTTGGCGCAGTTCATTGTGAACATCCCCGTCTCCACGTCTCCGGTGTGAAGGATGATAATGCCCGCAATCCCCTCTATCCGGAGGGGAGGCACCATGCCTATAAGAGTACCCTCTGTCGTGCCTCTTTCCCTCTTGGGTGTGGTAAATCATTTAGTGCCCCTGGCTGCCAGACCCAACCTTGGACCTCGTCACAATGGATGTCTCCTCCCCCAAGTCCCTGCGTGACTCACTGCGTCAGGCTTTACACCGGAGAGAACTGAAATCGGCTCGTCGAAGGCTCACAGTGCTCCCTCAGACGTCGGTGGACTTCTCGTCCAACGACTTCTTGTCACTATCAACGTCGCCAGAATATCGAGCCCGGTTACTAGATCACCTGCAACAGGCACCGCCGCTCTACCCCTTTGCCAGTGGAGGCTCCCGGCTCCTGGATGGCAATTCAACGTATGCCGAGGAGCTTGAGAGCTTCATCGCCGATTTCCATGCTGCCCCCAGTGGACTGCTGTTCAACTCGGGTTTCGACGCCAATGTCGGCGTCTTATCCTGCATTCCTCAGCCAGGAGATCTGATTGTACATGACGAGCTGATCCACGCAAGTGCACGGGAGGGCATGCGTTTGTCCCGAGCAGGCAAACGGGTTCAATTCGCGCACAGCTCACCCGAGAGCCTGGAAGCTGTCCTACAATCAGAGTTGGACGCCGATCCCAAGATCCAAGATGGCTCCCGAAATGTCTTTATCGTGGTTGAATCCGTCTATAGCATGGACGGGGACATCGCGCCGATCCGCGAATTCATCCAGGTTGTCGATCGTCTGCTGCCGAGGGGAAACGGCTATTTTATCGTGGACGAAGCGCATGCTACGGGTACATTCGGTCCACGTGGGGCTGGGGTCGTTCAGGAACTGGGCGTGGAGGAGCGGATATTTATCCGCGTTCATACATTCGGCAAAGCCTTAGCAAGTCATGGTGGTATGCGATCAAAACGACTCCATTTGATATATATGTCCCTGACAGTTCTTCAGCGATCGTATTGTGCTGCTCCGATACCCGAGATTATCTGATCAACTATGCGCGAAGCCTGATCTACACAACGGCGTTGGGCTTCCCGTTCTTGGCCTCCATCCGCACCGCATATGAATTGCTGTCCGAAGGGATCACACAACCTGTGAGTCGTCGCATGTATACACTGATCCCCAGAGGCATTGGACTGACATCGACAGCTTCAACACAAACTTCAACAATTGATCTTATACCTGCGGACCAGATTAGAAGACCTCGGCACCTGGGACCCAGCAGTGTTCGAAGTAGATCACTTCCCGAGATCCCCCATCTTTTCTCTGCGCAGCCCCTTGCCTCGTCAGCTGGCGGCAGCGTGTCAGAAGGAAGGGTATACCGTACGTGCAATCATGGCACCTACCGTTCCTGCAGGAAAGGAACGGGTCCGGGTGTGTCTTCATACGGGTAATACGATGGAGGAAATCGACGGGTTTGTCGACACCATCCAATTATGGCTGAACCGAATGACGGAGAAAAAGGCTGCACGGCTATGAAGGCCGAAGAAGGTTTAATGCCTGTTGATTATGCTTTTGTATTGATTACGATGTGAGTCTGTAAAAGTTGTATTTTGTATATAGTTGGACTGAGGGTAAGTGATACAAGAGCAGCGCAGACTATCAACCCGGGAGCAGTAAGACCAGAAACAGTAAGAAAACAAGAAAAGGAACTAGTGAAGTAAAAAAAGAAAACATGAACAAAGAATGTCGAGCCGGCTCTCGTATGATCAAGACAATTCAATAAACCCAAAATTCGCTACAAGTCGGACATTTCGGGTGCAAATTCCCAGACGTCTCAATCCACCGATCCATACACTCTCCATGATAATTCGTGCCACAGTGACGCCGACACCACACCCACAGATCATCGTCATATACCGTCTCGTAAAGCTCCTTCTCAGCCGCAGTGTACTCCCTCGCTGACCCGCCCGTCACGTCAACGAAAAACCCTAGTAGACAGATCCCACACTCGTCCTCAACCGCCCTTGGCGCCACCATCCCCGAGACAGCGCTCGTATTCAAGGCCTGAGCAGCCTGATCCAAGCTCGAGCTGGAGCGCACCGACTCCTCACTCACAGAGCTGGCGGTCGGCTCTTCATGGTGGCATGGTCTTGGAACCTCTCCCTGTGGACGCCACTCCTCCGCTGACGCTTGCTGTGCCTGCTCCACCGGTCCATGCACCACGTCCGAGTGGAGGGCACCACTAGCCTCAGCTCCCGGTTGCCCCTGCACAAGCCTATTCTCATTGCTGGCCACATCAGTAGTAGTCGTAGAATCACGCCGACCAAGCGAGTACCTCCACACCTGGAATGCCCACTTTCGAGCCAGTCGATACCACTGAGACTGATGGGATTGAGTACACAGCAGCAGAGTAGACCAACCCACTAAGATGCCGCTGATATCCCGACCCTCGTTGAAATACCTGCTACTTGTATTGAGTAATCTAGGGGCTGCTGCGCGGGTGACGGGGCTGATTGTGTTTTTGCAGCGGTAGACACGAGAAATGCTGAACTCCAGACACTGATACTCTGGCGGGGGGTGCATGTTTAGGATTTCGCTGAGTTGGTGCTGCAAGGTGGCTTGTGGGGACATTTTACCATGTTATCCCCCTTCTTTTGTCTTCTTTTGCGGGGGAGGCTCGGATGGGAGTCAAGAACAGCTGGCTGGTGGGGTGGAGGTGATGGGAGGGGGCTACTGATGATATATTCATGTGTTTTGTAAGAGTTACCATGGTTTTAGGTCGGTGAACGCTCATTGTTATGCCATAGTGAGGGTCTGGATGAGCAATGAATGACTGGCCCGTACGGTCAGGGTTATTCATGAATCGTGATATTCCTTTGAACACCACCATCGGCTACTGGTGAGGTATATATATATATAATGGCCTTTTAAGATAGTGTGATCGCTACTAAAGAACACCAAGCCAGCTACCTAGATATAAGCAGTAGTACTTGTTCGTAGTTGGTCAAGAAACAGTTGATGATATCACCCGCGATATACAATCACGACCCCTCCCAAGCCCCTCATTTGAATCATCAACCCAGCCGATCGGCACCAAACCCATTAAGCCATCCACAACACCAAATATGGAAGAAGAAAATATTCTCATTGTCGGCGCCGGTATCTTTGGCGTCAGTACCGCCTATCACCTAGCATGTAGCAGTTCCAACCCTTCTCGGATCACGCTTTTGGACCGCGGCGCCCCTCCGTCCACGCCGGCCGCATCAACGGATATCAACAAGATCATTCGCGCGGACTACTCCAACCCACTGTATATGAGTCTGGGGTTTGAAGCCATCGAGGCCTGGAAGTCCCTCCCGTTTTTCCAGGACGCGGGTGTCTATCATCAGTCCGGATGGATTGCGATGGATGAGAGAGGCAGTGATCTGCCCCTCCGTATTAGGAAGAACTTTTCGGAGAGTGGTCGTGAGGACGTGATCGTCGACATGACTGAGGAAGAGATAAAAAGTCGTTGGGGTGGACTGCTTCAGAGAACAGATTGCAGTCCGTTTGGGTCATACTATTTCAATCCCTCGGCGGGATGGGTGGATGCCGGCAAGGCATTGGCCATCATGGCTAACGAGGCCGTGAAGATGGGCGTCAAATATGAAATCGGCGAGGCACGTAGGGTTGTCCGCGGAGAAGACGGGGTGCAGGCAATTGAGACAGATACTGGTGCAGTTTTCAAAGCAGACAAGATCCTCCTAGCAACGGGAGCATGGACAAGCCAGTTAATGTCTTCCATTGAAGATGAGCTGGCACTGCCTGACGGGGAGCGAGTAGAGAACCAGGCATCTGCTGCCGGTGTTTGCGTTGCTCATTTTCAGCTTTCGGAAGCGGAGAAAGAGGCATACTCACAGCTACCGGTGTTTGTATACGGCGGACAAGGTTTGTTAAAACCGAACGATTGAACGCACATATGCTGAGAGCGAATAGGGGAAGTAATACCTCCAACGGATTCAGGGATTCTCAAGTTCACCTTTGCGACGTCCGTCAAAAATATGACCAGCACAGCTTCTGGCTATGAGATATCCGTCCCTGTTCCAGACCAGATTAATGCTCCACCGGGTCTCCAGGAAGACTCGATCAATCTGATTCGGCCACGTTTACCTCAGATTCTGGACGGTGACCGCAAGCCTGATTATTATCGACTGTGCTGGGACTCGATTACTCCCGACCAACAGCCACTCATCACTAGACACCCAAACCTTAGTCTTTCGAACGTGTACTTCGCGATAGGGGGCTCATTCCATTGTTATAAATTTCTCCCGACAATCGGGAAGTATGTGGTCAATGTGCTGAATGGTGTAAGCAACGGCCGGCAGAAGGATCAGGCCTGGGCGTGGAAGCCAACCCACGGAAGCAAGAGAGGAGTGCATGAGAAGCTGGTGCCAACGAGAGTTTTTCGAGACTTTACATGAGTTAAAGATCGTCTTTCACTCATGGGTTAGGGCCTTGGTTGAAGATGTAGGCTTCGCTGTTATTGGTAGTTAGCATACAGGGAATCGAGCAAGGCATAAGATGTCATTACGGTCAGGATACATCGAACAAGTTGAGGGTGCATGCAACTATACACCAATCTCACCGGCTACCTGGTTTTCCCGCTCCGGTGGAATTCACCATCTATAACATGTCTTGTTTCTAGAGGAATCATTATTAGCCAATAACACTCAGCGGCCTGTTTACAGAAGGTAAAGCTGACTGTAAGCCCTTGCCGACCTTGGTCTTTCTTTCCTTTCCTTTGTTGTGACATGCGTGATGGACCAAACCAACAATCACATTGCTTATCACAGCGACCTCTAGGACTGAAAGAACCACTAATTCATAAAGACTGATTCTTCGTCAAGAGAGGTCAGCAGCTTGCTGTTCAAGCAGAGCTGTTGGCCACTAAAGTTCGTGTCCTTCAATGAGGCCAGAATACATCGTCTCGGTATTATCCCTGTAGGCTTACTCTCATCCTCAAGTCCAGCGACAGGGGCAAAACTATTGACGTCCAATTTTGGTGAGCTTAGTGCTTCCTACGTCAGGCCCGCTCTTTGTCCCTATTTAAGGACCCGGAGTGGCGATAAACCGATCGAAATGGATGACGGCGAGCATTTCTGCAATATTTGTGGAGGACCACTGTCCAGAAACTTCGTCCAGCATTCTACCTATGACCCATATCTTACTGCCGAAAACGACACTTATGTATGAAGCAAGAGTCCAAAGTTAACCAACGGCGATTCCAGCATCTGACAATATCTGCAGTGGCTTGGATTGACCAGGATCGTGCGTGCCAATGTTCATGATGGAGAGGACTCAGACGAAGAAGGCGCATACTATATTAGTATGATGGTGAGTATACCCCATTGGAGCTACTTGTAGTCGGACTCTCAAACGTCACGATGTGTATACTAAGCAAATTAAGGGAACATACGAATACGAGCCGTCGCGTATCTTTCGAACAAATTTAAATGGGCCTGAAAATGAGCTCGAGTTCGCCGCGTGGGATGAGGGGTTCGTCGTCCACAACGCGTGCTTTATGATGCTTCTTGAAATCGGTATGGGTGATAAACACATGACCACAATGGGACGCGAGATATTTCTCCGAATGCAGATGCGCATGCCCATGAGCAATGGCACCGTTATCAACTGGGGTGATTGCTACTATGGCGGCACCGGACCGTTCCAGGGACATAGGTGGATGGCTCTAGATGGATACGAGGTGTGTATGATCAATAATACTTTCTGCTCAAGCCATTAACCGGATTCGAGTGGCTTGTTACAAACCCCGACTATGAACCGGACTTCTCTGAGCTCCTGGAAGACGCAAGGCGCGACGGTCCAGAGGAGATCAATGCGAAGTTGTGGGACGAAGCAAAAGACTACGAATATGTTGATCCATTCTGGCGCTTCCCAGTTGAACTGCGTCACGAGATTCTGCACCTTCTCCCATCTGAGTCGCTCTTCGATATCCTGCGAGCGAGCCCGGCCTTTTGTACAGCCAGCACTGCCTTTTCAAACAAGTATTGGTACTCCGTGATTGAGGACAGGATGCCCTGGATGGAGCACACTGCGCTCAGCAAGATACTGTCCGAGATGGAGAGCCCAATGGACTATAAGAGTCTCGCAGCACGGCTGATTGAGGTTACTGTCACTCCTGATGACAGGAACGGACCGTGGGACGAGTATCTAGGTCTGCAGAACCGCCGTAGAATTATGCTGTGCATTGATCGCATTCTTGATGACATTGAAGACTCTGTTGCAAGCGAAGACAACCACGAAGGCGTCTCAACACAGATACTAAGCCTCTCCAGCTTTCGAGCGGTGACGTTCTCGTGGGATGTCTCAATTAATAAGAAAAATACAGACGTCTATATCAGACCCGCGATTGACAATCCGCCCAGTCCTAAGAATGTCAAAGTGTATTTTGGGCCGGACGGCGACATGGTTGGTATAGAGTTCTTTCTGGAAGGAGATAAGTCCGGTCGTCTCGTGGGTTATCAAACCAACTCGCTTCAGAGTGTGTCGTTTCCAAAGGATATGGTCATAAACGGCTTCGTCATATCGCTTGGTCCGATGCGTCAGTCCCGCACAAACTATACGATACAGGGCATTGCAATAATAGCAGATGGCGACTACCACCGTCCTTATGCCAGGCTCGGTCATTGGACCAATAATGACCTTGTTCACGTCCTATGCGCAAGGACCATCGAAACGTTGGTTGGTTTCAGTGCGCAATACTGCGTTCGTATAAACCAATGGTAGATTACCGCACAGCAATTGCTTACTCAACCTAGGAAGCCCATATCGTTCAGTTCGGTATAATCGTCGCGGATCTAGCTGCAGCCTCCCCGGGATTCGTGTGGGATATGGAAGTAGACCTGCTGGGGACTACTCGCTGGATCGGCAATTGGCCATCGCCTGACAATGAGCCTGCGAGACTCATGCCGAGCCCGAAGCAATTCAGCACTAGGACCCAGGCCCCCGTACAGTTCCTTGACTTCTGTTTCCGTACAATCGACTGCATCGAGGCATTCTTCCCTTTCGGCCAGGGCAAAGCAATCGGCGGCTTGCTCTTCAAGTTTACCGACGGGATTCAGAAGCTAGTCGGTAAAGCTGAGAACGATAAATCTATCTCAGAATTTGCATGTAACGAAGTCACTTTTAACCCGGGCAATGAGCAGAGAATCACCGGCGTGGCTATTAATTGCACTGATAAACGTCTGGGGCACCCCGAGCCTTGTGGAGTAAACAGCATCGTGGTAGGTAACGAGTCATATCCGCTGCATTTCCCATTCCCATTTTTTTTAATTTAATTTCTTAGGTACCATCTTTTCTTGTGCATCACTAACACCTCTCTTCAACAGTTCATTACAGAGCCGAAATCGAATAATATGATACTGGGATATCGAAGATTTCGGTCTCCGGGCGGCTACGACCTCCTCAAGGGCCCGTACGAATACTACGATACGGAGCGTCCCACGGTTGGAATGCAGTTCATCTTCTCACAGGGAGTGATCACCCAGCTAGGCCTCATGCACTAGGCAGCGACATATCCTCTACAGACAATCTACCGAACGAACGCTATCAAACACGCCACCAAGGAAGAGACGGAATTGTGCGAGGCAAAGAAAATACAATAGGGCCAGGAGATCAGAAATTACACACCAATACTTACTGTGGATATGATGAAGACATAATATGGGACAGGTAGCTGACATCGTGGATCAAGTGACGCTTTTGTATACCGTACATACAGCTCACTTAGATAGATAGTTGGAATGAAACCCGTCGTTGAAACAGCTTACCCATCAACTAATAAGCGTAGTATAACACCGATTCATCATTACTCTGACGGATTTTCCTATTTGCCCGCATAAGCCATATCTTCATCGCCCAGGCACTGGCCGCGCAAGCAAGCGAGAACGCAGCGCTCGAGGACATCGCCATCGTATACCTAGGCTCATCGGATGAAGGCCAAAGATACTACAACCATCAGCACAACCGATCCAGTATAGCCCAGTAACCATGGCAAATGGAGAAAAGACAGAACATACCGGAGTCCAAACAAACGAAGCATTGGCAATCGTATTCACGATCGCCAACGACGAAGCCTTCTTCTCCTTAGTCTGCCCACAGGTACTACTCACCCAGCCCAGCACGATACTATTAACCGCATAAGTGCCGATAGCGAAGACCACCATGGCGAAATATCGCGCCCCAGTGTTCAACGTCGCACAACCCAGCACGAACCCGAAGATGGCAATCGCCTTGGCGACAGTGATATGCCAAGTCCTCTCATTAAGCCTGCCGGAGCTCCACGACCAGAACACCGAGACAAGACCGGCAATCAAGTACGGGGGGCAGGTCAGCACGAGCGTAATGGTTGTCGAGAAGCCTAGCGTCTCGACGGCTGTGGGGAAGAAGTTCTTGAAGCCGTTTGCAGCAAGGTGCATGTGCTGCATGAAGGCGAAGAGCCACAGTTTCGGGTCGCGGGCGGCGTCCTTGAGGCCGCTGAAGGTACTGGTTTGGTGACGCGCGCCGACGGTATCTGCTACGATGCGTTCGTGGGCGAGTGTTCTTTCTTCTTCTGTCAGCCAGCGCGTGACGAGCGGATCGTCGGGGAGTGTGAAGATCGATAAGACGGCAATGAGGAAGGTGACGGCGCCTTGCAGGATGAAGAGCCATTTCCAGCCACTGAGCCCGGCCAGGTCATCCATGCCGTGGAAGATGCCTGCTGCGATGAGGCCGGCAAAGGCGGTTGCGAGGATGTTGCCTGTGTACAGAATGGAGATGCGAGTTGCGATTTCCTTCCGTGTATAGAAGATTGACAGCATATATAGAGCTCCTATGTATGGTCAATTATGTCTCGGTGGAATGGCCAAGGGATGAATGTGGGCCTACCTGGGTAGTATGGTGCCTCTGTCATATCGTTAGCAAACAGTCTAATAAGGTAGCTATATTGGGGATATGTAAAAAACATACCAGTAACACCGAGAAAGAACCTGACTAGCAGCAGTCCCTTGAAGTCTTTCGCAACAGCCGTAAGAGCGCTAACAACAGCCCACAGCGCCATACATCCAGACATATACCACGATGGCCTCACCCTAGTGATCAACATATCTACACACGAGGTCAGCCTACAATCTCATCTATTACATCATCCGAAAACGACTCACTGCTCGGAATCTGTCCCAGAAGATATCCCACGAACAAGATGGAAACACAAGTCTGGTACTCTGACGAGGACAAGTTCAGATCCTCCTCGAGGTCATTCAACCGCGCCAAGGCGATCGCATTGCGGTCAAGGTAGTTGAGCCAGTACATCAGCCACAGCGTCGGCATGATCCATGTGTCCAGTTTGCGGACCAGACGAATCTCCACGGGGTCTGTTTTCTTCCGCGCACCGGAGTAGTCACCCTGGTGCTGTGGCGATTTGACACCATCTTGGTCCAGCGTGTACTCCCGGTGGACGGTGTCGGGCTTTTCGTCTGTGTCTGGGAGAGGGTGTTTCTCTGGGTTTGACATATTGTCAGGGTGGCTATTGCGGGGAACAGGTAGGAAGAAATGAATCTGGAAAGAGGAAGGACATTGCCAGTTGATCATGGACAGGGCTTTTATACCTACCTACTTTATCTCCAGACACGACGACGACGAAAGCCACATCGCAGATCCCACTTGGAGCAGCTTTGAGAATCAATCGCGGGGTTACATCCAGAAAAGCCAAGAGCGGTGATATCTACCTCCATGGGGTTAGCAAAATGCTACAACGGCCTATACCAACAAGAAGGCCGCGTGTGTCCGAAGACGTAGGCTGAGATCGGCAAACTCTGTCCGAATATACCTCATACCCATAAGGTCAGATTGTAGCAAAACAAGAAGATGCCGAGAGCATCATCTGGATTTTACTATCAGTTGCATCATAGTCTACTTTGTCAAGATGTGCCACGAGGTAAGCCGTGGGGGTGTCGGAGGGAGCCCCATCAACGTGTTTTTCCCCAGAGTCCCAAGCTTTGCACTGCCTCCCCCAGTCTTGGCTATGTGTCTTTTATCATCTCCGCCGCCAGACACGGCCGCTGTTTAGGGAGAGTGCAAGGCCGCCAACTCGCCCTTGGCGTGAACTTGGCAAATAGGACGACAGTCAGCAATGGTGCTCGGCCGTCTAAGCACGAGTCAGGATTAGGTTCGGCAACGCGGGGACAAGATTGTATGTGCTTGGCAGAGTATATGAGGTGTCTTGGGCTATATTCCTATTATTATTGGCCGGAGTTATCATGTCCGGCAAATGTTAAATAGGAGAATGTGTTGGCCGAGACGGAGATTGTATGCCCGGGGTACTATCATATTAGTCATTTACAGTCCCGACTGGCGAGGTGGGATTTCCTACATATAATATAAGATGGACAGTGATGTGGCCTATATAGGCTGAAGTCACTAATTGTGGCAGTAGTCCTAGCCATGGCGATCTTTGCAGGACAGTACGTGGTATAAAGATGTCACTTAGTACCTAATGTGGGCCCTGGAAACTTGGGCTTGGTCTTAACGTAAGGTAAGAAGAATGGCTACTATTCTGCGTCCTGTGTCAATATATGAGCGTTATATAGCTTTTCTTAATGCTGAAGTGAAAAAAAGCCCAAACACCCATCCTTTTGGGTCTTTGACTAAGATAGCTTGCCCCCAGATCACATCATGGACTGCAGACATCACACACATCACGCCACCATCTAAGTAGACAATCACCTACCTAGCCATTGGCATTTCAACGGATGGATTTCAAACTCGTTACATTGTTATATCGGCATATTGGATTCACGCCCAAGTCATCAGCTGGAGCAAAAAGGCTCCGCGGAGTATCTCGCCACTCGGCATGTGTTACCATCGGGACTGCCAGGATGAACCATGTCCAGGTCTATGATTAGTGATACTAACGGACCCTGTATAGTGCCCTGGATCGGCTGTGACGGTCTTGAGTGTATTGTTAGGACTGCTAAACAGGTTGACCCCCCCCCCCCCCCCCCCCACTTCCACCTACCAGTCGGGCCGAGTTATTGCCGATAGCCAACGTTTAGGGCTAAACTTGTTGACTCATTGGGATTCCCCACTCACTTTCAGTGGGACGTGAACCGCGAACAAACATGAAAATGTTGGGAAACAAACAAGAAGGGATCATGGTGAATCCTCGTAAGAGTTCTTGGGGGTTGCTCATTCTTCATCGTGCATAGGAATGTGGGGAACTGCATTAACGTTCAGACCCAGTTTTCCACGTCAGCACCAACCACTCAGCATCGTCTGGTGTTCTATAGCAAACCCGAGGCCTTGGGGCAATCTCCCAAAAGGTCACCTCTCTCCTGGCGAGTACCAGGGTAGATGGCTTGTTTAGAATAATTGTTTCCGGACAGTCGAGGCCTTATCTATGGGGAAGGAGCATGGAGATGTTAACGTGGCCATCGTATTCGGCGTCGTGGCAACTCTCCTCTCGGCATAGTACGTTGATGGAAAAACCGAGGTCAAGGTGGACCCCGCATTTTATGCCTTAGTTAGTGAGCTTCCACCAGCTATGCATTACTTTTGCCTTGTTGTTATGTCGAAGATCGGCGCCGTTCATATATAGGGGGGGGGGCATTGCGGAGCAACCGAGGGACATTGAATACCGGCTATAATGTACCGGCTAAGGCATACAAGATCGTCAGAATCTCCGCATTTTTATCAACTCTTCTATATACCTACTCTGCTTCGGTAGGTCATAAGTATCACCTTCCATAGTTCACTAGAGCAGATACAAACATGAGCCTCGGTGCGTATGAGGATGAGTCTGATCGATATCTTCCATACTAACAAACATCCATAGCAGCTGCAGTCGCCGGTGGAGCGACATTGGCGGCGTACCTCAACGCCAAATTTCACATCTCCAAGGATGTCCGCGGCATCTTGAATGTCCGACGGAGTGAGCGCGAGTATGCGCGCGCCGTCTCCCAGAAGCAAGGCAACATCTGGTTTTTCTTCAAGGAAACCGCTACTCGATATCCCGATATGGCCTGCATTTGGACGCGGGAGCGATCATACACATATCGCGAGACCATCGCATTCGCTAATCAATATGCGCACTTCTTTTTATCAAAAGGCGTGAAGAAAGGTGATCTTGTGGCCTTTTATTTGCAAAACCGGGCCGAGTTCATCTTCGCGTGGCTCGGGTTGTGGAGTATTGGATGCGCGCCGGCCGCGATCAACTATAACTTGTCGGGCGATGCATTGCTGCATTGTTTGAAGATCAGTGGCGCGAAGCTGGTGCTGGTGGATGACGACAATGAGTGCCTTACCCGCATAGATGAGTGTAAATCCACGATCGAGGGTGACCTCGGCATGGAACTCGTTACTGTAGATCTCACGTTTACTACTACGGTGCTATCACGATTTCCCACAGAGGTTGCTGAGAATGGCCGTCTGGCATTGAACATGAATGGCGAGTACCCGGCTATTCTGCTCTATACATCCGGCACTACAGGCATGCCGAAAGGTTGCGCCTTCACCATGTCCCGGATATATACCACGGTTCTTCTACGCTCTGGCGGCATGGTGGCCGACAAACCAGGCCCCGACGGCGATCGTTGGTATAGCTGCATGCCCCTCTACCATGGCACTTCGGCAATTGCCATGATCAACTGTGTGGTGAGCGGAAGGGGCATTGGGCTGGGCAAGAAATTCAGTGTGCGGCAATTCTGGAGTGACATCAGGGACTCTGAATCGACATTTTTCGTGTATGTCGGAGAGGCAGCGCGTTATCTACTCGCTGCACCACCGTCCCCTGATGATCGAAACCACCGGGTGCGTTGTATGTACGGCAACGGTCTGCGTCCGGATGTGTGGGACAAGTTCCGAGATCGCTTTGGCGTACCAGAAGTGGGAGAGTTTTTCAACAGCACAGAAGGCATCTTCGCGTTGTTCAACTACAACACTGGCCCGTTTACGACCGGCAGCGTGGGCCACCACGGACTGATCATGCGCTTGCTGCTGAACAACGTATTCATTCCGGTTGCCATTGACCCGAATACAGGCGATGTCCTCCGGGATCCTAAAACGGGTTTCGTCGTGCGAGCCCCTTACGAGACGGGCGGCGAAATCATCGTGAACGTTCCAAGCCAAGAGGCTTTCCAGGGCTACTGGAAGAATGAAGATGCGACTTCAAAGAAGTTCTTGCGCGATGTGTTCCGGAAGGGCGATATCTACTATCGATCTGGTGACGCTTTGCGCCGTCAATCTGATGGCAGGTGGTATTTCCTGGATCGCTTAGGAGATACGTTCCGGTGGAAGAGTGAGAATGTGTAAGTGATGTTAACACTGACCTAGTTGGGTAAACTGAGCTGACTGTGGCCAAGTGCTACCGCTGAAGTTGCAGAAGTTCTCGGTCAATATCCCGGCATTCTTGAGGCTAATGTCTACGGCGTCACTGTTCCACACCACGAAGGCCGGGCGGGCTGCGCTGCCCTTCAAATCAACCCGGAGCTAAGGCCAACTTCAACTTTCAAGAACTCGCCAGATTCGCTCGTTCTCGGCTCCCCAAGTACGCTGTCCCGGTGTTCCTGCGCATTGTGGAGAGCTCGACCCATATCCATAATCATAAACAGAACAAAGTGCCGCTGCGAGACGAAGGGGTCGACCCAGATAAGACTGGGACTAAGGTCACGGAGGGCAAGGCAGATCAGTTCTACTGGCTGCCTCCAGGGGATCTGTCATATAAGCCGTTTGGACGGGGCGATTGGGAGGTACTACAGAGTGGAAAGGCTCGGCTATAGAAGGCTTGAGTATAGAGGCGATATATTCGTCAATGAGTACATGAATATCAAATCTTCCTATATAATCTACAGAAGTTTAGATGAATTGTCTCATCTCGGTATGAACCTATCCAGTTAGAAATCCCTCCCATCCTTCCAAGGCCTGTCGACACTGCTGTTCATACAACGCCAGGCCACCCGGAAAATTCAAATGCTCTCGCTTCTTGCCGGGTATATTGGCTCCCATGTACACGAGTCCGCCTTTGGCACCAAGGTCATATCCGTAATCTGATTCACCAACGCTTTCCACTTCTGCTCCGCTTCGGCGGTGGGCTCAACGTATGATAATCCGCTCCTGTCGATCTTCTGAATTGCATCAATGACCCACTGGCCTTGGAGCTCAATGGACACCGGGCCATTGCTCAGTGCTGTGGGTCCGTGTACCCCGTAAATCCAGAACATATTCGGATAACCATGGCTCGCCATGCCCAAGTACGTGTGGACTCCATCCTTCCACTCCTCAGCCAGTGGCTTACCGTCCGTGCTTAGAAGGCCCATATTCGTGATGGGACCAGTGACGGCGTCAAAACCGGTAGCGACGGCAATAGCATCGACAGGGTAATGGTTCCCATCGCTGGTAGCGATACCGGTAGGTTTAACCTCAGCGATCTCGACTGCACGGAGATTGACAATATCCACGTTCGATCGATTGAACTGCTCAAAATAGTCCTGCTCTAGCGATGAACGCTTTGTCGCAAACGGATGAAACGGCTCCAACGGAGCTAGAAGATCCTTTTTCCTAAGATCAACAATCCTCTCGCGTGTCTTCTTCGCCCAGAAATTATATAATTCACGATTCGCCTTCTCATCAAGCAGTATATCCGAGTAGTTGTCTAGAATAAACGAAAAGCCACCCTTCTTCCAGTTCGTTTCGAACAACACCTCCCGCTCCGCAGGTGAAGCATCGAATAATTTCGTCGGTAGGAAATCCTCCAGGTTTCCACTAAATGTTTTCGTTCTGTCTTCGAAGACCTGTGGGTAGCGGGAACGGATCCCTGCCTGCTGCTCCGCCGTATAAGTTTCCTGGCCCATGGGAAGAGCCAGATTTGGCGTTCGTTGGAAAACAGTCAGGGTGTCTGCTTCCTTGGCCCATTCCTGGATGAGCTGAACGCCGCTGGAGCCAGTTCCAATGACAGCGACTTTCTTCCCTTTCACATACACGCCCTCCCGCGGCCAGGCCGAGGAATGATAAACGTCCCCCCGGAAAGTATCCAGACCAGGGAAATCAGGTACATAGGGCTTCGTCGACGTCCCCACGCAAGGTAAAAAGAACCGCGCAGTGACGGTTTTCGAATTCTCAGTCTGTACCTTCCACTGGGCGGTGCTCCGATCAAACTGTGCTCCAACCACTCTTGTTTCGAACTCGACATCTTTCTTGATAGTGAGCACTTTATCAAGATGTTGGAAATATGCCTGCAACTCCTCCCGGCCGGGAAACCTTTCCTTCCAGTCCCAGTCCTGCCATGCTTCCGGGATAGACAGCTGGTAGATAAAGCTCTCTGTATCGACGCGGGCACCGGGGTAGGTGTTCCAGTACCATACTCCACCAAGGTCTGGCGCGGTCTCATAGATCTTGCATTTATATCCTAACTTGCGAAGCTGGTGCAAGAGGAAGATCCCGGAGAACCCGGCGCCGACGATGAGGATATCGTAATCGGGTGTGGGGTGGGATTGCGTCATTTCTGTCTCTCAAGATATATGTGGCCAGTTAAACGAGAAAAGAGGATTATTGGGAAAGTTAAGTAAGTCGTAGCAAGTGCTTGCGTCTCTTATGTACTCTTTATACCTTGACGTTTTCGGCGACGGGTGTTAGGCCCCCGATGGGCCCTCTTTTTCCCCACCAATTATTCAAAGCTGTCCTTTTTAACTCCCATAATTTGTGTCGTTGTTGGATGTGTATAGCGCAACGACTGACCACGTTGGGCGATCAATACCATGGGGAGAAAGAAGAGAGGGCTCATTCTGGGGTCTCGAGCGCTGTGTAGATCCTTTTCTGAATGGCTTAGCCAGCTAAGAATAAGCACTAGTCAAGCATCTCCACAAGACAAGCGAACCAGCCAATGAAATCACCTGTCTGGCGGTCCAAATATCACTACTCGCATGGTCAAGGTGTCTAAACTTATCTTTTACGAGGCTTTGTTATGTTTGGGAACTTAGGGTTGGTTGCTCAGGATCAGGTGCGATGAAGGCATTTCTAAGGCAATCAATCCCATTTGTCAGCAAGTCCCACCTTTGTGTTTTATAGTACTCGCTCTAAATGCTTTAAAGAAGTAGTATATACCATTCACGTTTGATCTGCTACCTACTCAACTCTATTAAACTCCTCAATCACACTCCTCGGTTCCCAGTACTCCCCCAACTTCGTCCACTCCATATCCAATCCAAACCCCTGCGGACCACCAATACTCAGTCCCTTTTTTGTCGTCCAGAGTGGATGCGCTGCCATAGCAATCACATTGACTTTGAGGCCATATCGGAGTTCCTGCGATCCAATCGCCTCACCATCCTGTCCCAGTATCGAAATCAAATCAGGGACAGAACAGATAACTTCTTGCTTGGATTCGTCTTCTGGACCATCAGGGTCTGTATAAGCGGCATAGAGGAACTCATTCTGGAAGGGAATGACCAAGCAGCGACTCTCCTCCAGCACACCAACACCACAGCTAGAAGAAATAGTAGTCTCCCGTTCGTCGCTACTAAGAGGCGCAAGCAGACAATAACCCATTGTGTAGCCACGGCTAACATCTCGTTTGACGTCGGTGACCTTGCCAGTGTAGAGGAGCTTTCCGGGCGAGGTGTCGAACTATGCAGGTCAGTATAAATCCGGTACCCAAGTAGAGGCACGGGGAATGGGATATGTACAATAGCTTGAATCATGTCTGTCTTTGATTGCCGAGCACGATACACGGCTCTCCCAATGTACCACGCCTGAGAGATGGTGTTTGGTATGATGTATTTCTTAGTCTCAGCGCCGGTAAGGGGAGCAGTCGATAGGGCGACCTTATTTCCCAGATCGACGCATTGACTTCGTGCCATTGTTTCGGCGCGACGGCTGCTTTCGGCGTGCTGCTGAGATTAGAATACGGGTGTATGTGCGGATATGTGTAGGGTCCATCGTACTAGAATGATCGATACATTCCCTCTGCCGTCTGCGACAGCGCAGGGAGTAGCGGAGAGTCCATAGACGTATGGCGTACCTAGAATGTGAGCACAGATGGCGTCAACGTCACGGCATTGAGTCAAGCAACTCACAGTGTTCCAGCGTTGGATATGCCCTCCCCATCAAGTCCCCATCCACCACCGGAATATCGTATATCACGCCGGAGGGGAATGCCGATAAACCGTTCCCGCCTCCAATCTCGTCTGTGACGATGGCATGGAAGTCCTTCTTGCCGGTAATGCGCACGCAGCTTTCAATAGCGAGGGCCAATTCTGTTCCTGCCGAGAGACGCTCGCTGGATACGCTAGGGGCACCGAACCACGAGCCCATGACACATATATCCGAGTCTCTTAAGCTTGCAGGCTTGACGACCCGCATGTTTCCCGCGTATCCCGGACATTGAAGAAACTGGAGGCAGTGGAGGTATTGTATCCGGGAGGGTCCACCACCGCCTGTTCCTAGCACTCCTGTGCCGGCGGCCATAAACTCTAGGTCGACGGGAGATATGTACCACGTGTTGTTGCGAACGTCGGGTTTATATGTATCCAAATCGATCTGGAGGGATGGCTTCGCAGTGAAATGGGCTGCCTCACGCGGTGTATCCGTCTGTATGGACTCTTCCTCGTTTGCTTCAATATGGTCATATATATTCTCCTGGAATGCCTCGGGCCGTGGCGCTTGATTATCAACATCCAGGGGAGTAAGGCTCCCAATCGCCTTGATCACAAGCCGTGTCGCCTTATTTGTAGCATAGGCAAGAGGGATCTTCTCGATTGTAGCAATCCTAACCCCTTCCTTTTCTGCTCCACGAGCCATAGCTGCATCAATCGCCCGTTGTTTCGCTGCCTCGAGCACCTGCTTCTCATCACGACCCTCCAGTAACTCTATCACATCTATCTCCCCGGCTACCTTAGCAATAGCCGCACCAACAGCATTCGCAGAGTCATGATGCGGCGGTATGATGCACTCCGCGACACCATTCAAAGCATCCATATGAACGACCGAGCCACCCCCGACAAGCAACAGCACAACCGGCTGGTTGGAGATCTTCATGCCATCAATAGCACGTTCGAGGATCTTCCGAATCTGTTGGCGCGCTTTCGTGACAATCTGCGCAGGAATGTCTTTTACCTTCTCCCGGTCCCCAATCTCGGCCCTTCCAGATGCTGTCACGATATCCGTTGCAGTCAGCACATCACCACCAAACACCCTGGCGCGGCTAGTCAGAGAATGGCCAACGGACTCGGGCCCAACCCTGACAGCCCCGGTGTGTCCATCCACGCCCACACGGCTGCCACCACCGAGCCCAACCGACAGAACCTCAGGCATTGAGAACGCAGTGCGCACGCCTCCAACCTCCACGAAATTCGGTGCCTGACGCGGCAAACCTGATGGAAGCAGCGCGCATACGTCCGTCGTCGTCCCACCGATGTCAACGACCAGCACCTGCTGATCCGACGGTTTCGCCGAACCACCCCGATCCAAGGAGGCAAGGAAGGCAGCACCGGTCATACTATTCGTTGGTCCACTGGCGAAGGTCTTGATCGGCAATTCAGCGCCGTGGCTGTGTCAGTCAAGGTGCCATCATTCTGGGTAAGATACAGCGGGCAACACAGTTGCAGTTTGGCCATTGCGCTGCAAAACGCTCGTACCGTTTTCCGGGCGAAGCTGAGAATAGAGGCATTGAGGATAGTCGCGTTTTCTCTCTCCAGGAAGCCGATGCGACCGATCGCATGCGAACAGACGATGGATAGCGAGGGATCGAAGCCGAGCATCAGCTTCTTACAGGTCTCTTCGTGGATCCCACTGTGATCCAATGGAGAAAACACGCCCAGGAGAGCGACCATCTTGATGCCTGCATCTTGAATGCTCTGCACAGTAGCTCTAATCTGTTCTACATTCAATGGTGCGATTTCGCGCCCGTCGATTTCAAGACCTGGGACTATCATTTACCCGCCCAGATATAAGAATCAAGACACGATACTCACCACCATCCAAGTAAAGCACCGGACCGCCCATGATTCCCTTCAAATCGGATGGGAACTCCGCGAAAGGCGGCACCTGTTTCGTAAAAGGACCACAAAGCCGCACGACAGCGACTTGACTCAAGCGACTCGAGTCAGCCTGAACGACCGCATTGACGAAATGCGTCGTGCCGATCGCGACACTAACAACATCCTGCCTATCGACGTGGGACTGTTCCAATACATCCTGGATGGCGGCATATATACCAGACGTCACGTCCGCGGTCGTAGGGGTTTTGGTGGAAGCGCACACGCCGCGCGAGGGAGCGTCAGTAGCGAGGATATCGATGATCGCAGCGTCGGTATTAGTTCCGCCAACATCGACGCCGACGCGGTACTTGGTCATTTTGATCTGGGGTGAACCTTGCAGACAGTGTCGATTGACTGGTATTCGCTATGGCGTGCTTACGAGTACTCTCGGAATCTTCCGCTTGAGGGCGTCTACCATTCGCTGTTCCAGTCGGAGGGTATTCTTCCTGTCGAGTAACCGGCACATGCACCTCTATTCAGAATAAACAGGTTGCCATGCAGTTAATGGCTGGAGGGAGAGAGGTTAAACGGGCTGGTGGTCGAGTGGCGCTTCGATTAGGGCGCGGGGAATCGGGTGACCCCTCACGAGAGGCATGCAGATGGAAATAAGATGAAAGTCCCAGTAGTAGTCTATATATGATTGGTTAGGTGCATATTTTGGGGAATTACAGTAGACTTTCATATGGAAGCTTCTTGGAAATAGCACGGTGCCTACGGTCTAGTAGTATTATTATATATACATCTAAGAAATCTGGCGAGAAGCACATGTTGTATCTCAACAGGTGCTTGTTACGATGTCCTCACGATGGTTAGGGGGTAGAAAGGGAAAGGAAAAAGAAAAATATGTAAACTGGAGGAAGAACAAACCAGGCAGGGGAGGAAGGGACAATATGTCATATATTGGCTGACTGCTGAGTTCTTCAGAGGCGACCATAATATGGCTGTTCGCGACACCACCCACACGCCCTCAGTATCCAGAAGGTTTCGCACTTGACCGACCAGTTCCTGTCTAAGAACTTCCATGTGCCGTGACATTCCCTCGGTGTCTTGATCTGTGCTGCAGCCCTGATACTGGTGCCTCCTCATGCAAAAGGTTGTCTCGGATGCAAGGAGCATGATAATATAGCGAATCACAACTGCACAGACATGGGCCTCACCCTTGTTTGCTTCCTGCAAGTGGACACCGAGATTCTGTCTTTATTTCGCTGTGTAACAGATGCGCGTCTCAATCACGAGAAGACTCCAATTGAGCATTCCTCCCACGCTGACAACCCCTCGTCTCTATTCCGGGATTATTTATATCTACCTGGACTACCACCATAGAGATACCAGGTATTCCTGTATATCCTTTGATAGACATGGGGAACGCTATTCTTAAATACCTCGAGGTACCTCATGAGGGAGCAAACATCCCCAGCCGATGGATCAACGATGACATTAAGCCTGTCGAAGCAGGTCGGAGAACCTGGAATTTCTGGACGTTCCATAACTTTTGTATGCTCATTTGGCTTTGCAGAGAGGAAACACTCTGACGAACAAGGTGTTCTGGCCAGCTCCAACATCTCAGTCTACATGATAGGCAGTTCGTTGATTGCGATGGGATTAACTTGGCGTCAGTCGCTGGCTGCAATCGTCGTTGGCAATATAATTGCAGTCGGGCTACTTGTGATAAACTCATTACCGGGAATGTTCTACCATAGTAAGTCCACAGCCCTTGTGGCGAGCAGGACTGACATCCCTAGTCGGGTTTCCTTTGGTTAATAGGTATGTCTGGGGCCTATACGGCAGTCTATTTGTTCTGTGGAACCGGATTTTGCTCTCCATCGGTGAATTGCTCATCCCCACTGGTGTCGCTAGAGCTCGACTAACATCTAATCCATAGTTTGGTGTAGGTCTCTCATTGTCGGTGCCGACCGCAGCTAACTCATCATGCATATTAGATGCGGTTCAAGCATGGATTGGCGGTGAATGCATCTACGTCTCTCTGCGCGCAATCTGGCCATCTCTCGAAAGCCGAATTCCAAATCAGATGCCTCAGTCCACCGGAATGACCACGGCACAGTTTGTAGCGTACGTTATCTTCATGGTACTCTCCCTGCCAGTGCTGCATATCCGTCCCCACAAACTGCAGAGATTCTTCTACATCTCGGCAGCCACGATCCTAGTATTTGAGATCGTTATCCTCATCTGGGCACTGGTCAGCATGGGCAACAGCGGGTTTGGCAGTACGATCTCAGAGCCCAGAGCTGGTGGCTCGGGATGGAAGATTGCCTTTGGCATCGTGAGTACTATAGGCGGCGCAGCTGCTGGAATCCTCAATCAGAATGATTATACACGGTTTGCGCGAACACCTCGTGAGGCAATCCTCGGACAACTCGTCAGCTTTCCGTTTTATAGCATCCTATGTGCGACCGTCGGTATTCTGGTCACGGCAGCGACGCAGAATCGCTATGGCAAGCCGCTGTGGAATTTGCCCACCCTGCTCGGCGCCATCATGGACAATGGGGGTTCCCGCTCCAGAGTAGCAGTCTTCTTTGGGGGAGCTGCGTTGAGTGTGTCGCAGATGGGGTTGAATGTGCCAGCGAACGCACTAGCGGGAGGTTAGAATTCCTGGTTATTGCTAACATGTTCTTGTCCCGCTAACTTGTGCGCAATGATAGGGTTTGACATGGCGGCTACATTTCCGCGATATATAAACCTTCGTCGCGGCGCCTATATCACGGTCCTGGTATCGATCGCATGCAACCCGTGGAAGCTGGTCAACACGGCTACCATATTCTTAGCCGTGCTCAGTAGTTACTCGATCTTTCTGGGACCCATGGTAGGCTCAATGATAGCGTCTTATTTCGCTGTGATGCGGCGCAAGATCAAGGTAGAGGACTTGTTTCCTTGCCACGAGGACAATAGAGGTATCTACTGGTACACATACGGGGTGAATTGGCGGGCTCCAGTGGCGGTTAGCCATTTTCCAATACGTGGGATATGTACAATTAGGCTGACGACCGCAGTGGCTTTGTGGAATGGTTCCTTCACTCCCTGGGTTTGTGGCCCATGTCGATCCTACCGTGGCCATTCCCGTGGGGTTGTCGCGGATTTACTACATTTGCTTCCTCACGGGCACGGCAATTAGTGCCGCGGTCTTCACGGCATTGCACTATGTCTTTCCGGCACCTGTCGTGAATCATTTCGTCGAGAAAGCGCCGTCGCCGGGACTGTTGATGCCGGAATATCGATTGCGGTGGGACCGTGGGGAGGATTCGGTGTATGAGATTGTAGACTAAGCGAAACCGTGAGTAGCACGAGGCATTTTTTCATTTGGCTGGACTCAACTTCTGATCAACTGATAATTAACTTATATTGCACTATAACATGAATTACTCCGGAGTACATACGCTATTGGACGTTGGAGGCTCGACCACGGCGGGTTTCCTCGCACGTTTAGCCGAAGAAGTTGTTAGCTCCACCGCGTCCTTTAGGTTACAGTAGTTCATCTCCGGTGGATATTGGACACCCAATAGCATGAGTGTGACCCATCAGAAGGTTTTACCTGAATCAGGAACTAGATTTTAGGAGTAGCCGTTGCCTTAGACCGGTCAGTAATAGCGGTCCACTCTCTTTTATGTGTGAGGGATCATAAAGGTGCAACGCGCCCCCGGCTTGCCTTTGCATTCCATCCCTGTACCCCTCGACAACAACCAAAATGTTCGGTCAAGCTACCGGGTTGTCGCTCTTGACAGGCCTCCTGGCCGTAGCTTCTGCGAAAGCCGACTCCAACTGTCGCTGCTTCCCCGGTGATTCTTGCTGGCCGACCCAGGATGTCTGGGCCAAATTCAACGAGTCGGTTGACGGCCGCCTGGTAGCCACGGTGCCTCTGGGTACACCATGCCATGACCCCAGTTACAACGCTGCCGAATGCAAGACGCTGAGCGAGCAGTGGACGAACCCGGAGCTTCAGTAAGTCTACACCCTGTATCAATCGCTGAAGCGCTTCTGCTAATGCCGGTAGCTATGAAACCTCCTCGTCGATTATGGCTCCTTGGTACACTAATGGAACCTGCGATCCCTTCCACCCCGAATCGAAGCCCTGCACCCTCGGCAACTACGTGGTTTACGCTGTTGACGTGGCGAAGCCGCGCATGTCGCTTCGGCTCTGAAGTTCGCGAAGGAGCACAACATCCGTGTGGTTCCCCGTAATACCGGCCACGATTACAATGGCAAGTCCACCGGAGCCGGTGCGCTGGCCATCTGGATGCACCATCTTAAGGACATTGAGATCAAGGACTACAAGGACAAGCACTACCAAGGCAAGGCCATCAAGATGGGCGCGGGGTGCAAGGCGGCGAGGCGTACGCGGCCGGTGACGAGGCGGGTCTTCAGGTGGTGGGCGGCGAATGTCCCACCGTAGGAATTTCAGGAGGTTACTCCCAGGGTGGAGGCCATTCGGCCCTGTCCTCGCGCTATGGACTTGGTGCCGACCAGGCGCTCGAGTGGGAGGTGATTGATGGCGAGGGTAACTTCATTACTGCCACTCGCGACAACGAGTACTCCGACCTCTTCTGGGCCCTCAGCGGCGGCGGCGGCGGTACCTATGGCATCGTTTGGTCGCTGACCTCCAAGGCGCATACTGCCACGCCTGTGTCGGGTTACAACTTGACCTTCACCAATGATGGCATCTCCCAGGATACCTTCTACGAGGCGGTATCGCTCTGGCAGACCGTCCTGCCCTCCGTCGTGGACGCCGGTGCCATGTCCGTCTGGATGTTCACCAACACCAGCTTCGCCATCACGCCGTTGACCGGTCCCAACATCCCGGTTGCGGACCTGGTGGCGCTGGTGAAGCCCTTTACCGACGGGCTGACCAAGCTGGGAATCAAATATACGACCTTCTCACAGCAGTTCGACACCTACCTGGAGGAATTCACGGCCATGCAGGGCGCGATCGCGGTGGGCACCGCGCAGTATGGTGGATGGCTGATCCCCCGGTCGGTGGTGGAAAACAACAACGACGGACTGACCGCCGCATACAGACACATCACCGAGGATGGTGCCACCTTTATCGGCGTGGGCCTGAATGTCTCCAAGGCGTTAGTGGGGGATGTGGACAACGCGGTGCTGCCCGCCTGGCGCGAGACCCTGATCCACACCACCCTCACCACCCCCTGGAAGTGGGATGCGCGTGCTGAAATGCTCGCGGAGCAGGACAAGATGACCAATGATTATATCCCGGCCTTGACCAAGGTCGCGCCGAACTCTGGGGCGTACCTGAACGAGGCCGACTTCCGCCAACCCAACTGGCAGAAGTATTTCTACGGCGACAACTACGCTACCTTGCGCAAGATTAAGGCTAAATACGACCCGGCCAATCTCTTCTACGCCACTACCGCTGTCGGGGCGGATGAGTGGACCGTTCGTGAAGATGGTCGGTTGTGCAGTGTCTAAGTCGGGGGGAGCAACAGGAGTGGCGGAATTTTTCACGGAAACTGTAAATAGACTAGAACAGGGCTATAAAGTTATTTAGATTGACAATCATCCACGGTCTCTCTTCACCATTCCTTGGGAAACCAATGCGTGGAGTCCAATGGCGGCGTTTCACCGGACTTTCTCCGCTAGTGGATACAGTGGAGCCAGATAGTGCTATGCTTAGGGTCAATTGCAACGTTAATCAACAAATCCTTTTCGGTCAAGGTTACTGCGTAATATCCCGTTGGTTTTATTGATTGCATAACCGAAAAGCAATGCCGCAGTTTGTCTCCGATCAATGGTTTTTGGCCCCAAAAACTGGTCAATGCCATGTGGAGACCAGAAGGAGGGAGCAGCGGTTCCCAATATCAGGCCAGATTCCTGAAGGCAGAAGGATTGAGCATGAGAAGCTGGACCTCGGCTCCGGCATTTCTCGGAGGACGGAGCCTGCAGGAAGTCCGTTAATATATGCGTTTTGTAACCCGCGGAACCATTTCCCAAAGCAAACGCATTTGGCAAGTCAACCGCAGTCACACTGCGCTGGTGGCGCCTGTCGGGGGGTGTTTTCAAAGCTTATCCAGGGCAAGGGTTGCCCTCTTCCATGGGCGCTGCGCTTATCCTGCCCTTGCATACGTAGTCCAGCAAATAGATTCCCGTCTAAACCATGGTTGCAGTTCGCCTTAGATCCCCATCTCAGATGAGACACTGTGCAGATCGGCGCACTGCCATCTACCATCCATGGTTGTGATCTTGGTTCAGGCCCTTCCCTCTTGGCGGCTGGCATCTGCGCAAGGGCACAAGCAATCATCCGATTTCGTTGCTTAGTGCATCACGTCAGAATCCACCTTTTCTCTCCACACCAACTGCTGCCTATTACCTGATTGGGAGCTTCTCATCACGTGTGCGCATCGGGATATTGTCGGTTGTCTTCGAATGTCTCGCAGCCGCAAAATTCAGTTCCTCTTTAGCCAAGGCTTTCCAGGACTGAGCCCTCATTTAGCAAGGCCCTTGGTCCGTATTTCAGGATCCTGGCCGTTCTGGGCACACCATACACGGACTGCTGTGTCCCGATGGACGGCCAGCTTGAGATTCATGACTTGTGCTGGAAAGTAGAATAATAGCTTCCTCTTTGTCTCTCTATTGTAGTCAATGCTTATACTCCGTAGTCAGATCCCATATCATCCACGTGGGTGCCGCCGGAAATAGGGTCAACACAGTCACGGGAAGCAATTTATATGTAACGAATTTACGCCGGAGTAATCCGAGCCTGCAATCCCAGGCCACTATTTGGCACCATTAATCAATATGCAGTGGAACAGATTATTATGCGACCCATAGCCCCATACACCGGTCAAACTTAGAATCAGGGGCCCATCCTGCAGAATACCAACCTTCAGGGCGTTCACACGGGCCCCCTTGATTTTTCCAGAAGACTGGCTCAGCTGGAGTTGCAGCTGCAGGGAGGGGGCACAATTAGTATGCCTCGTGGTGGAGAGGTCAATTCCTGGTGGCGTTCTTCTGCAACTAGTTACTGCAGAGTGAGATTGTTATTGATCCTTGGTAGGAAATGAGAAGGAAAAATTGAATTTACTCCGTAGAACTACCGCTTCGCTTTAGAATGTGCAAGCTTGATGTCTCCCTGGCGTCTTTATTCCCCCGGCCTAGCCCCCAATCTGCAATTGACATGAGTAGCTGAGCTGTGCCACTGCTCCAACACCATGGGCTGGGTGTACAACCTCGAAACGCCCGATCCACACAGCGAAATCTCCCAGGTCATTGCCGTAGTGCTGGTGTTTACGATCGCGGCCCTCCTGGCGGTTGCCCTGCGGTTCTACATCCGAATCCACACAAAGAGAGCATTATGGCTGGATGACTATGCCGCGCTGTACAGTGCGATCATGATCGCCGGGTACTGTGCCTCTAGCATAACTCGTGAGTGCGCTTCCAGTGCGGTTGGAGGAAGACTGGATCCCTAACTGCTACAGAAACGCGATGGGGCCTGGGTCTTCATGCAGAGTATTTCCCCACGGCCAATGTGAAGCAATTCAGTAAGGTATGTCTTGGTTTTTCTGACTGCGCATCCGGGCCATGTATAGGCGCTCTAACGTCTGCTTGCCCAGATACAATATGCTGGCGGCCCGCTATACTCGATGTCCCTGCTAGGGTTCAAGGTCTCGCTCCTGGCGTCGTACCTCCGCATCGGTGGATTTGTGAAGATGTATCGAACCATCATTGTCGTTGCGATTGCCGCCGTAGTGGTCAATCAAGTGATCTTCACTTTCCTGTTCATCTTCCCTTGCAAACCTGTATGGCATTGAGTTCACTACACCAGTAAGCAATGATATTGACGGGTCCACAGATCGCAATACAATGGGATCCTACCATCCACGGGACTTGCATCAACACCCTCAAGTCATACTATGGTGCGTATAAACAGAACTCACCTGGCTGATAGTTAGCTAACACCGTGCAGCTCTCGCAGGTTCGCAGTCTCGGCTACACCATCCATTGTCCAATTCTAACGAACCCAGGAACCAGTCTAGGGTTTGACCTCGTCATCATCGCCCTCCCTCTCCCAGTGCTGTGGAACCTGCAGCTCGGAAAACGCCAAAAGGTACTCACTTTCGCTCATCTACCGCAAGAGTCGACTGACCTAACCTCCACCTCTCCAGATCGCTCTCTGCTGCGTATTCGCCATCGGCTTCTTCGTAACGATCATCCAGATCATCCGCATCTTCACCATCGCGCGACTAAAGACCTACACGGACAGCAAGCCCGTTATTCTATGGTCAATCGTCGAGATCAGCCTAGCAGTGCGTCCACCCCCCCCCCCCCAAACCCCATACTCCACCCCCAAGACTAACATCCCATAAACAACCGCAAAGGTAATAATCGCCTGTGTCCCAACCTACGGCCCCTACTTCCGCGTCTTCGTCTCAACTATCAGCTCCTACCGCCGGCGCCCCACCGGACAAGACTATCCCCTGACATCAGGGAATCGGCAAACGAGCCGGAAAATCGGGCTCAGCAGTCTTGGCCGCGACGAACCCCGATTCGATATCCCCGAGGGCCCTCGACCATACGATAACAGCACGCCGCATACGACGACAATCTCGTCGTCGAAAGTGACCGCGGATAACGACTCCGAAGAGCATATCCTGGGCAACGCTCAGGGCATGTTTGCCAGCGTAGCCGACCAGGAGAGGGGCATTCATAAGGTTATGGAGGTTACGGTGGAGAGGAATTGATATTGATTTGGGGATCTAATCTTGGGTCTGCGTTTTGTATGTCTATGGGCAGCATTGCTGGAGTCATTGGGTTTCGGTTGTAGGGTTTGGTATGGGTTTATGATGGCATTGTATATTATTTTTGGTGGATATATTGTGCAATAGACTTTTCTTTGTGTATTATACGAGCTGGTAGTCTGTGGGGGTGGTGTTTTGGGACTTCCTGGCAAGGAGATGCTGGTGAAGTGAAGGTGGGGATTGGCTTTCGGTATCTTGTGGGACGTGACTTGTGCTGGATAGATAGAATGAGGCACGATATCGGTGTCAATTCGTATTTCAGTTGAATGGTCTCGAGAATATCTACGGTCAAACGAACTCGGCCGGCGCTGAGCCCATTTATAGCTCCCCACAGCAGAGCTTAACGCACCATTGAGGCAAGAAGCAGCATGACCACATCACAGCTACCAATAGCAATCATAGAACTTTATCATTCTTCAATAGAACCCAAGACAACTTCATTATGTCATAGAAGCCAGACAGAAAGTCTAACCAGTGGCGTTGTCGTCCTCCTACCAAGACAGGCATAATGCAGATCAGGTACCCACAATGCAAGCCATTTTCTGCAGAGGGCCTCGTAAAAGTGGAAGCCCGTTGCATCAAAGGCTTAATTAGATACCCCTGTACATCAAACCGAGGCCACTCTAGTTCTGGGCCTGGGCGCAGTACATCCCTGCTCAATCGGGCGCACTTTGGGTCGAGCAGGTGGCGACATTTGTCTGAGTAGCAAACAAGTAGGTGAATGAACCAATCTGACCTGAGGAGTGTGCGTATTGCCAGGCTTTTATGTTGTCTGCAGCTGCTGTGCCACATGATGTCGAGATGTTGCTGTGACTTCATGGTATAGGATGCTCTGCAAGGCGTGCTCGTAGCAATGGCTACCCCGCTATATCAGCCCTTATATAGATGGTAGGAAGTTTGCTATAGCATATCATCGGACCTTCGTGTTTATCTTAGAATCGAAAGTCGTTGTTGTCCCCCGGGATATGATGGCCTCACTACCCAGCGTTGCAGCAATCGTTAACGGGGCCAACCTGAATCCAAGCAACATACCCCAGGTCGAGGTCCTCTTCGCCCAGTTTGCCAGTCTCTCGCCCGCCGAAAAAGACAACGAGCGCGGATCCTTCGTGGACAAAGTGTTCCCGCTCTTCTTCGGCGAAAATGCCGTGGTAGACGGTTCCAGTGCATACGAAGCTCAGCGCCAAGTCCCATGGTACGATACCTGCTACACAAAACTTCAGCTATATTTCTAGCCTAATGTTTACCTTCCCAGGTCGAGCAATTGCTGGCTGCGACCGCAGGTAGTGGTGCTCCCCACGTCCGCCCAGCAGGTCGGAACGACATTATCTCTTTGTCGGTTTCTCGGCATCAAGTTTTCCATTCGCGGGGGCGGGCATTCGCCAAGCATAGGATGGAATAGTAATGATGGAGCGTGGTGATTTCCCTGGCTGCGTTTGACCACCTGAAACTTTCAGAAGACAAATTGACCGCAGATCTCGGGGCTGGCCTGAGATGGATGCACGTCTACAAGGCCCTTGATCCGTATGACCTGGCTGTGGCTGGTGGGAGGTTCCCGATGGTAGGTGTATCGGGTCTGCTTCTGGGGGGTGGTCTATCATTTCGACACGGAGTGAGTGGAATCGGTGCGATGGGGCTATCCAACTACGAGGTAGGTTCTATGAACCTGATAACCTTGCCACCCATTTCTAAGATGAGATAGGTTGTGCTTGCCAATGCCGAGATAGTAAATGCCAACGCAAAGGAAAACAGCGACTTATTCTGGGCGCTGAAGGGCGGGGGCTGTAATTTCGGTATGGATATTGACCTACCACCCCCATTTATATCGTTATTGATTCTGACCTGGCCAAAGGAATCGTGACCAAGATGGAGATGGAAACAGTGCCTGCAAAGATCTGGTCACAGGCCAGGGTGTATGCGCCATCCGTCACCACGGTCCTGTTACAGGCCCCCATGAAGCACCATGAGGCAATAGAACGCGATAACAAGTCCTCTCTGATCTGGATTGGTAATGACCAAGGCATCATACTTGTCTCATGCTACTGCGACCCCGTCGATACGCTTCCGGCTGTCTTCGAGCCATTTGACAATATCCCGTTTGCTTCCCAGAGGCTGGCCCGGGGCGTATACTCGACGTACGAGCTTTTGGGTGTGATAGAGGGTCTTGCTGTTCCTGGACATGTTTGGTTCGTTTTCTCTGTCTAGCTGTAACAGAAGAATGCTAATGGCCAAAGCCATGATTTCCGATCCATGACCAGCCAGCCATCGCTGGAGGTCTACGAAGCTGCCGAGAGAGTACGCGTGGAGCAAACCGACGCACTGAGCGATGTCGAAGGACTCAGGCTATCGAGCATAATCCAACCGATATCCTCAATAGGCATCAAGCAAAGTCAGAGAGTCGGCGGAAATCCACTAGGGCTGGAGGAGGTCGGCCAGCAGTGTATGTCACCTCTGCCTCAGCGTATAATACTTGCTAATGAACTCAGGGTTTCTGGTGATGGCCGATTGGAATAACCCTGTAGATGGAGACCGTGTGCGCCAAGCTATGCGTCGCATAGGAGACGCCGCTGAGGCGACTGCAAAAGCCAACGGGACGTATCTTCCCTACCAGTATTGCAATTATGCCGCGCGGGATCAGGATCCATTGGCTAGTTATGGGACTGAGAATGTGGCGAGGTTGAAGGCTGTTTCCTCCAAGTATGACCCTGATGGTGTGTTTCAGACGCTGCAGCGTGGCGGATGGTTGCTTTCTAGGTGTTCTACTGAATAAATATGTGACTGATATTAAATCGGTATTTATTGAGCAATTTTTCAAAACACGTCAACCTCAGATACAACTATAAGATAGCTGTAAAAGATGTAGACGTCTATTCACTACTGCCGGTGTGCAAGTCGTGGTATAGTACTAGTCTAAGAAGAGACACTTGCTATCAAGGGCCAGCTATATGATGGATGGTCAAGATAAAGTGTTGATCTACACAATTGAATGTCAACCAAACTCCATATGGCGGTGTCTGTACGAGAATTTCTCAAAGTCCTCTCTCTAAAGGTAACATGATGAATTATCCTACACTATACAGCTATACATTTATGGTGAGGAAAGGGTACACCATCACATAATTTTTGACTATCTGAGCCAGAGGAAGAAGGAAACTAATCTACGTAACACATAAATCACCAAGAGTACAGATGATGCAGTCCATATCAATGTAGGTATCCCCCTATTCCTTTCACGCCATTTGTCAAGAATGGTCAGGCAACCCTAAAGACTTCCTGGCTACAGCATCCCAGAGCACCAACACACAGACAATACAGGATCTTCATCCCCAGTGGAACTCACAATGTGATCAAGACAGAGCGAGAGCCAATGACTAACAGCAAAGTCAGCGGAAGAACACTGCGATATCCAGACATGCCATTATGTGTCATGTCATTCCTCTACTTTTGCATGGTAGAGGGGCTTTCCTCTCTGTTGCCCGTTCAAGTTATAGCGCGAATAACATATATATCCTTACTCTTTAAGGCAATCCTTGCTACCACCGTCAAGGGGTTTGCTCTCTTCCTTTCCGTTTCCTACCGTGTGCTATCAGGTATGGTCTGGACCGGGGGGGGGGGGGGGGGGGGGGTCGTCTTGGTTCTCGTAAACGCGGACAGACGGGACTTGAAGTAGTAGACTAGCATGCGCCAGACTGTCTGTCGATCCAAGAAAAAAAAATCTTCAAAAAACATACAACAGGAGGGATTCGCTGGTGGTCACCCACCCAACTACTAACCTCCCGGCGTGTGGCTTAAGTACGGCTGAGCGGACGGGAAGCCCTGTTCTCCACACCCTATGGTCGTATGTACTGGTATCATCGAAGTAGTGAGTTATATAGTGCGAGACAGGTAGGTGCGATAGTGTCATGGCGGGCTCAGGTATAGCTATATATGGTGTGATCCAGGCGATAAGACCTAAGGTCTGAGTATTAAGACCTGTTGTCCTATCTGAATGCGCTTGCCTAGACACAGGCTAGCCTCGATTCATCGTACCATCCGCAATCTGGGTACGTCTCGTTCTGGTTACATGTCCGTACCTCGCCCATAGCAAATATATACACAATGAACAATGCGAGAGCCCATGGTGTGAGGTACATAATCGGTTGACCGTTGTATATAGACCAGCCAGTAAACACCACGATATATCATCAATACAAAGCGAGATGATGATCCTAGCCTCAGTATGCAAGCTAATATCGAAAATATAAACTGGATCATATTCAACCGGCCCCCTAGTTACCTTGCAAGTGGCTTTCGGCTCAATCTCCTGCATGTCATACGGCCAACCATATTGCTGAAGAGATTTCTCGATTTTGGGATACTTTTGGGGTACTGTTAATATTATATCAAGTTCCTAGCTGTTTTAGCAACGGAGAATGGCCCACTATCTCATGATAGTGTTTTGTATAATATATGGTTATTTCTTGACCCACTAGGACAATCAATGGCTGCAATCGAGAGTAAGGACACCGCCCACCTTACGCACAGACATCTGTAAAAAAGATGGAGACCAAGACAGAGGGAGACCCATTACGACCACCGAGATCCCCTCGACCATCTACACAGTCAGTGGGCCGGGGCTGGACTCTACCAACGTACAATGCCATTCTATTGAAGGTTGCCAGCAGATGTGCCGCAACGATGAACATCCAAGCTCCAAAAGGCTCCACAGATCGCCGTCCACCATTGCCTCAATAGGCTTGGTCTCCGCAAATAAGCAATTTGGCTCATCCAGAAACCAAGTCCGAGCTGCGTATATTCCTTCTCGAAACCCGATCTACGCAGTAATGCAGGTACGTACGTATGCTCTCCTCTTGTTTCACGATGGACTGGGTCTGAGGAGCCCCCACATCAGACTAAATCATCTAGAATCTATGTATCATGGTCCACCCTGAACGCGCGTTCAGAATGAAACTCGGGGCATTATACAGTGAGCCACGACTGCAATTTACTCAAGTTCTAGATCACCGGGTTAGAATGCCAGGAAAAGGTAATTTCCGGCTCTTCAAACGGCTCCTTATAATCGGGGGCAGTTGCACTCCCAGATGTCTTCATACATCGTCAACTTGCTGCGTCCTTTCCACGGACTAATAACCCTGACGAACGTCAGATCACCCAATTCAACATGAAATGGTCCATCCTCCCTCTGGCAGGGCTGGTCGCCGGTGTATACGCAGCAAAGAACTGTACCGTGGCGCGCTTGACTGAGCTGCTGCCCGAAAATTCAACAGTCTTCTATGCCAGCGAATACCCAGCTCACTACAACTTCACCCCACCAGTTAGCCTGAACTATGGCTCAACTTCCAGCCCCATGGGTATCAGCGCCTATGAGCTCCCTGTTGCTGCATGCATTGCCCAAGCGAACATCACCCTGCCAAACAACACCCAGCACAGTGTTGGCTTCGTGCTACCGGACGACTGGAACGGCCGCTTCCTCGCCAACGGCAACGGTGAGTTTTCCGGCTCGGTCGGCTGGAGCTCTATCATCTCTGTCTCCTGGTACGGCTTTGCCGTCGTTTCGTCTGATCTTGGCCACGAGGGAAACAACGGTAGCTTCGGCTATCATAACGAACAGGCTCTGCAGAACTGGGGCCACGTTGCCCTCCACAATGCCGTCGTGAATGGCAAGGCCTTAACGGAGGGCTACTATGGGAACGAAATCTCTTACTCTTACTACCGTGGCTGCTCAGCCGGTGGTAAGCAGGGTCTGAAGGAAGTCGAAGAATATCCCGACGACTTCGATGGAGTCATTGCTGGTGCTCCCGCGTGGTGGACCTCCCATCAGCAGCTCTGGAACGTCCTAACAGCCATCTGGAACCTCCCCGAAACAGCAGACTATCACGTCACAAGTGAGCAGATGTCTGCGGTTGCCGCCGAGATCCTCAAGCAGTGCGATCCCCAGGACGGTGTGAAGGACAATATCCTCCAGAACCCCTTCGGCTGTGTCTTCGATATCACCACCCTTGCTTGTAACTCGACTTCTAGCAACGAGACTTGCCTTACATCCCCGCAAATCGGCACCGTCAACAAGCTCTTCAACCCCTGGGTCGACGCAAACGACACCCTCATTTTCCCCGGGTACACTCTTGGCACCGAAGTTGGTGCCCCGTCCCTCGACGCAGACTTCGTCACCTACATCCAATACATGCTCCAGCTTGGCGGCGACTGGACCTGGGAGGACTGGAACAGCCAGGAACTGATCGCGCTCTCTGAGACGATCAACCCCGGGAATGCGACCGCCGACAACTTCGACATCTCCCCCTTCTACGAAAAGGGCGGCAAACTGATCCATTATCACGGGTACTCGGATCCGAGTATCGCAACGGGCTCCTCATTCTACTTCTTCAACCACGTTGTGGAGGCCCTCAAGCCGAAGGGGATCCCGGTTGATTCATTCTATCGTTTCTTCCCCGTGCCGGGTATGGAGCACTGCACGTTCTCGCCGGCGGATCAGAACGCCCCGTACTATTTCAACGGTGCTGACCAAAGTGGCTCGCTGAGTGGCGGTACCTACTGGGGTGTGCCTGGGTTCAATGACTCAAAGCATGACATTGTTCTCGCGATCATGGACTGGGTGGAGAATGGCACCGCGCCGGATTATCTTATCCCTACCAAGTGGTGGAACGATGATCCTGCTGGCGGTGTCGAGATTCAAAGACCGATCTGTCCTTATCCCCAGCTCGCGCTGTACAATGGTACTGGTAACACTAGCCTTCCGGAGAACTGGCACTGTGGGACCTTGTACTAGGTTGTGAGTGGTATGTCCGCTCCATTGGTCTTATGTGGTTGATTTAAAGTGATAGAAAGATTGGTAGCGGATGCAAGGTCAACTATCGCGCCTGTTTTCATGGTCCATATTGTATGTATGACTTCCATCGCTAGCTGCGTGGGTGAATCGTAATTAGATGTACATTGTAAAATAAAGAAGTACATAATACTCCACACTGAGAAAAGCATGCTCTGCCCGGGATGCCATTCCTGCTTTGCCAGAAATTCCACGATATGGTTGCACGTACTTGGTTCAATCTGAAGAAGCCATATTCGCTTGGGATGACCATAGGCCAGTCCAGGACAGTGCTGAAGGAGTAAGTTCGATATTTGCGCGATAATTAGCCGTTACCCTAACTATGCAATTCTATAGCCCATCGCCGCTGTGTATGTCATAGGACAGGCCTTCACCAAATCCCTATCGCGAGAGACGCGCCAGGAAGTGGCCCCTCAGCCAGTACATCTAGAAACCGGGGAACTATATCTTCATATATCGCCGACTCATCCTCTCCGTGGTCACACGGGGCCATCTTAACCAAAAATACATCTCCCCAATAGTGGCGGTGGCCACCATCTCCCATATCGCTGATCCAGGCGGGAACAGACTGGTTTTCCGGTAGATCGTCGAGGGCCCAGGAGTAGAAGACGTAGTAAGCTCCCGTGCAAGAAGAATGCTGCTGCTGCAGAACATGAAAGTGTTCAGGTAGTAAATGCCGTTGCCGGAGATGAAGCAGCTGCCGGGGTTTAAGATCCCGACGTAGAAGCACTTCCCAAAGATCATGCTTTAGCCGAAGATAATGTGATCGCTGAATATGACTATCTAACTTCAAATCAAGTCTGTGCAGGTCGCGATATTCCCAGGAGTTGCCCACATTCCAATAGGGGCGTAGGTCAGGAACACGGATAAGAAAGCTGTCCCTGGATGTATCGTCATTAATCGTAGTGAGGGGGAGGAGATGAGCAGGAGTGCCGTCGGCTGGTATCCTGACTCCAGTAACCGTGACAGGTGGAGGACTTGGCGATGGCTCCTCTTTCCAACCAAGGAAGGACCAGATCGAAGCGAACATTATGAAGGTCTGTGTAGGTGTAAGATAACGAGATGAATGGAAGGGGGGACGGTGTTTGTTGTTAATTGTTATGCATGGTTTGAGCCACACTACGCCACAGAGACAGCCCTGATTACCTGACGCTCGCGCAGTTCCCAGTCAGCAGATGGACAATGCTGTCTTTCTGTCTGAGAGATCGTCGACAGATGAATAGTAAGGTATATCAGATGCTAAGATTCCTAATGTAGAAAAAAAGCCTTCCTACTTAGAACAGCAACCCAATTCTACGCCAAATACCAATTTAACCGCCCTGGAGGAGACCATCTCCTCTCCCTAATTCGAATGAACGTCCATCGCACTTTCGTCAGTAACATAGTGGCTCTCGATATTACGTGGGAATGGATGGAAGATGAGTATATATCTCCGTTCCCCATGGCAAGGCCCGGGGCTGACGTTGCCACTCTTCCAGGGAGATTATGGCCCACTGAACTCCAGTGCAGCAATGTCCACCATACCTAGATTGACTTGTTCCCTTGTCCAGTCATGAGGAATATCCTTGTTCGGACAGGAAATGACTGGGATGCTGAAGAGTTATGCACCGATCTCATGGGGCTCTGGGATGTACCTCAACCGGACCTTTGGCATTACCTGTCTAGAGCAAGCCTGCTGATCCACGAAATTGGGAAATTACTGAAGGGGTGGAGTTGAGTTATGCAAGCCTGTGTGGATTTGATGTGGTCAACGAGTTATTGGCGAGCAAGACCTTTGCTTCCGATAGCTGCTATATACAGCCAGCAAGGGAAAGGCTTTCTACAGGGTCAAACGGATTAGTTCGAATAACATGGCAAAGGGGTTGGAGCACCGAGCAAAATAGTAAAGTCATGTTGTTATGCCTAGTAAACTCTCGAAAAAGAACGGCTACTCGCCTTCCTCGGTTCTAGATAACTACCATGTACCTTGCCGATACCTTCTTTGTCACTTGTAAGGAAGGTAGGCCATGAGATAGGCTCAAAGTATGACCAATAGCCTTCATATTCCTGCGAAATTCGTCTAGCACTTTACGACTATCTGGTACAAGGCTGGCCCCAGTCCTTGAACGCTGCCGTTATTTGGAATAAGTGCAAAAAAATGTCGTCAATATATCAAGCAATGAGCCGTAGAACTAAGAATAATTTGGAATACTCCGTTGGGAAAGAAAGAGGAATGGAGCCTCGCTACAGAATACAACCTCGGTTAAGACAGAAGCGGAGGATGAAAATCGTAGACTCTGGGGCACTAACGAAGATGGACCCGATCACTATCACCATCGTGCCCGTTCATCCCTAGATGAGTTTCCTATCCTCGTACATGGAGGTTGAAATCTAGTCTTGCAGTATGGCCACCGTCGGAATACCTCGTGGAGGCTGCAGAATAGGGTGGTTAATTAGCACCCTGCTTGATAGCCAGTTGATGCGGGGCAGGGCAAGTCTAGGCCAATACTATCAACCAGGGTCTGCAGTGCGTATTTGCCCTCAACACGTTGCTCATTGTGGATAGACCTACTCAAAATACACTGCTATGGTGCGTCGGGAGAATTCCGAAGTGGTACACAGCAACCAGGAACCGCATATGTGCTCCCCTTCGGAGATGGCCCCGACGTGGCTTTCGCAAGTGACTACAATCGCAGGCCCTGAGAATCATTACTCGGTTTGCAGGACAACACATGATCCTCTGCAAGAGCGTGGCATGAATATTGGCCAGCAACCCTCCAACTCGGTGGTACGTCCGAAGGGCCAGTCCACCTGATGATGGAGAAGAGTCTCCAATATGGCAGCTCGTCAAGTTCTCCAACTTCGGCCTCCGAAGCAAGATATAAGTAGCTCCTCTACGACCAGTCAAGAAATCCCAACCCAGTTCAATCACTCTCATACCTATATTCAAAATGGATATCCTCGACCGCAAGCCCTACAACCATGCCATCCACACCAGCCCCTCCAACGACCTCCGCCTAGTGCAATCAGATATCCCCGAGATCCAACCCGATGAGTGTCTCGTCCACGTCCGCGCCACTGGCATCTGTGGCTCCGACGTACACTTCTGGAAACATGGCCACATCGGCGACATGGTCGTAACAGGGGACAACGGCCTTGGCCATGAGAGTGCCGGAGTAGTTCTCAAAGTCGGCAAGGACGTGACTCGGTTCAAGCCCGGTAAGTCGACTATCTAACCAACCCCCCCCCCGTTTACCACCAACCATAGAAAGCTCTTACATACTAACGAAACCAAAACAGGTGACAAAGTCGCCATGGAATGCGGTATCCCCTGCTCCAAACCGACCTGCTACTTCTGCCGCACAGGCCAGTACAACGCCTGCCCGGACGTGGTCTTCTTCTCCACGCCACCTCACCACGGCACTCTCCGACGATACCACGCCCACCCCGAGGCATGGCTGCACCATCTTCCCGACAACATCTCCTTCGAAGAAGGCGCCCTTCTGGAACCCTTAACCGTCGCCCTAGCAGGCATCGACCGATCCGGCCTCCGCCTCGCCGATCCCCTGGTGATCTGCGGCGCAGGCCCCATCGGTCTGGTCACTCTGCTCGCCGCCAACGCAGCGGGCGCAGAGCCCATCGTCATCACAGATCTGGACGAAGGCCGTCTAGCAAAGGCAAAGGAACTAGTTCCCCGCGTCCGGCCAGTGAAGGTCACAAGAGAGGACACGCCCAAGGCTCTCGCCGGCAGAATCATCGAGACTCTAGGGCAAGAGGCAAAGTTGGTTATTGAATGCACGGGCGTGGAGTCTAGCATCCATGCCGGCATATATGTAAGATATCCCCCTTTCTCCTCTCCGTCTTCGCAGCATTCAAACCAGATAACCTGACTGATCTGGCAACCAGTCCACCCGATTCGGTGGCTCTGTCTTCGTGATCGGCGTCGGCAAGGATTTCCAATCCATCCCTTTCATGCATCTCTCTGCGAAGGAAATCGATCTCCGCTGGCAGTACAGATATCACGATATCTACCCGAAGGCGATTAGTCTGGTGGCAGCAGGAATCATTGATTTGAAACCGTTGGTTTCGCATCGGTACGCGTTGGAGGACGGGATCAAGGCGTTTGAAACGGCGAGTAACCCTGCTTCGAAGGCTATTAAGGTGCAGATTTTGGATGATTAGATTTGCTTTTAATGGATGGTGGCGTGTGTAATAGAGTGGGAGTTGGAGTGGTTGGGGGTGTACAAAAATGGAGATGTCCTTAGTTCTGTTTCTGCTTTTTTTTGTGTGTGTTTTCACTACTGTGGACGTTATATCCGTGCAGGAAATGCATAACTCGGTACATGGATTTATAATTTGGATGTTTGGCATAGCTGTAGGCGTATATGCTGTCTTCTAGGCCTTAGAGCTGGATGCATCCACCGGTGGTGGAATGTTCTTGACCAATTGTTTGGCCGTTACGTAGACCTGCCAGAGAGAATTGGAGAGTTCATACAGCAAGAAGTACCTCTCTGGGTGTTTTAGAAATGCATAATCTTAGGATATGTGAGTATTCACGCCGTAGGGCTAGAAGTAAGGCGACGAGAGCAGCACTGTCTTATATCAACGCCAAGTTCTACAAATACCAGATGAATGTCGGAGCCATTATTTTAGTACCGGAGCCACAAACAATTAACATACTGAATACCCTTCGGCGTAAAGCTCGTCTAAATTTATAAGATATATATTGTAGAAGTCATTGCAATATGGGACAAGTTATTTTAACAACATCAAGTATATAGCATGCCACCATTCGCACAGATCACATCCCCAGTGACCCATCTGGATCTTTCCTCCGCCAGGAATGTAATAATATCTGCGATATCCTGAGTAGTGCCGCATCGCTGACCAGCAGGTACCTTCTTATTCTGCTCCTCCATCCTGGCGAGATGGACTGGTCCGGCAGCCTGGTACATGTCGGTATCGACAGGGCCCGGGTTCACGGCATTGACTGTGACCCCATACTTGTGGCCCAACTCGGTAGCCCATACGCGGGTGAGACCCTCGACAGCGGCTTTGGTGGCAGCGTACACAGACTGTGTTGGGTAGCCGCCTCTCGCGGAGATAGAAGAGAGATTGATGATGCGGCCGCCGCGAGGGATGTAAGGCAGAACGGCCTGGGTCATGAAGACCACGGCGCGGACGTTGATATCCATCAGCTGGTTATAGCTTTCAAGCGTTACTTCTTCCAGCGGTCTGTTGTCGCCTGCTCCGGCGTTGTTGACGAGTATGTCGATCTGTGTGGTTTGGAAGGCAGACAAAACCGCGGAAACAAGGGTCGCTGGGGCCTGGGTATCAGCCAGGTCCGCTTGTATACCGAATGCCTCGTGGCCGTCATTCTGTAAAGACTCGACAAGGGAGTCTGCAGCTGTACGCGATGATGGGGAAACATAGTTGAATGCGACCTGTTCTTCGTCAGAAATCCATTAATGAACAAAATGGTGAAACGTAGTTACATACCTTTGCTCCTTGTTCGCTTAAAGCACGAACTATTCCAGCGCCGATTCCTCTCGCCCCGCCTGTGACTAGGGCAATCTTTCCTTTGAGAGACATGGTGTTTAGGGCTTGCGGTGTTCTTTGTTGAACTTATGGTTCGCTTTGGTAGGTCGTACTTGAGGTTCGAACAAGTAGAAAATTAAATACTTATACTCCTGCCCTTACCGATTATTCATGAGGGGTCCATCGGTCCAAACCAGTAGACCTTCCACCCACTGTATGCGACTTTCAGACGCAAGAGGCGTGATAAAGATCCACATAGAATAATGTTTCTCGCTGCTATCTCCGAGCAGCTGATGTACAATTGGGTGTCCCTCAGTGGAGAACGGGCTCGGAGGTATCGCCGAAGCCGAACAACACACAACGTGGGGAAGTATATGATGTTCTTCAACATATCACCTGAGAACTACTCCTCACCCCGGATGGCTTCACCCCAGAATTCGTAGAATAATTCAAATTGGTGAGTTTATGTATCGCACGAGAAAGTGACCAGGTCAGGGAAGGTCAAAATGTGGCCACTCCGATAACGAAACAAACCAATACACCCACCCGCCGGACATGATCCCTCGACGACTCGGGAAATGGATCCATGATATGTATACAAACTAGCTGCGCGGCTGTTTGGGTACGACCAAGGAGTGATGGGCATCATTGTCACTGACCATTTGCGCTATATGCATGTATCTTAGCTGGCCCGTCCGAGAAGTGCATGCTGCAGTATCGACGTGCCCGCATCCGCAAGTTGCTGGCTGAGCCTAGGATCTCTAGATGATTAGTGGCTAGAAAGTGGAGACACAGATCGTGGCCAAGTCGGGAGTTCATGCATTAAGCGCATGGTGATCACATTGGCATCCAGGGGCTCGTTCCTGAATGTCCTTCTGGGCCCTCGAAGAAATTTTGAATCATGAAGCCTCCCGCTGCGTCCAGAAGCTCCGCATTAGACATGCCTTGTGGATACCACGTAAAGCTATCCTCTAGCCCCATCGATAACGGGTTGTATATTGCTTGGTTTTGAGTACCGGGCGGGGGAGCCCAGAGGGCACGAGAAGTGCGTGACAAGGCCGTTGTTGGGTTCGGGCTAGTATTTTGAGTTAAGTCACCACCATGGCCTTGTTCTATTGTGTGTTAGTTGTGAGCCCTTGATAACCGTGGCAAAATAGGAACGGGAGACGGGATAGGTATCCTCACCGAGGAGCTTCTGTAACACATTCCGTGCGCGGAAGGCCATGTCATGCGATGATCCAAGGCTCTCAAGGCAATCTACAGCCTGTTGGAGATGTTCCTTCCATGACGGAGACATAGTATGGGTGGGGCTGTAGATATAACAAGTGGCCTGCACAAAGCTCGCTGTGATTAACCAATATGTCGCATACCACGCCAGACCCCTTTTCCTACTATCTGTATGGTTGAGGAATCCACATATAGACGTGACACATTCGTCAGCTGCCGCGAGGCACGACTTGATCGGGCCCTCCGATGTACTGATGGCTGATCGTGTAGCTATCGCCTCGAATAAAAAGGGCCGGTTCAGCACGATACGCAAGTGAAACGACCTCCATATAAGGACCCTCTTCGGTAACTCCAAGTGCGGTTCCAGATTGACATCTTGGTTGAAATATGGGGGCAGGTCCTTCCACCAATTCCCAATACTCTCTTCGAGCTTTATAGCTTTCTCATATCTTGGAATGTGGTGTGTGAGAAGCTCCACCTGAACGGCATTTGCAATCTTAGCTAGCTTCACTTGAGCAATAAGAGCCGATGTGATGGTGGGCCCAGGCTTGCACTCAGGCAAATGCTCCATGTCGACCGCAATATCCTGGTCATCCAGGTTTGACGGGAGGCGGATGTTCACTCCGACTAAGGAAACTGCAGGCCTTCCTAGAGTCAACTGAGCCCCGGAAACGAAGACAAACAGTGTCCACCAAACGCGTCGGCGGATCTCCATGGTGAAAGGCGACGTGCTTGGCATGCCGAATTCGCGGTGCAAGCCGATAGCAAGAGCCATGCTGAAGCCGATGCCGATAAGGATAAACCCTGCGTTAGGCTTGTTTCTTTTTTGCAGATAATTAGCCATTATAACAATGGCTTGCACGTAGCTCAAAGACCCTTTCTCGAGGACATCCATTGTTAAGTGTCTACGCGCTTCCTTGTAAAAAGGGATGTCACATTTAGTCGCATTCGAATCGCCCACGAATGCACCGATGGCGAGAACTGTGTTATATAATAGCGGCCACGAGCCGTCCCGTGGTTTAGCCAGGGCACCTATAATCGCTTAGTAAATACGATATGTCAGCCTCGTGAACAAGGTTTACCTGATATTCGCGCACGAAAAGTCCCTTCATGTAAGATAGGATATGCGGGATGGTAGAGAGCGAAGTAGTCATCAATATAATGGCTAACTGTAGCCATTGATTGAGATCGTGCCGCAGGAAAATCATCCTCATCCAATGATGAGGGCGTGTTCACGCTGTTCAGTGGAAGGTACAGGGGAAGAGACTGCAGAAATTTCAAGGCAGCTATACCAGACTGCGGTCCTGTATATCCAGCCTTGTGCGGATCAGCAGTTAAGAAGCCCATACCGTCGATCGAGTTATCGAAGTCTTGAGATTCGTCAAATTCATAGTCTTCTGCGTTGCTGTGTTCGGTGAAGTTTGTTGGGAGTTGCTCAGTATGGTGTTCCACCTCAGTAGTCACCTTACTCTCCTGGCTTGGGTCTACCGGAGCTACCTGGCGGCTCTCTCGTACAGTTCGAAGTGCTTCTTGCAGATCAACTGTCGGAAGATACGTCCTCCAGGCCTTTTCCATGTCCTCCCGAAGTTGTTCATATTCCTGAAGACGCCTTAGGTAGGTTATGTAAGTAAAAATATTCCCACCATTTAAAAACCGCAGGCCGAGTAATATAAGTGAAACCCGCAGCAGATAGCCTCACCTTTGCAGTGACGATAATTTTTGCGACGGGGACGAGTATCGGCATGCTTTTGCATCTCTGACGCAGTTGGAGCAAGTATCATCGCCGGAACATCGAACTTTCCGCCGTTTACACTCATCGCACGCAAATGTTTTGCGTAATATTCGACGAGCTCTAACTGTATCACTCATCTTGCCGACGTACATGTATTCATTGAATGTGACATATTGGATCGGTCAATTGTTCGGAGGGACGAGGCGACACGGACACGGACATCGTGCGGGAAGCCGATTCCGAGCTAACCCCTTTCAGGCTAGTCCGTCTTCTCTCCACGGGGTGTCTGCCTTAGGCAGCAAGGAGCCAAAGTCAACTACAAATTGGGGCCATTCCACCAGAGAAAAATGTACAAGAGGTCTATCTATGTACCTTCATGGGTCTAGGTTTGTCGACTCAGGTGTCTACTCCACTGCCAATTTCAAGTCATATTTGATTCAGGAACTGTTTATTCAGGATATGTCGCTCAACGCATATCCTTTAGAGACAAGGCCCCGCCTCCCAACCTGGACTTAGATCAACTATAATCCTAGTTGTATTGAGAGCCATTGGCCAAAAGTAAAAAGAATGAAGAAGATTATCCCCAATTCATCACAGAGTATCGTTGGCTTTAAAGCTTGAACGTCAAGGACGTCATGAGAGGGCAACTATGAGTGGCTTCTGACCAAGGATGAACCTGGGGACAGTGCTCATCACCAGCAGCGCAACTGATAGAGGGGCAGTCATTGGATGAAGGCTGAATGGAAAAGCCACGCGTAGTAAACTCAGAGGGTAGGTGGAGGTCAGCACATGAGACATCCCAATAGACCTTGTCGCCGCTCATTTCATACTCGAACTGTATGACATCGTTTGCTTCTAGGTCAGGCTTTGTTGACACCTTGACGGCAATGCGGCCCCCTTTAGCATTCACACGCCATATTTCTTCGTAGGTGCCACCCCCAGCAGGAAGCGTGTTCATGCTGCCTTCTTTATCGGCCACGGACCAGACGTAGATTGGGGCGGGCAGACTATTGACAATCTTGACGCCTCCGATACTGCGAGGTGAAATGTCATCGACGGGTTGACTGAGTACGGTGGAGAGGAAGGTCATAAAGACGGCAAAAGCGGCGAAGAGCAACATTTTTGTGGAAGATAGGTGCACGGCTGTTTTCGCTATGAAATCAATCACGATGGTGTTCAGTAGCACCTTTGTTTCGCAGATCCTAAAGAAGGTAGATGAGAAGACTTTCAGTTAACAGGCTCTAGAGGTACTTTATATCCCATTAGAGGCCATTCCCCCGTAGTGAATTTATCAGCTATTTGGGATGGATAGTCACATGCCCAGCCCTAAAGCTCCCGTCATCAGCCCCCACTGGGTCATCTTGAATATCCTGCAATTTAAGATCTACTACATATTCACTGCAGGCCTCTACGTGGAACCTTGTGCAATAGGTAAGGTTCCATTAGCTTCATTCAATCCCTCAATATGAGCCAGCGGAAGCTCTACCCGAGGACACCTGGTGAAACGATGCCTGAACACGGTGTGGACTATATCAGCCTTCATCTTTGTTGCCACAAACAAAGAAGCCATGTGGGGTTGAAACCTTCCAATATCTTTGACAAAAGGAAGGTTATTTCGTGTGTCAATGGCTTCTAATGTACAATCAATCATATTGTAGTATAAGGGTACCTAAAACAGTGGCGTCCTAAAGGTGCATATGAGGATGTTAATTGTTTAGCAAGAATAACTGGTTTACCCTCCGATAATAGGTGACTATGAAATCATCATTTCTGCTTTGCCCTCTCCCTCCCAATTTCATTGAGCCTCATATCTATCAACTGGAACGTTCTTCGACATGAGCCCCGTATTGCTCTCAGTCGGCAAGTCCAGTTCCTTCTCGATGTAACCCACATAGGTAATGCTGTTAACAACTGGGCCTGTAATAAGAGTAATATCACCATTCACCAAGTCACTTATACGGCCGGCGGTCTCTTCGATCATAGCCCATCGGCTCAGTGTCGACAACACCTCCACTGCAATTACCTCTCCTTCTGCTGGCACTATTATTGGAGTTACTGTGACAACATCGCTCAGTTCTACTCGACAAAGCAAGGACGGCTTTTTAGAAAGACGGACACTGGTAGTCGCTGCAGATGCGAAAAGGTTGCTCGCTGTGTTGTCCATAAAGATTGTCTCTTCGGCCGACCATCCTAGTGTTTCTCGAATCGCCTCACTTGTATGAGCCCATCAATAAAAAGCCGATAAAGACTACAGCTGAGATTAACCTACAGTCAGAAATGGCCACATAAGCTCTGTAACTGTGCTGTTTCGTTTACAACATGACTGTATCGCCAGGATTGGATTGTGTTGTACAGTAACCATCATAACTATTGTACCTTTTTTTTTTTGAGTGAATCTCTACGTCAAGCTGGGGTGCGAGCTGTTTGCTACTACTGAACGAATGACTGACCATTTCGGGAATCCATATTTGAATTCATATTCGAATCCATGATGTGTTCACCCATCAGTGCTCAAAACATGTAAAATTATATTCTTTGGGAAAGACTTTAATCATAATAGATATGGCGGCACTTCTATGATTTTATATGTAATTCTTTCGATACTGGTATCTCTTTCTGTATATAGTATGTGGTTCACTAGGTTCATACTCGTATACGACAATGCTGAAGTGTATCCGAATATATAAACGTAGGGCGAACTATTGACGATTGGTCTCCCGCAAGGTTCCTCATAGGAATTACTTACCCATGATCAAGTCGAGAAGTGTAGAAAGATCTTTGAAATCGCAACTTAAACAGTACTCAACGCCAAATTACCGGCAAAGCTCCGAGAAAAGCCCCCCTGCCAGCCGATGAAATAGTATTTACGCCAAGGTTGACGGCCTCTATACGTGAATTCGTGTCATTGGCGAAAAATAAAACCAGAAAATCCGATATAGTTCTATTCTCTAAAAGTCTATCTGGCGTCTATGCAATTGGGCATATGGCTAGATGCAGGGAAACTAATCCCAGCAAACAAGAGAACAAAGGCTAAACGTCAACAAAGAAAGAACATACGTTCATTGCGGATATCAAGATACGCTATCATTCAAACATGTTTTACACGCAGAGATTGGAATTCGTCAGTTATTTCTTCAGGCCCAGGAGGTTGATACTCTTCGGGCGCTCAATGGGCAGGCCGAGGGCACGGTCCCAGATGAGCTGGACGAGAGGGCCCAGAGCACGGCTGACACCGAAGGTGACGGTGTAGTAGAGGGGCTGCTGGAATCCATAGTGGTAGAAGAGCACACCAGAGGCGGCATCAACATTGGGGTGGGGGTTCTTGGTCTAGTATCGTTAGCATAGGTGGTTTGAGAATGACCGAGATGATCATTTACCTTTCCATGTTCCGTAAGAACGCCAGGGGCAATCTCGGAGTTCTTCTTGACCAATTGGAAGACAGGGTTGGCCAAAACATCAGGGCGAGTGGCAGCAAAGTCCATGAGGGCCTCGAAACGGGGGTCAGGCTTGCGGAGGACACCATGGCCGTAGCCAGGGACGACCCGACCCGACTTCAGGGTGTCCCAGAGGTAGGTACGGACATCCTCATCAGTGAACTTGGTTCCGATCTTCTCCTGCATGGACAGAATCCATCGCAGGACTTCCTGGGCAGCAAGACCGTGCAGAGGTCCGGCAAGACCCAAGAGACCCGCGCTGTAACTCAGGAAGGGGTCGCTCAGGGCGCTTCCAACCAAGTGGGTCGCGTGGGCGGACACATTACCGCCCTCGTGGTCACCGTGGAGAGCCAGGTACAGACGCAGCAAATCATGGAAGTCCTGGTTCTGCTGGCCACCTTTGCCGAGCAGCTCCGCGAAGTTGTACGACCAATCCTGGTTCACGTCGAGAGATTGGGTGCCGACGGTGTCGATCTCGTTGGGGCGGAAGACCAAGGCAGCGACACGGGGGATCTTGGCGAGCAAAGAGATGCTGTCATCGAATGTGGGCTCCCAGTAATCGGCCTTGTTCAGACCCTTCTCATAGGCCTTGGCGAACTGCGACTCCGTGTTCAGGGCAGCGACGGCGATCGAGAGCTGCGTCATGGGGTGCATGTCGCGGGGGAAGGACTTAATGAGGTCCAGGATGGGCTGGGGGAGGTGGGACTTCTCAGCCAGTTCGCGCGAAAAGGCGCGCACCTGGCTGGTGGAAGGGACCTGTCCCGTGAGGAGGAGCCAGAACATGGCTTCGGGCAACATCTCGGTGCCGGAGGTACCCTTGGGCAGCTCCTTCTGACAATCCTTGATGGTCTTGCCGTGGAAGCGGATTCCCTCCTCGGGATCGAGGACCGAGCCCTCCCAGAGCATCGACTTGAGACCACGCATACCACCAATAACATTGGCAACCTTGACCTCACCAATCACATCGTCCCCACGTTGTTTCACCTGCTGGAAGAGTTCACGTTTGGCGGGGATGACCGACTTGAGGGTGGACTTCAGATCGGGCTCCGCCGTCGCATAAGATCTGCGAGAGGTATACTGAGCCAATAAACGCGAAGACTGTCACAGTGGCCAGATTTAGTTTCTGCATTAGGGTGATACCCATTGCGACCGGGGACTAACCTGAGCCAGCTTGGTAGCATGGCGAGTGGTTCGCATGGACATGGCCATGGTGTATTTATTTATTTATTTGTAAAGAAAAGGCCCGTAGAATTACACTCAACACAGGAAACCAGAACAGGTTTTTGTGCCGAAGCCTATCAGGGAGGACGATGGGAGTTTTTAAATCTCAGGGTGAAGATATACAAGGAAGAGAAAGAACAGCGAAAGGAGGGAGCACGAATTATACGCCGAGGGTCTCCCTTGCACCGCAGCCCGATTTGGACGCACGGTTGGCCGCGGAGGAACGGTGAAGGTGACGACGAGGTACCGAGGCAATCCCCCGGCTGCATGCGGAGAGAACCAACCCCCATTCCTACAATTTAATTACTTAAGAGGTTAAATCACACCACTTCTCCCTCACGGTCGGATGGAAGGATGTAGTAATTGCTAGTAATAAATAACTCTACCATTCTATAATCAGAGAGAGCAAAAATACATCATTATTCTACACTGTTGATCTGTTTTGATATTTATTTGTTGTTCTTATTACCGAGGGTCGGGTATTCCTCCTTGCAAGGGATGTGATAGACCATATGCTTCGGGATAAGCTGATAGTTGATCATCGGCATACGAGATGATTGTCTAATTCAGTGTAGGTGGGATAAGAGAGACCTGCAAACTACACCGGGCAAAGAGGTCTATAGAGGTGTTCCAGAATGCAAGAGAAAGAGTATATAAATGCCGCTGGTCCTCGCCCAGAGGGTTGAATGTAAGATACCTGGTGTATTGAATGTTTGGATGAGAAACCAAAACCCCGTCCCGTCACATATCCGCGGGTTGGCGGATCCGGCGTGCGGGGTAACCCCGATGTGGAATAGCCTGCCTCGGGGTGAAATGGATCTCTCTGCCTGAGGCATGAATGCCAAGGGAGCACCGCCACAGCCGGCACCTGGCTAGACCCTTACCAGCCATACTTGCCTCAGGCACCGGTCAGCCACCCGGGCTGAGCCAACAATCAAAACCCATGCGAAGGCGGTGTATTCTGATTGGTGCAAACCCTGGCCCCTGCGCCTCAGGCAGAGATTTTCACCCGCGCCCAATCACAAGGGAACTTATCAGTGGCCCAAAAAAAAATAATCGCCGCCCCGCCATCATTATCAGTGATCTTTCCAGTTCAGCCTGGATTTTCTTCCTTCTTCCTCTTGTCTCTTCACTCTCCCCTCTTTCCTTTCTCTTGTTCATATACCCTGTTGTTTGTGTTGAAGACGGACCCTCGCTCTGAGGCCGATCTGACCGTTGGATTTTCATCAAAAAGTTTTGAATTTCGTGTAGATTTCTTTGTTACTTTTCTTTTCTCCTTTTTGTGGCATTTTCAATTTTTCCACCAGACGACGCCGCTTTAGTGGCTTACAGATTTAGTGCAAAGGTCGAAGCGAAGGCACACTCTCCGGTGAGAGACGCACGGCATTTTGATATCGCCCCATATTCAATAGAATGCCTCATTCCGAAAATACAATCATGGCTACCGCTGTTTCCAAGACTCCATCTACCGTCCCTCCAACTCCGGAGGAGATTTCGTCCCTGTTCAACACTATCTTCACCGCAGAGACCTCCCAGCAGTCTCTTGATGCCTCCTACGCCTTGACCAACTTGTTGATTCAAAGTGTCGGCTGCCTTGGCTTTCAGAAATATGACGTCTTGTCACAAGTCAAGAAGGCGGCGAGTGATAAGAAGAATGGCGCCCTCCGTGAGAGTGCCATGCTGATCCTCGGCGCCCTGTTCGAACGTTTCCCCCGCGAACATCCTCTGAGCGAAGTTGTGTTCCTCCTCCAAGATGGTGGCGTTCTTGGTATTGCCCTCGATGCGTTGGCCGACAAAGGCGCAGTCGTGCGCGATTCCGCTCAGTATGCAATCGATGCCTTGTTTGCCTGTCTCAAGCCTGAATCCATGGCCAATGGTCTCTTGCCTGCCCTTTCTGCTTATCTCAGTCGCGGCACTGGTAAGTGGCAGGGCTTTGTCGGCGCATACTCCCTGGTCGAGAAGATGGCCGTCAAGGCGCAAATGGGTAATGGAACTATGGAGGAAGAACGTGAGAAGGATATACTGCGCGAGGCCATGGGCAAGACTCTGAAAGATTTGATTCCTCTGGTGGAGTCCGGCATGCACGATCTGAAGGCTGAAGTGGCTAAGCGGGCTTGCAAGGCCATGAACGCGGTGACCACCCTCTTGTCCAACGATGATGTTGCCCCTCGTATTCCTCTTTTGATCAAGACCATGGAGCAGCCGTCTGAGAAGACACTACAGGATGCCATCCATGCCTTGTCGCAAACTACTTTCGTCGCCATTGTTACCTCGCCTGTCCTGGCCTTGCTCACTCCTTTGCTCGAGCGCTCCTTGAACGCCCCGACAACGCCCCAAGAGACTTTGCGCCGCACGGTCGTGGTCGTGGAAAACTTGACAAAACTCGTGCACGATCCCTCTGAGGCACGTACGTTCTTGCCCAAGCTCATCCCCGGTGTACAGGCTGTCAAGGACCGTGCTTCTTTGCCAGAAGTCCGAGAGCTTGCCACCCGCGCATTGAACGTGATGGAGAAGGCTATGAGCGACAGCAATGTTCACGCTGGATCGGTCACCAAGACCACTCCGGATGAGGTTCTCGCCGTCTTGGATGCCCAGATCCAGGCCAACGGCGGCCTTGCTGTGCCCGAGGCGCATACGCTTTTCGAGCTCGGTAAGACGTACATCGCAGAGATGGTTCGGGAGGATGTGAACTGCCGCATGCACGACCGCATCCCTGTCTGTGTCGCACCCTACCTGCGCGGTTTGCTCCCGGAGGATAAACATGATGCTGTCGCCTCCGCTCTCCAGGCACATTTTATCGAGAAGGACCACCGCAAGTTTGGTAAGCCCGAACCCGACGATCCCAATGAGGTCGAGATTGTCAACGCCAACTTCTCCCTCGCCTACGGTGGAATGCTTCTTCTCAACCACACCAACCTCCGCTTGCTGAAGGGTCATCGTTATGGCCTGTGTGGTCGCAATGGAGCTGGCAAGTCCACTCTCATGCGCAGTATCGCCAACGAAAAGCTGGAGGGCTTCCCACCGCAGGATGTTGTTCGAACCTGCTTTGTGGAGCATAACCAGGGTGAGGATGCTGACCTGAGCATCATCGAATACGTCTCCAAGAACCCCAAGATTGCAGAGGCTGGCCAGGAGCACATCAGCCAGGTGCTTCTCGAATTCGGCTTCACGGATGGCCCCGAGGGCCGCCAGTCGCAGCGTGTTGGGTCGCTGTCGGGTGGTTGGAAGATGAAGCTTGCGTTGGCCCGTGCCATGCTTATGAAGGCGGATGTTCTACTCCTGGACGAACCCACTAACCACTTGGACGTTGCCAATGTGAAGTGGTTGCAAGAATACCTCAAGAAGCACACTGACATCACCAGTTTGATTGTCAGTCACGACTCCGGGTTCTTGGACGAAGTCTGCACGGATATTTACCACTATGAAGGCAAGAAGCTGGTCTGCTACAAGGGTAACCTGGCTGCTTTCGTCAAGCAGAAGCCCGAGGCAAAGAGCTATTACACTTTGTCCGCCAGCGCTGTTCAATTCAAGTTCCCTCCCCCTGGTATTCTGTCCGGCATCAAGTCCCAGACCCGTGCCATCCTCCGGATGACCAACTGTTCCTACACCTATCCCGGTGCCCCCAAGCCATCCCTGACCGACGCATCGCTCACCCTGACCCTGTCGTCCCGTGTTGCCATCATTGGAGGAAACGGTGCTGGTAAATCTACTTTCATCAAGATGCTTACGGGAGAGACGATTCCCCAAACCGGCAAAGTTGAGAAACACCCCAACCTTCGTATCGGTTATATCAAGCAGCACGCTCTCGAGCACGTGGAGATGCATTTGGAGAAGACCCCTAGCCAGTATCTCCAGTGGCGTTATGCTAACGGTGACGACCGCGAAGTCTACTTGAAGCAGACCCGCGTTCTCACCGAAGAGGATAAGGCTCAGCTGGAGAAACCGGTCGACCTTAAGGATGGCAGGGGCCCCCGTCGCATTGAGGCCCTTATGGGTCGGCAAAAGTGGAAGAAGTCGTTCCAGTACGAAGTGTAAGTTATCGCTACCTGCTTGTCTCCGCGCGCCGCCGCTAACAGATACCATAGTAAATGGATTGGTCTCCTTCCCAAGCATAACACCATGATTTCTCGTGAGACCTTGCTCGAACTTGGATTCTTCAAGCTGGTTCAGGAATTCGATGATCACGAGGCTTCTCGCGAAGGTCTCGGGTTCAGAAACCTGGAACCTCCTGAGATCTCGAAGCACTTCGAGGATGTTGGTTTGGATCCCGAGATCGCCAATCACAACCAAATCTCTGGTCTCTCTGGTGGTCAAAAGGTGAAGGTTGTGTTGGCCGGAGCCATGTGGAACAACCCCCACTTGCTCGTGCTGGACGAACCCACTAACTTCTTGGACCGTGACTCTTTGGGTGGTTTGGCTGTGGCTATCCGTGACTTCAAGGGTGGTGTGGTCATGATTTCTCACAACGAGGAATTCGTGGGTGCGCTCTGCCCCGAGCAGCTTCATGTCGCTGATGGACGCATTGTTGCCCGTACCAACACGGGCGTTTCGCTCGATCGGTTCGAAGACAGTGCGGCTAATTCGCCTCAGGCCGGCACCGCCGTCAACTCAACGGCCACCAGTGCGGCTGCTTCGGCTGCTGCTTCGGCCGTCAACTCTGGCGCCGAAGAACAGGGCGAACTCAAGTTCAAGGCTAGGAAGAAGAAGAAGATGACCCGTGCCCAGCTGAAGGAACGGGAGGCTCGTCGTCGTCTCCGTCATCTTGAGTGGCTCAATAGCCCCAAGGGTACCCCCAGGCCTCCGGATACTGATGACGAGGCTTAGTAAATATTCGTTGTTTATACCATTTTTCTGGACTCTGTTCGCTGCATGGGCAGTGTGATGATTTGTCTGTTTTGGTCATTACGATAGACGGCTCGGCGTTTGCTTTTGTTCTTGCTCCATATATTCCGGCGGTTTGCTTTCATAGATGACAATCTTACTTAGAAAAGTCAGAGATTTTCTTTTAGCAATCGACATAATTGCACCGTTGTCTATCTATATGTACTGTATATGTGGGGAGTTCTGCTTTTCCACCTCTAGGAACGCGTAGCATTGCCGTTTGCGCAACTCTCGACCGTAGTCACTGTAGTAACACAACATTGATTTATCGAGCGCACCCTGAACTACAGACCCCGGAAGATAATATTTAATTAAGATCATGCTAAAATAATAACAATGTTTGGTGTGCAACAGCGTAAGTTTTCTACACATTGAGTACGAAGTTAGGGCAGGCGCGACACCGCATCAAGATGCCTAGCCTCATCCAGATACGTCTTTGACGCCCCAGCGAGCGTTCAAGCCCTAATATCTAACACAATAGGTGCTTATCATGATAGGTCGTTTGGGATACTCAAATCAAGACAAGCCACGATCAATATCATGTGGACATCTCCATTTGACGAAAGGGACCTCAATGCTCAGCCACGAATGGGTGGCGTTCGTGACATCATCCATCACAACCTTGTCTTCCATGCAACACACATAGTCAAATCCTGCGTGCATGGATCATGACGAATAAGATGTAGATACTCAGTGCCCGAGGTGGCGCAGTCTCATCCCATAGCTCACATTGGCTAGCTTCTTATCCTCTAGGATTGGGCTATACGAGTTGCAATCTATGGCTCGAGCGCTGTGATCTTACACCCCCAACATCAGGCAACAAAGTATTAGACTCATCCTTTACGGCGAAGGAGTCTTACCTCAGCGAATATAAGAACATAGCAGCCTTGCCTATTTCTCCACCGATCTTTCTCCAGGTCGTTAGACTTACGTCAGCACAACTAACTAACTACCTCTCCTCACACAGGCATAACTAATACCCATCTCAATCTAACAATGACCTGCTTCAGAATGCGCGACGAACCCCCCGCCTACGAAGAAGCCGCGGGCTCCAGCTCGACCGCCATCCCAGGCGACAACAAGACACAGTTGCAAGATGAGGATCAGCGGTCGCAATACGGGCTGATTTCAATTTCGGGGTACGACCGTATTCGTCTCATACGCTTCCCAGAGTCTATTGTCGCGCTTGTATCGGAGACACTCCAGAAACACTGGCCCAAGGGCATCCAAAATGTAAAGGCGTACTACGAGAGCACGGAGTTCAAGCTGCGTGGAAACCCCTTTGAACACGGCAATGATGATGAGAAGGTTGCGTTGCGGAACGCTATATTAGGGCTTCTGGATGCTCTTGCAAGAGAGGGTTGGGGTGTTCACCCTGCTGCCGGGGGGTTGGGGCGCATAGGGAATTATAAGTCGTTTGGGCAGAAGGGTATGTTTATTTTTGTTTCGTTGAATGTCTTTCTTTATTTGCGTTGTTGGATTTTGTTTTGTTTTGTTTATTTCTTTCATTTTCATGCTGCTACTCGAGCTACTCTGGGATAAACCTTCCCTACAGTAGACAAGCTGACAGATTGCACAGATAGCTTGATATTCAAGCGCCAAGACCCACAGCAGCTCTCTTGGATGTGCATCTCCTTTGACGCCGATGACCTCATGCACCTTATCAACGCGCCTCCCGAGTTGGCCCTATCCCTGGTTGCAGTCTTTGGGGACCGGATCAAGAATTGTAATCAGGATCTTGTGAGCGGGAACTTCGAGGTCAAGTTCCAAAGAAAGCTATGGGCTAAGTCGTCGGACGAAGGAGCGGTGCTGAGTCGAGTGGCCATACTAGATGTGCTTCAGTGTCTGGAGGGCCAGGGGTTCAGGTTGTGTTCAAGCTTGGATATCGATTATGGCAACGGGGGTGAGTTGTATAAGAGTAGTGGGGAGACATGGTTTTGTTGTCGGTGAGAGGTTGGCGATGTGTATGACTGTTATGGATTTCTTTGGGTATATAATTAACATAGTATGAATGTCGTGCTTTCAAAGATACCTGGACTGTCCTATTCCCATCAGCAAAGAGGTCAGCAGAAGAGTCATTCTATGCCTTACTCGGAGAATGCCAACCGCCTGAGAAACTATATGTCTGGTCTGGTAGCCCAGTAGTAATTCCCACACATCTGTAGGCACTGATAGTCTCGAAGATGATATTAAAAACAGGGTATGCGACTGGCTCTCGAGTGAAACTTCCTGCTTGAACGATGGATATGATGATCACCGCTAGAGCAAGCCATGTCGTATGCTAACTGGACGTGGAGCTACTGTTTAATAAAGTAAAGACGGCCAGAAGGAACGGTCCTTGCCGATTTTTCTTGTTGGTAATCTAAGCCATGAGAGTTCTGGGCCATATTTCGGCTTTTATCCACTCTTTATGCTTACAGAGAACCTCTTACAGGCGAGCCAATGTCGGAATAACAGATTCCTCGGATGATGAGTTTCGGCCATTCAAGTCATGTCATTTGATGCGCCTCTCGTAAGTAGATGAAGTTTAAACACAACATGGCTAAATCAATATCAGCCACCATGTGAACTTCGTCTAACAATACTAACAGTAGTATATACTGTTACTCTCACAAACCTACTTCTCTATTCATCCCATTAGTCAAGATGAAGGTTATTATTATAATAGTAGCCTCAATGGTTCTGGCCCTCCTTTCACCTCCAGATTTGGCTGGAACCTCAACCTCAGCTCGCACACGAAACAAGGTTTGATCCCACTCATCGCATCTTGTACTGTTGTGCGCTGTTGTTAGATCATCTGCGAGAGCATTATTGAGGGATTACTGGATTCGGTGGTATATGCATATCAAAAGGGTAACAGCCAGAAATGGGTCGGGTTTACCGACTCTATCTGATCCATTGGGTCTGAGCCTAGTCAAATACTTCCACTGATACTTTCTTATCCTCAATATAGTTTACGGGAATCTTGCTTTTGGTCCGGAGGTACCGACGACGAATAGGGTCGGTGTGTGGCCGGACTACAACTCCGGGGTTTTATGAGCTAGTATACTGTCTTACTAGTACTACTATAATGCGTCCTTGACGCTTGATGGTACATACATAAGCCAATCGCATTGTTGGTACGACTTGGGTCTTTCCAACTGTGGAACATGCATACCTGATTCAAGGTGACGCCAGCACTTGACGTTCTTTATCGTGATTACATCGTGGGATAGTTTGATGAACTGGATGACAAACTTAGCGATTCTACAAGTCAATTAACTAGTTCAATAACCCCAGCGCAGCATTGACTTTGTGTACTCAGTACGACATGTGTGTCCTAAAGCAAAGCATCTCACGTAGTAGTATGTGCAAGGTCATGAAGGCCAAAACCCGTAACAGCCAGGACACAGGTCAACAGAATAGCATGGAAAAGGCTCCCCAACCCATTTACCAAGTCAGCACAAGTCAAATAATCATCAATGTTCGTTGCTAAATGTCTAAAAACTATATTACTTTTATTGAACCCATTCTTCACGCCTCCTCAGGCCAATTATCATAACCAAAGGTGTCCTTCATGTTCACAAATCGGAAATGCCTTCCCTCGGCAACATCATTAATAGCCTTAAACTCCTCATCCGACAACTCGACCGATTTGAAGTTCGACTCAATTCTCGCCGGGTTCGAGCTCTTCGGCAGAACCACATAGCCTCTCTTCAAGCCCCAGGCGATCAGAATCTGCGCCAAAGTAGAGCCCTTCTGCTTGGCAATCGCATTCAACGTCGGGTTCTCCGACACCTTCTCGCCCGTCCTCGGGACCTGATTCTGAGACCCAAGGGGCGAATACGCCTCAACCACGATGCCGTTCTTCTGGCAGTAGTTGACGAGCTCGGTGTTAGGCAGGAAGGGGTGCACCTCGATCTGGTTAACTTGAGGCTTCACCTTGGCAATCTTGTTGAGATGCTCAAGACCTTCGATACGCCAGTTGGACACGCCGATGGCGCGGGCTTTGCCGGATTCGTAGATCTTCTCCATCGCACGCCAGGTTTCTTCGGGATTTTTTGTCAATTCCTGAAGGATGATGTACTATTCATTCATACTGTTAGTAACATTATCGGGGAAGTCTGGATATCGTGATTACCGTACCTTTCCATCCGGTCCCAGCTTCGGCTGATGATTCTCGTCCTTCTCGGCAGCAATGGGCCAATGCACCAGATACAGATCCACGTAGTCCAATTGCAGGTTCTTCAACGAATCCTCCACCGACCACAGCACGTCGTCATACCGATGCAGATGGTTCCACACCTTCGTCGTAACGAACAGATCCTCCCGCTTCACGGACGGGTTCTCTTTCAGGAAATCTTGAATCGCCTGTCCCACCTCGTCCTCATTGGCATAGAACCAGGCACACTCGAGGTGTCGGTAGCCGACTTTCAGCGCGTGGCGCACGGCCTTGTAAGTCTCGCCTTTGGAGCCTTCGTTAGCGAAGGTGCCGAAGCCGACACCGGGGATGGTGACGCCGTTGCTTGTTTTGAAGGATACGCCGGAGGACATTCTGCTAACTGTGATGATGGGTTCAGAGTGCGAGCGAATAGCAATGCTTGTGTAGTTGGAATTCCATTCCGGGGTGACACCATATTTTAAAGCCCAGCACGAAAACAAATCCATTCATGACCTCATGGCTGACGAGGCGAGCATTTCGTCATTGGCTCCAGTCCGGTTGGTTCCAGTCTTCGGTGTGCACCGAGTGGATTCATACCGAAGCGATCATTGGAACCGTGCCGGGTGTAGGGCTCCACCCTTGTTTAAAGCTGGAAGCTTGACGCACTGGCAGCATCGGATTTAACAGATGCTGGAATTAACAGCTGTGCTGAAAACGCACAATTGCAAGGAATGCGTTATTCGTTGTTTGTGTCCACTCTGCTCCACACGCCCGAGCGCCACAAATCCTGTAGGGCTCGGAGTTACAAGCGCGTCCTTGGGCAACGCTGTGCTGACTCTTAAGCTGTTAGGCTTTTGGTCAAAACGTGTGTTAAATCATATCGGTATGATATAAACATAATTTACCTATAAGACCATTGGCTACACAACGTCAGCTTTGATTAATATTGTATGACCCCGTAACTAACTAGTTAACTAGTTGCGCAGCTCAAGTATATTAATCAGCGATGTCTTACGGTCTCAGCCTGAGGCAGGAGACATCACATCCGGTCATGTGATCAGGTTAGTCCCAACAAAAAACAAAGGCCACAGTAAAGCCCCCTGAAAGACGCCATGATTGGGTATCGGAATGGAAATGTAGAATCCCAGTTGCTTTCTGACCCCTACACACCAGCTAAGTAATCAGTTGGTCAGGGATGGGATCGACAGCTCTATTGACATATCAAAAGTAAGCTTTGTGAGTATCCTAGCGAGATATATGTTTTTTCCCACAACCCTTCATATTCTCATATTCGTTCTGGTTATTTCTTTCCCCCACGTCAAAAGTACCCCTGATTCAAACCCCCCCCATTGAACTTAATGTACTCTGTAAATGACTCCTGAAGCACAGACCTCAGAGTTTGTATCTATCTCACCGTAATCAATCTCGGTTGGCACACCCGTGCCCCCTTGCTTGATCTAGCGAGCCCTAATCCCAGCCAGATATGCTTTATGACAGGCCCGAGCTAGCCATAGACTATTTTCTCAGCCTTAGATGGCTTCCCCGGAAGTCTTCCTCCGGAAGCCACAGACCTAAAAATGGTGTGTTGGAACTTAGAATGCCGTCCCAAGGCCCAAGCCCGCGGGACGCTTGGAAGCCACGCCCTACACCCACACACCACTAATGGATATAGTTTCTGGTTGAATAATGATTCCGTGGACGATCTAGTGTAACCTGACACAGGGTTGTTTCGTTATGGAGTCGTCTAGTGAGCACTAACGATGTCGTTGGTAATGTTTGGGAATCTTCGTGTGATAGATCTACTGGGGAGGAGGGAGAATAGTAAATCCGATTGTGATGCATGGACTAAAAAAAAAACTTCGTTTCGCCTGGAGGGGAATTCCATAACATGTGTTGGACCTAATCGGCTTTCGGCTCTTTTCCGGGCTTTTCCTGAGGTCTACTCGATCGCGAAGGAGTCTGCACCGGCGGATAAATACTCCTCTGCCAATTATTCCGCAATCAATTGGGAGGAATACGGAGAATATTCCTGTGCATTATCCATTTTTTGGTGAAAATGACCACGAGCCTAGGAGAAATTCCCTAGCGGCGATCCACGCCTCATGCAATGAACTTGGGAAATCTATGGAGGGCGAAGGATTTACTAGGGACCTTCGGAAGCTTGTCTGGGAGGACTGACACATCGTAGTTATCAGCTAAGTTACCTACATAACTAGGTTTGGATCGAGTGAGTCCCCTCCACCAATCAACCATACTCGACCCTCGGATACCCTACGTCAGGTTGCTCTCCCTTCGGCCCAGATTGACAAGCAGGCATGGATCGGCGTACTCGACAGCGTGAGCCGTTTCCTAGACTTTCTTCTCGACTTGTTCATAGCTAACGGAAATCTCGTCCGTCCTTTCGATGCCTGTAACGTCCCCAAGGATATGCTCGTTGCTAACGTTGCTGGTGTTGTAGTTTCCAGCAGGTGCCCGGAGGGAACCGCCAATCGTTTCAACGGTGGAAGGGTCAAGACCGGATTTCGAAAGTCTACCGTACTTGCGACCGCTACCGTACAATGGTAGTTTGTAGGAAGTGTTGCCAGAGCTGCCTTCGTCCTTTGTGCCGTACCTAATGCGAACGTAGAGAGGACGGAGGACGGGAATCGTCGAGCACATGATCGTAACGCAACTTTCGGTTGCGGACCAGATGAGCATTGGCACGGTATCATCTTCGAGTTGGGTCAGCTCTACCATCCTGAACGGGACGAAGAGAACGTACAGATGTATTCGGATGCGTTCAGGCCGGCCAGAGCCACGGTGCGAACGATACCACATACTCCAGCGCTGGAGTCTTCATGTCAGACATGGGTCCAAAGCAGCGGGGCTTTCCAGGCTTACAAGATTCCAAGACTGAGACCGCAGGCAACGGTGATCTTCTCCTTTTGCTTCATGTTGAGATCCCAGACAATGAACCATGGAAGAATCGCAAAGGAGAAGTCCGCAGCGACGAACCACGCTGGAACGAGGGTTAGGCTTTTTCATTCATGAACCCACGTTAAGGGCAAGATCATGCAGCACTCACATCCAACCGTGTAGCCCACCTTGGAAAAGTCGAGCCAGCAGGTTCCTTCCAGAGTTGGGTTCCAAGTCTTTTGGACTGGAAAACACTGTATCACAACGGTGATGCTGGCGAACAGCGTGATAATGGTGGTGATCGCAAGACAACCCCAGATAAAATAAATCTGAATTTTATTGCGCACAATTCGTAGGAGGAAGGTGCCAACGGCCCATTTACCAACCCCAATGACCATGATACCAGCCACCTGGCTGAACACTTCATACATGGTAGCTTTGGAATAGGTAACTGGATCGCCGACATCCGCAAACAGTTGCCCTACGCCGTAGTGGGTTCCTATGCTGACAAAAATGGTGTAAAGGATGTGAAGTATCTGCCGCACGTCAGCCTTCGCCCAAGTAGCTGGGTATTCCGGTTTGGTCCCTCACCAATGCAAGTACGACCATATAATCATCAAGGCCGATCGAATTCAGAATGTGTTTTCGCGTATAGAGCCTTAGCCCTACGAAGACAGCAAAAATCACGACCTCTACCCAAAGGACCGCATTGGTCATGGGCCCTAAACCTCCGTATGCGCTCATGTCGAAGATGGCCACAGTAGATTCACAAATAAGAGTGAAAGAAAGGTCATTGGGGTGAGAGAAGGAAGAAAAGTTTCCTCCCCAAGACGAGACGATGCGGCCATTCGTGTAGTATTAGTATGGAAGGGATTATGACCTGTAGATTGAGCGACACCATCTTGCTGCTACTGCTCCTCAGCCAAAGTACGCCAGGATCTGAGCATGGCGGCCTCTAATGTATTAGTATGAAAGGGGATATGACCTGTACTGCGGGCGACATCGTTTTCCGCTGCCGATCTAAAGTCAAAGAACGCCAAGAAATCGGCATAGGTGCACCGTAGCGTTGCAGGATGAACATAATTACTCAGGACCCGAGTGACAGAGCGGCCCAGGCGATCCGGCGAACTGACCCCCTGCATGTTGCCATCGGTGCCTAGACTGGTGGTGGCGTGGCCCATACATGCAGCGATCTTTCCTGAATGGGCTTAACCACATACATTAGCACATTGGGCCGTCCTTGGGAAGTGTACAAAACGATGATCCTGCGAGCTCTCTTAACCTATCTAACGACGAAGGTTTCCAATTATTTTCCGTACTAACGGTTCAGACGCAGGAAATCTTGAACTCTTGTGGGGCATTGGTCGTTAGTGCTGAGGGGTTCACCCCGCTGGCTTCATCAGAGATTCGACACTTGGCCCTAGCGCTGCTAGCGAAATGGGAACCGTCGGCCCATATATACCGTCGCCCACCTCGTCCGCCGGGCCTGGTGCAACTTGATCATATATTCCTTCCTTGGTACCCCGAAATCCAAATCAGAAAGGTCAACATGCGGTCTCAGATCCTAGAAACCATTGCTGCTCTAGATGCAGTTAAGCCTGAGGCCTTTGGCGGAAACGAAGTGGAACGCCTACAAGTGCGCGCTGCAGCCCGTCGACTGCTTGCTCGAGTGGAAACGCCCTATGAGCGCGCCTGGGGCTTCTGCTTTGAACACCCTGTTGTCTTTGCCGCTCTGCAAACATGCATTAACGTGGGTCTTTGGAAGTCCTGGACAAGTGCTGGAGGGGGTGAGAAGACTATCCACGAGTTGGTAGAGTTCACCACCCCCACCGTTGATACAAACCTGCTGCGTAAGCCTTGAACCTCATGTTAGCATGATTCCATAAGGCTCACTGGAGGCGTACAGGTCGGCTCTTCCGCTTGCTAGCAGCCTTCAACGTAGTTGAGGAAACTGCAGAAGACACATTCAAACCGACTGCGTTCTCGTACGCTATCGGTGACGAGAGTACCAAAGTTCGTGCCTCGCTTCAAGCAGCGTAAGCATGCCTGTCCGGTCATCGGTCCATATGCTGTTCTGACGCGTTGACCAGAACATATCAATATATTGCGGCTGGCCATAACTTGCCGGCCTATCTGGCCAAGATCTCTTATAAGGAGCCTACGGACGTTGATCTGAATAATTACACGGGCGTTGATCCGGACGGCCTTACCTTCTTCGGGCGATTGCAGAAAAGTCCCGCGTATTTTGACGCTTTCACCGGCCATATGGAAGCCTGGACAGCATGGAAGACCCCATGGACTAAGGTTTACGATACCACCGCCCTACTCGATGGTGCCAAGCTGGACGATGGCTCTCCATTCGTGGTTGATCTTGGTGGAAACACCGGGACGGACATATCCCACGTCCTTGCCAAGCATCCGGACATCCCTGCTGGATCGCTCGTTTTGCAAGACCTTCCCGAGGTGATTGCCACTGTTCGGCTCGATGAGAAGATCACAGCTATGGCTCATGACTTTTTCTTCCCCCAGCCTGTGAAAGGTGAGAGACACTCTGGACTAGAAATGCAGGTGTGCCCTACTGAAACCAGAACCGCAGGGAGCCGTGCTTACTATCTGCACGCCGTTCTCCATGACTGGCCAGATGACAAAGCGAAGCAACTGCTTGTGAACACCAGAAATGCAATGGTAAAGGGCTACTCCAAGCTCCTCATCTACGACATCGTTCTTCCGCCAATAGGAGCAAGCATCAGCCAAACCACAATGGACGTGGAGATGATGTCGTTACTGTCGGCTTCCGAACGGACGCAAGGTGCGTGGGAGAAGCTGTTAACCGATGCTGGCTTCAAGATTATCAACTTTTGGCCTGACCCTCAAGAGTATGAGATGATCATTGAAGCCGAGGTGGCATAGATTCCGGACTTCACTCAGCTTGAGAATACAAGTAGAAAGGCAACTAAGGTGCGACATTTCAGATTGAGTTGAATGATAATACCTAATTTGATCTCAAATGCATATAGTCAAAAAGGCTTTTGTGGCAAGGGGCTGCACACCAGTGTAGTGTACGTACTAGGTCTGTATTATGAAATATGTCACCGCGATCTGCGATATGGATCTTGGGCTTCACTGCCCTAGTATGTTTAGGATGACTGAGTAGGCTAGCGGCAGGTAATTTCGACTTCATGAGGTCCGGAATAGACGATGCCTGCTACACTATGGGCTGGCTGGAGGTATTAAATAGATCTTCTATTGCATCTGCCATTAGAAAATAAAGACCTTCCTCGACAAGTATGATATAAGCAGAAACATGCGGATCTAGTGGGCCAAGTTCTTAGGAGCAGGGGTAGCTGGGCCCTCGGGGGTGACGTATGCCTGTCATGCAATCAGCTACCCTCCTCAGCAAGTTCGTAATCTCAAAATCACGTACCTTGGACATTCCACCGTCAACAACAAAATCGTGACCGTTGACGAAGCTGCTTTCGTCGCTGGCAAGGAAAACAACTGCATGCGCCTGTTCAATGGCCTCACCGAATCGTCCGGTCGGGAAGTGCACCTCACGACGGAACCGCTTAGGCTTATCATCGCCCAGCCAGTCTTGCAGGAGCGGGGTACTGTCACCGTCAACATAATGATCAGTCAAGCTCCATGCTAATGCAAAACGTACTTTAGCGGGGCGGGGCACAGTGCATTGAAGCGGAAGCCCTCCCGAGCATGCACAATGGCCAGTTCACGGGTCAGGGCCAGCACCGCGCCCTTGCTGGCAGTGTACGCCAGCTGAGGAGTGGCACTGCCCACTAAGGCAACTACACTAGCAGTGTTGATAATGCTACCCTTAGTCTTCTTGTGACGACGGAGACTGAGTACGGCATGCTTGCATCCAAACCATACCCCCTTCATGTTGATGTTCTGTGTCAAATCCCAAATCTTCTCTGGCGTGTCCACGGCATCAGCATCGTCGGCGTGCATAATACCCGCGTTATTGAAGATCACGTCGGTTCCGCCCCAGCTGTCTTGAGACTCTACCATCGCTTGTACCTCGGACTCCTTGGAAACATCACACTTGAAGGTTTCGACTCGTGCGGCATTGGGAACAACCTCCTTCACTTTGGTGAGAGCTTTCTCGAGGGCAGAGGCAGAGATGTCCGCCATGAGGACGTTGGCACCTTCGCGGGCGAAGAGGATACTAGTCTCGAGACCGATTCCTCTGCACTATATTAGTACGTCGCTGAAAGGAATTGCCTTCAGGGAACTCACCCTGCAGCGCCAGTAATTATAGCATTCTTGCCTTGAAGACGGCCCACTGAAGTAGCCATTGTGTCGTATTCCTGCCGGCAAGCAATGATCAGTGAGTGGTTATCCTCGGCGGGAAGAACGGACTCCAGGATGATGTCATCAACGAGATGCAAGACTCACGTTTAGGGTGGGTGATAACTTGGTGGACAACAGGTTACAGTCCCAATTCGACTATGGTTAGTTGAGTAGAACGAGTCAATATTGGTTCGCAAAGGATAGGTTTCTATCAATTGAAGAAGCAGCCGGTGACAACACACCACAAAACGCGGGGCACCGTTATTGTTATTATCTAAGCTATGGTGGAAACCGTGGAATCAAGTGACATCAAGTGACTCGATAAACTGATAACGAGGGACGGAAGAGTAGAGGATTTTCCTGGTGTCATCTTCCTTCCAGAACGACACTGATGAAGAGCTCAATGTCCCGACCAGACTTTCCGGTCATACTGGGCACTTCCATACGAACAAACATTATTAAAATGCAAATGGACAAGGGGGAAGGACACAATTTGTCTCCTGGGCGGTCATTTGATCCGCTGACGATAAGGCGCCGATAACAGATGACCCGCTGTGGCTCCTTCGCTCCGCCGCCCGCACCCTTCTTGAACCGTGACTCTCCCTTGATTGTAGGTTCATGCCTTCCCACTATTTCCATTCTTAAATTCGAACTGACATCGCTTCGCTGCTAGCACCAATATGGGCTCCATGTCTTCCCCCGAAGTCACACTCGACAATGTCGCCGAGGTCCTGCAACAAGATACCCGGGTCAAGTTAGCCGGCGTGGATGTCGATGGGATGCTTCGCGGGAAGCTCGTCTCCAAGAAAAAGTTCCTTTCGATCGTGTCGGAAGGCTTTGGATTCTGCTCAGTGATATTCGGGTGGGACATGCACGATCAGACATATTTCAAGGAGTTGGCCATCAGTAACAAGGAGAACGGCTATCGGGATATTGTTGCCATTCCAGACCTGAGCAGCTTCCGTCGCATTCCCTGGGAGAACAACGTCCCGTTCTTCCTCGTTAGCTTTCACGATCCCGATACTCGGGAGCCCGTGTGTGCATGCCCTCGAGGTCTGGTGAAGACCGCACTTGGCAAGGCTGAGGCGGCCGGGTATCGGGCGATGGCAGGGGGTGCGCAAACTCGCCGCATCCTCCTTTGAGATATGGACATGCTGACTTCCTTCAGCGGAGTATGAATTTTATCAATTTCGTGTACCGGAATCACATCCATCTCCCGAGCGCAGCGCGTCTTCCACGGCGACCTTTTTGAGAGAGAATCCCGTTGAAGCATTACCTTCCCTAACCGAGGGAATGTTCGGATACAGTTTAACCCGCCCTATTCATAATCAGGATTATTATTATGGCATTTTCGATGCGTGCGAGCAATTTAAATGCGACATTGAAGGATGGCATACAGAAAGTGGGCCCGGTGTGTTTGAAGCTGTGAGTACTCTACCCGGGGGTGGAACCCACCAATGCTGACGTTGTCAGGCGCTACAATTCGGAGAAGCCAAGGAGATGGCAGATAAAGCAGGACTATTCAAGTAAGCCATTCATAGGACCGATCTGAGCCATATTAACTGCGACACAGGTATGTCGTCAAATCGATTGGAACCAAGCACGGTATCACACCCACTTTCATGGCAAAACCCCGACAGGGATTGCCTGGTAATAGTGGCCACATGCATATCTCGCTCGTTACCAGTGATGGAAAGAATGCTTTTCTGCGCGATACCCCAGACCCATCTCCACCCTACCCCGATGTCGCCTATCTCTCCGACTTGGGCAGATACTTCTTAGCGGGCGTTCTCACAGGTCTCCCGGATATTATGCCTATGTTTGCGCCGACCGTCAACTCTTACAAACGGCTTGTGGAGAATTTCTGGGCCCCCGTCACGGTTTCGTGGGGCCTGGAGCATCGGGCGGCCTCTATTCGATTGATTACACCGCCGACAGGCAGCCCGAAGGCCACCCGGCTAGAAGTGCGAGTTCCCGGAGCAGATGCCAATCCGCATTATGTCATGGCGGCTATTGTCGCATTGGGATGGCGGGGCGTGGAGAAGAAGCTGGAGATCCCAGTGCCCCCGCTATCTAAAGGTGAGGAGATGGGGGGTGGGAGCGACCAGGGGGTGCGTCTGGCCAAGTCCCTCAAGGAAGCTGTCGCCGCGTTTACGCGCAAGGGCAGTGTCGCACGGGAGGTGTTTGGGGATGCTTTCGTCGACCATTTTGGCGGCACCCGGGAACATGAAGTGCGCCTGTGGGAAGAGGCCGTCACCGATTGGTATGTTTGAGCGTTTGCATTGATCTAGTCTTCGTGGTGTACTGACCAGTCTCTAGGGAGGTGCGGCGATATATTGAAACGGTCTAGACTTAGCCCCGGCTGGCGGATATGACATGGAGTTATTAGATACCAATGAATTCATTTAGCGTTGTCTGTGCTCTGCAGAGCTCAGAAATCTCGGGTAGACTTTTAGATCAACCAGAGCACCGCAGTATCTGACTGCCCGTGTCATCCCGATGCTTGGACTCCCGACAACCGGGATCTGGTGAAGATGATGATTCACAAGCTACAACATCACATGCTCAGGAGGATCACATGCCATTCTCTCCAGTTAGGCGAAGGGACCAACAATCCATTGCAGTCCCAAACACAGGTTACTCCGTAGGATAACAGTATAGCCGTATAGTTGAGAACTACTCCCTCGCACTTTGATTTCTGATCCGGTTGTCGCCCTGTTACCCCTCGCGTTGATAGACCGAACCAAAAGATCTATAATTTCCACCGTTGCGAACCAGTAGCGTTGGGGCAATTAGGTTATCTTATCGGAGCGTGACCACATCGGAATCAATCGGTCGCCTGAGGCCAGACTTGCTTTTCGTGGTTGCAACAAATCATGGTGACGCTCGGGAGGGCCGCGGTTGTGAGTGGAAGACTCGGATGTGCGGGGAGTCTATTATCCTTATCCCTCGGCAGTTCCTGCGAACAAGTGAGTAGCGTCGAAAACTGTATCAAACCGTACCGTCGTGGTCATGATCGACTGGGACTTGGTACGAACGGATGGCCGTCGAATTAGCACATCACGTCGATTCCTGCCCGGTCGCAGTAGCGAGGCGGATATAAGTATCGAGTTGTAGTCATCGTGTGTTCTAATATTGATAAAGAGCTTATCGGTATACGGCGGCCCCCGGGTGAGGGGATCGAATCGGACGTGGGGAATGTCGGCCGAGAGCGACGGACAGGCCTGGTCGCGTATCGGTATTACCAGTCACAATACCGACTCTCCGCGGCAAAGTCACGGGATGGCGCTGGAAGCTCCCAAACGGCATCCCGATTAGGAAGTTTCCGCTCATCCACGCCGATATCGATATGCGACGGGGGCCACTGACTGGTTCCGGGCCCATCGCAGGTCCATTCAGAATCGAAGGGCAATTCAGAGCTTCTGGAGCATGCTGAATTACAATACCCTGCGTTACCGTTCACAATGTAGCTCCTGCCTATCAGGTTGAACCCAGAGTTCCCATCAGCCGCGGTTGTCCATGGTTCTGACGTAGTGCTGCTCCATTGCTCCAGCCGATTGTACTTATATACCCGTTGGTCGTACCTCGGACGCTTCCTATTTCTTCTCTTTGTCTGTTTCCAATTTGTCTTCGTACACTTGTTCGTTAGCTACATCCTGAGACAAGAACAAGGATTGCCATCATGAGTCAAATCGACGTGCAGCTCAAGGATGTCGCCATCCTGGGCGCCATCCCCAACGACGCCCGCAAGATCCTCACCAAGGAAGCGTGCGCCTTCCTGGCCATCCTCCACCGCACCTTCAACCCAACCCGTAAAGCTCTTCTCCAGCGCCGTATCGATCGCCAGGCCGAGCTTGACAAGGGTCACCTCCTCGACTTCCTCCCAGAGACCAAGCACATCCGTGAGAATGACGCCTGGAAGGGTGCTCCTCCCGCGCCCGGTCTCGTCGACCGTCGTGTTGAAATTACCGGCCCCACGGACCGGAAGATGGTGGTGAATGCGCTGAACGCCGATGTGTGGACCTACATGGCGGATTTTGAGGGTATGTTCTTCGCGGGGACCTCCTGGTGGAAGAAACGCTGACGGTGGTGGACACAGACTCGAGCGCCCCGACCTGGGAGAACATGATTAACGGTCAGGTCAACCTGTACGATGCCATCCGTCGCCAGATCGACTTCAAGCAGGGCAGCAAGGAATACAAGCTGCGCACCGACCGCACCCTCCCGACTTTGATCGCCCGTGCCCGTGGCTGGCACCTGGACGAGAAGCACTTCACCGTCAACGGAGAGCCGATCTCCGGTAGTTTGTTCGACTTCGGTCTCTACTTCTTCCACAACGCCAAGGAGCTGGTGGCTCGCGGGTTCGGGCCTTACTTCTATCTTCCCAAGATGGAGTCCCACCTGGAGGCCAGACTGTGGAACGACGTCTTCAACCTGGCTCAGGACTACATCGGCATGCCCCGCGGAACCATCCGTGGTACGGTCTTGATTGAGACCATCAGCGCGGCCTTCGAGATGGATGAGATCATCTACGAACTCCGTGAACACAGCTCGGGACTGAACTGCGGTCGCTGGGACTACATCTTCTCCTTCATCAAGAAATTCCGCAAGCACCCCAACTTTGTCCTTCCCGATCGCTCGGACGTCACCATGACTGTGCCCTTCATGGATGCCTATGTGAGACTGTTGATCAAGACCTGCCACCGTCGTGGAGTTCACGCTATGGTAAGCATCCCCAGTACGCCAATCCATGCGCAAAGCATGCTAATTGAAACAGGGTGGTATGGCCGCTCAGATCCCCATCAAGGACAATCAGGCTGCCAACGACAAGGCTATGGAGAGTGTGCGCGCCGACAAGCTGCGTGAGGTTCGTGCTGGTCACGACGGTACCTGGGTGGCGCACCCGGCTCTCGCCGCGATCGCCTCCGACGTATTCAACAAGCACATGCCCACTCCCAACCAGCTCTTCGTGCGCCGTGAGGACGCCCATGTTACCGCCAACGATCTCTTGAACACCAACGTGCCTGGCAAGATCACCGAGGAGGGCATCCGGAAGAACCTGAACATCGGTCTTTCGTACATGGAAGGCTGGCTCCGTGGAGTCGGCTGTATTCCGATCAACTACCTGATGGTGCGTTTCCTTCCCCTTTTCTACAGGCCCGTAAGGAATATCAGACTAACCCCGAATAGGAGGACGCTGCCACCGCCGAAGTGTCTCGTAGTCAGCTCTGGCAATGGACCCACCACGGCGTCATCACATCCGAGGGCAAGAAGGTCGACAAGGCCTATGCGCTGCGCTTGTTGAAGGAGCAGGCCGACAGCCTGGCGGAGAAGGGCCCCAAGGGCAACAAGTACCAGTTGGCAGCCCGCTACTTCGCCGGCCAGGTGACGGGCGAGGATTATGCGGATTTCTTGACCAGCTTGTTGTACAACGAGATTTCCTCAGCGGGCCAGGTGTCCAAGCTGTAATTGCGTTATGATTTGTATGACTATACCATGGAGCATTTGATTTTTTTTTTAATTTCCTTTGTCTAGTTCCAAATGAGCATCAGGGTTATCTGCATCAGTGTTGTTCGTCATGCCCTCTCTGGGTGAAACCTACCAGTATGATAGTTTTAGGACCTAGTTCAATCACATAATTAAAATGAACAATATGAAAAGGAACGAGTAATTAGATATTAGAAATGCCTAGTCTGAATGATGGGTTAATGACTTAGTACTCATACTAGCACTAGCGTAGTGGAAGGGTACGCATTTATTGAGTTTTAGCAGTCATTTTGGACAGCAGGTTTCACGGTATAAATAATATTGTTTACTTTATCATTCAAGAGTCTGACCCAAAGCAGCGGCTTAGAAGCGGTCTAAGGTAAGAATTCGAGGTACCAAAAGTCTATCATGCTATTGAAGCGATACAGAGCATCTTCGGGCCTTGTTCCTTAGGGCCGTTGAACTAAGCCATCTACATCTAGCGTCACGATTATGATTGTACGAGTACACCGCTAACAGCAGATAAAATTTATAATCAACGATGAGGATGAATCAGAACAACTTGAAACGTTATCCTCTTAACCCGATGGCCCTTTAAAACGCGCGGCAGAGCCTCCCATCCTCCTGCTCCGTCCATCCCTCACTTCCTACACAATGACGACACCAGAGCAGACCCTCTGGATCATACTTCTGCTTAATCGCCTGGAGTCTGGCATAGCCAGAGCCGAAAAAGGACCACTGCCAATTCGGCTCGTTTGCGTTGGCCTACATAAGGAATATACTCATCAGCGACAAATGCATACTCTAGTAGATAGACACCTGGTCGTCTCACCTCATTGAAGTAAGCACCTGTATCAGGCGCCAGCTGTCGCAAAGCATAACCTTTCTGGTACGTCATATTATGGACTACCTGGTCAGCCACAGGGGGAGGTAGGGATTCGTCCCAGCTTTGCGACGTGATGATATGCACAACAGCGTCTCGCCAGGCAGGGTTAAGAGCATTGTCGACGGGCGTCCTGCTGCCGGTCATGGTTCCAGAGATCGAAGGAGTCGAGACTCCATCCTATGTGGTTGTCGTCTCAGCTGAAAGTCTTCACAAAAGCGGAGTGGAAGGTAATTACTCACGTTCACAGGCCCCGAGGAGATCGCCTCTAGAGTCTCAGCAAATAATTCAATATCATCTCTGACTACCCTCTGAGGGATAAACCGCGATGCTCTGGCGCTTTGCTTCGTGCCTACTGATTCGATAGCGGGCATCATCTTGACCAGGTCATACCACGGCAATGTTGCAACCGGCGTGAGGTTCGAGGTAGCTGTTGCATTGGAGGCAGCAAAGAACCTTCGCATGGGTGCAAGAAGCTCATCCACTGTTCCATTCGTAGCGTCATAGAGGAGCAAAGCACCCTGCAGTGCCAGAGAGTCTCCACCCATCGTATAGTACCCATGAACGCCGGCTTCCTGCAAGAGGTCCAGGTACCCGTGGGCCCGGGCAACAAATCTATACCAGCTCGAAGAACGAGTCCCATTCTTGGCTGTCATTGACAGATCGATGAGGGTCACCGATGGCATTGGGTACGCTTTCAGGGTAACACTCAGAATAACCCCAAATGTCCCTCCACCGCCTCCGCGGATGGCCCAGAAGAGATCTTCATTTTGGCAAGCATTAGCCATTGCCACTTCACCTCCAGGCGTGACGATGACCGCCTCGATGATATTGTCAGCGCCCATCCCGTAATTGCCGGTCGCCAGGCCATGGCCACCACCCGTTGCCCAGCCCACGACACCAACATCCTGTTCATTCTTGTGAGCTTGGAGTTCTCTCCGAGGAGGACTGATTGTGTTTCTTACAGCATTGGTTCCGCCCACTGCGATGGCGTCGTGCTTCGACATCGCTTTGAATAGCTCTCCGTCTTGCACGCCTGCGCCGAGGGTGACTGCCATTTGAGTTTCGTTTACTCCTATTTGAGTCGCGCATGATTGAGGCTGGAACGTCTCATGGAATTGGATCTGCTTTAGGTTATGGGTCCAGATCCTAAAAGAAACGTTAACCATGTGTATTTCCCTCATTAAATGGGCGAGCGTCACGCACGATAAGCTTCCATGAGCCGTACTAAAGCAAGTTAAGTTAGCCAATCTGAAGCAGACAGCAAGCAGAGGGAGGTATCAAGATAGAATATCCCAATGTACAAACTATAGTAAACGTACCTTCTTTCCGAACCATGTCCAGTGTTTTTGATATTCAGCCGCAGGTTCCACCGCCGAGCAAACTTCAGCGCAGCTTTTACATGCCCAGACTCCGTTGCGTTGACAACATATGGGGGATAGCTGCCAATTGAACAACCCTTCTCGCCGGCCCGGGTATTACCTGTGAGACTGGTTCCGTTTGGATAGATGGGGTTGCAGCTGTTATTCGCCCACATGGGGTCATCGATACTGGCCGGATCAGCAGAATGAAACGCGGAGCTTGTCCAATTCGCGAGAACAGCATTGCAGGCTTCGGCGTTATAGACCGACTCGGTTTGGTAGCATACTGCAGCTAGGGGGACGGTGCGAATAAGGTGACCTGAGATTGTCTCGTCGAGGGAGGCCCAGTCTGCGTCGGATGGCCAGCAGGGTTCAGATGGTGACTAGGCCGTGTAAGAATTTTCCATGCGTGAGTGGTGGTGAGAGAGGGGATTCCTTACGCATTTGCATTCTAGTGCGGTGCTCAGCTGGCAAGCTGCCAGGACTAGGGCGAAGAGATGGAGCATGATGGGTGATGATGGTTGAAGCATTCGCCATTGGATAAGGGGGCTATTTATGCTTGAACGCGTCTGCCTGAGGGAGATCGATACTGCCCATGACCTCATACATACTATTGGAACTGTTTTCTCACAGACCCATCTTTATTGTCGGATACTACTAGTATATCTCTGCTTGGGTCGAAGCGGGCCCTTCGCCAGAAAGGGAAAAGTGTTTGCTAGAGCCCGAATACGAATAAGTTCCATATCCGGTAACCCCACCATTAAGCCCTAAGAATGAGTTGAATAACTTGTCTAAGCTTAAGCGTCATCAGAGAACGATCGTGTATCCCGTTCGCTCTATGCTTATTTCTAGAATTGGAAGTTATGGCATGTTATACGAGAACGGTTGCTGCTGATTTGCAGCATATAGGCAAACTGTCGCCATATACCAATTATTGCATCGGCGATGTCTATTGACTATACTATGTCTAACTTCTCTGACCTATGTTCCGATTACCCTTGATCATGAGCACCCAGCATGGTTATCGGCCTGTGGCCAACGGCACGCAGATTGTTGTCTATGAGTATCAGCCTAATAAAGCCGCAGGACTCGTATTTGTCGCTCTTTTTGGCGCCGTGACCGTTGCCTACATTGGCTATAGTCTTATCTCCTTACGCACGTGGCACTTCATTTCCTTTCTCCTAGGCGGCATATGTACGTGATTTTGATATATACCCCCGGCATATCACAAAAGTCGGTGTTTAACCTCGACCAGTCTCAGGCGAAGCTCCGGGTACTACGGCCGCGCCGCCTCAGCCAGCGACGCCGCCAGGACAGGTCCCTTCGTCCTCCAAACCATCCTCCTCCTTGTCGTGGCCCCGCTACTAGCAGCCACAATCTACATGACAGCCGGCCGAACACATTGCGCTGGACAGGCAACGTCACTCCTGGGTTAGCCCACGCTGGATGACGAAGCCCTACGTGTTCGTCGACATTGCTTGTATCCTGACCCAGTTCATGGGCGCCGGGCTCATGACATCAGGAGATCCGAGTAAAACGGCAGAAAGCAGGGCACTGACCGTTGTTGGTCTGCTCACACAGCTTGTCGCCGTGGCCGCTTTCATATTCTCTCCTGTGGCTATGTACATGACAGGCTTCGGTTGGCGGGCCTTGCTGTCACAGTGACACATCCATGGGAGCGTGTCTTTGTTGCTATTGAGATTGCGACCGTGTTGCTGCTTGTCCGAAGCGTCGTACGGGAGTTCGAATATCTGCAGGGAAGTGGCAGGTTTGTGGTTTCTCATGAGATCTTTCTGTATGTCTTTGATGCAATGCTTATGTGGATCATGATGGCGTTGCTTTTGGTCTTTCATTCTCGGCGAGTCGTGCAGAAGATGGGCCGGTTAAAGGATGATAACGTATGGGATGATGGGGCATGTTCTGCTGGTGAATCGAATATCGGGATGAAAAAGCGCTCTCTCTGTGGATTATTCCTGTCTGCCTAGTATTTTCTTCTTTTGAAAATCTCCGCCTGCATTGCGTTCCCAGATGATGATACACCAGGCGCCTGCCTTGAATATCGAGTGCAGTGCAATCCATGACAACCAATCTCTGAATAAAAGGACCAATAGCAGCAGAGTCAATAAGAGCTTGTGTGCAGTAAGAATCTACCAAGTATACTAGTATGCGCACCAGGCAACCTCTTTAAACATGTTAGGGTACGGTAGCGGCTATGCCCGAAATGGAATCGTGGACCCATCGCAACTGTGACTGAGCTGCCACACTTTTCAACAAGTGAACCTTTCCAAGCCCTGGGCCTTGTTCACAATATTCTTCCCCTCCAGTCCTTTTCCGTGAAGTATCCTGCTTATAGACGATGGAGGCGAGGGCGGACTCCAAACGGATAATACGTTCCCGCCGATCTCATCGGAAATCCCGTAACGGATGTGGGAATTGTAAGCGGCGCAGAATAAAAGTAAGTGCTTAAAGAGTGCCGAATCCTGGCTGTGGGGTGGGATGCGAATACGACAACTGCCAGATAGATTCCCAAAGATATACTAACAATCTCTAGTGCGATGAAGTCCACCCGGCATGCGGGCAGTGCACTAGCCACGACGTTGATTGCGACTTCACGATCCCACAGTCTGCTCCATCAGAAATAACATCCACAGGTTCCATCAGAACCCCTGGAGTGGAACTCACAACGCCCTCATCACATCATAGCATTGTCTTTATATCATCCTCCAAGACGGATTTCAAATTACCGAAAAGAAGATATCAGCGGCGACCAACGACCACGAAAGAGACAGCCAAGGTAGCGGTCCCTCCTACGCCTACTAAGACTACTTTCCCGCTCAACACGACTGACCTAGAGCTGTTCCATCATTATTTATCGGTTACCTCGCCGACCTTGGCAGATGATGACGCGGGAATGCATGCACTCCAGGTAGCTGTCCCGGAATTAGGGTTTCGCTTCCATTATATCTTGCATCTGGCTCTGGCCTTTGCGAGCTACCATATGGCTCGGTTGCCGGGCATGGGTGCGCCACATGGACGCATCTTGGAAGGCGATCGTCACTATAACACTGCTCTCACCCAAGTGAGCGCCTCGATAGCTGGACTAAACGAAAGCACATGTCACGCGGTGTATGGCAGCGCGGTATTGATCTGCTTATGCTCGCTAGCCAAAGGACCCCGAGAGGGGGAATATCTTGCCTTCGGTGATTCCGACTGTGCCGAATGGCTGACTCTACTGCGAGGAATCCGATCTATAACTGAAGTGTCGCGAGACCTTTTCTACATAGACCCGGTGTCCAGTCCCAGTTCGGAAACCAGAGAGAGATTGCTCCACGGCAACCCGCGGATATGTCATGAACACTCGTGGCCCGAATGGAAAGTGCGCCTCAAAGAGTGCGAGCGATTGATTGAGACAGAATACTATACTGCCGGTGACGGTATTCAGCCTGCTGTATACGTACACGTCCTCACTTGTCTAACCAACGCCTTTCATTATGTTTACAGGAAAATAGATGTCGGTAGGGGCGAGCGATGCGCTAAAACATTCCAGTGGCTTTACCAGCTCCCCGAGGCGTTTGTGTTTGATCTTCAACAGCGAAAGTGGCCTGCCTTGCTTCTACTATCGCACTTCCTGGTCCTGCTGCAGCAGCTGAATTCTTATTGGTTTGTAGAGGGCTGGCCTGAACATGTGATGGGTGAGATCTACCGGTCCTTCAATGCGCAACAACGGGTCTGGCTGCAGTGGCCGGCTGGTCAGATTGGATGGTGTCCACCAACCACGGCGGATGATGCTTAGTGCGTCATGGTGATTTGTGTTATAGACACTCATCCGGATCTGGTTGAAGTGCTTGGGTTGTTGAATCGCTGAGGCCGCGCACGACTCGGCTGTTCGAATAACGCAAGCAATCCAGGTAAGATAATTGAGGCTTTCTTGTCAAGCTGAGCTCCCATGCAAGCAATCAACAGAAGAGCGCAGGTTGCCATCAGTCATCGCTCGTGCTGTGGCTCGGCGTGCTCAAAAATAGCAAGAGGCAAGAAACCTCAGGCGGAGAAGAGAACTCGAAAGGCCGGACAATTAGCTATCAGGAAATCCCAAGAACAAACTAAACAGGTTAAGGATCCCCAGATGCGAGGTGATCCGGGGAGGGTCCTCGAAGAGATGACGGGCGCTCAACAACAACACTACCATGTTATCCAAAAAGAAAAGAAAGGTCGGCAAACATAGACCGGCAAGAAACGCGGGATCAATTGCTTCTGAAGGAGATCTCCAGGTCTTGCTCGACGACGGTCTAAGATACAATGGGCATAGTAGTCACTAGTAGTAGTTGTTAGTATTCAGGGTCCAACATGCACCAGACCCAATTAGCCCACACTAGGACAAAATAAGTAAGGCTGCGGATGACCCAAAGGAGTAAGCGTGATGCCTCCGACGCTTGTAACTGCTTTCCCCGGCTTCTCTCTTCCTCTTTTCCCCAATACTTTCGTGATACTTTCCACAAGAATACCTGACAATGCGACATCTTCGTCTAATACAATGACACGTCGCAATGAAACGGACCAAGCGGATCGGCCCTCATGGCGTAAGCTCCGACCTGGCCGCCCTCTGATTGGCCCATTCCGGGTCTGGGCCGTTTGGTGGCACTGAACAATCATTACTATTTCTGGTTTTACACACTGCACGGCATTTCTCCTTTTCCTCGAACGTGTGGAGGTGAAGCACTGACGACCCGTCAACGCCGGCTTCCTTTTTTTCTTCTTAGACTCGTTTATCCATGCTTCCTCGCGCGTAAACATCATGCCGCCTCCCCCTTTCCGGGACACACCATCGTCCGCCAAGAGCTCTCAGCGGTACACTCCATTGCACGAATCGATCCCCGAAGAGCTCCACGATAAAGAATATGGCTCGGATGCCGACTCCCTTCCCTTCTCCGACCCATCGGAGGGCGAGGACGACTCCGACATTAAACTCCGTCGTGTAGATCGCAACGGAGCCCGCAGTAATCAAGCCGCCGCCGCCGCCTATGTGCCCGTCGTGCGAAAGTCTGGCGACGTCGAAGCGTATCTGGACAGTATAACCGAGGCAGAGCAGGAGTTGCTCTCGGCAAGTCGACAATATGACATAGAGGATGACGATGACGACGATTCGGACGGATACGGGGTCGGGGTAAAAAGGGGCCAGAGCCAGGGCTTACTACAACGGACAGGCGGTCGTCGGACAGGTTGGCAGACGGTCTATTACTCGAAATATTGGTGGCGCGTATTGATCGGCGTCGTGGTGGTCTTGGTCCTCCTGGTGTTGATATTCCTGAGCCTTGCGAGGTCGAGGCAGGTTGGGGAGGACTTGGATTATGTATGTTGTCTTACTGTCGTCTATAAAATGATCGCGGGAGGTAAGGCGGGGTGTGCTGACAAGTCATAGTCAATGATTCCGGCGGAATCATGGTTTCCTACTCCGCGGGGCGGGACCTTAAAGGAATGGGAAGCGGATTATCAGAAAGCGGCGTTGTTGGTTGGCAGCATGACCCTCATCGACAAGGTGAATATCACGACTGGGACCGGTTGGAAAATGGGCCTCTGTGTGGGTAATACGGGTATGTCTTTGGTATACCCTTGTGTGCCCAACCGTTTACTTACATGCGTAGGGCCGGCCGAATCCGTTCACTTCCCCTCCCTATGTTTACAAGACGGACCGATGGGAATACGATACGCGGATCACATTTCAGCCTTTCCGCCTGGTTTGACTACGGGAGCCACCTGGAATCGCGACCTAATCCGGGAACGAGGGATTGCGCTGGGGTTGGAGGCACGCTTGAAGGGCGTCAATGTCCTTCTCGGACCGTCAATGGGACCTCTCGGAATGATGCCCGCAGGTGGACGAAACTGGGAGGCTTTCGGTTCTGACCCCGTGCTGCAAGGAGTTGCTGCGGCGGAGACGATTAAGGGCATTCAGAGCAATGGCGTCATGGCTACCGCCAAACACTTCGTGATGAACGAGCAGGAACACTTTCGACAACCCTTTGAGTGGGGAATTCCGACCGCGCTGTCATCTAACGTTGGCGATCGTGCCTTGCACGAGGTGTTTGCATGGCCTTTTGCGGAGAGTATCCGCGCGGACGTCGCCAGCGTCATGTGCGCATACCAGATGGTGAACAACAGCCACGCCTGCGAAAACAGCAAACTCCTGAACGGTATCCTCAAGGACGAGCTGGGGTTCCAAGGCTTTGTGCAGTCCGACTGGCTGGCTCAGCGATCGGGCATCAACAGCGCATTGGGTGGGCTCGACATGAGCATGCCCGGCGACGGCTTGCACTGGGCGGACGGAAAGTCCCTGTGGGGCAGCGAACTGACGCGTGCTGTGCTGAACACGTCGGTCCCCATGGAGCGACTGAACGACATGGTGACTCGTATCGTGGCGGCATGGTACCATCTCGGACAGGACCAATGGGAACGGCCATCGCCAGACGGTGAGGGCGGTCCCAACTTTTCCTCGTGGACGGATGACCAAACCGGTTGGTGGCAACACGCTAGTGCCGAGGCAAACGATCTGGCTGGAGGATGGGGTGTTGTGAACAAGTACGTGGATGCTGGCGCAGGACACGGGGACATCGCGAGAAAAGTAGCAGCAGAAGGCATCGTCCTCGTGAAGAATAACAATAACACCCTGCCGCTGTCTCGTAACCCCCCTAGTCCTTACCGCATTGGAATCTACGGTGACGATGCTGGCCCGGCCTTAGGACCGAATGCGTGCCCTGATCGTGGATGCAGTCAGGGCACATTGGCGTCGGGTTGGGGCAGTGGGACAGTGGAATTTCCTTTCCTTGTGAGTCCCCTGGAGGCTTTGCAGGATGCCTGGGAAGCCGACGTCGAGATAACTCCATATCTGCAGAATATGGTGATGCCAGTGGATGTCCAAGATAAAGACTTGTGCCTCGTGTTCGCCAACGCAAACTCCGGCGAGGGATATATCTCTGCTGGGGGCATTCACGGTGATCGTTACGATTTATTCTTGCAGAAGGGAGGCGACACCCTGATTCAAGCTGTAGCTAAAAGCTGTCGGGGCCCGACAGTGGCGATTGTTCACGCCGTTGGTCCGGTCGTCGTGGAGTCATGGATTGATCTCCCAGGCGTGGATGCGGTGCTCTTTGCCCATCTGCCCGGTCAAGAAAGCGGCAATGCACTAGTGGATGTCCTGTTTGGCGACGTTGACGCGAGCGGACGACTGCCGTATACGGTTGGAAAGAGCCTGGAGGACTACGGACCAGGGGCACAAGTGCTATATGAGAACAATGCAACGGTACCGCAAGTTGACTTCTTGGACGCACTGTACATTGACTACCGGTACTTTGACAAATTTAACATTACGCCACGATATGAGTTCGGCTTCGGTCTCTCCTACACCACTTTCGAGTTGTCTAGGCTGTCCATTAAGTCGATGCAATGGAAGTCCCGGCTGCCCAAGTCGCGACCGCAAGACCAGGCTTCCCCGCCAGAGTATGATACTCGTCCACCCGTAAACGAAAACGTGCTGTTCCCGGAAGGTTTCCACGCGCTGGCCAAGTACATCTATTCGTATCTGCCATCGCTGGACGGTACGGCCGCAGCAAATTATACACACTACCCCGACGGTTACGACTTGCCACAACGGCCGTCTGAAGCCGGTGGTGGCCTTGGTGGAAATCCGTCGCTATATGAAAAAATGGCTAAAGTACAAGTGCAAGTGGCGAACACGGGCACCCGCGCTGGCCAGACCGTGGTCCAAGCCTACGTGTCATTCCCATCGGACGTGGTGGAAGATGGCGACTTAATAGAGGTGCCGCTAGACGACCAGGGGGAGAGGGTGACCTTTGTGCGCGACAAAGAGCGGGTCGAATTTCCGGACAGGGTGCTCCGCAACTTCACCAAGGTTGCTCTGGAGCCGGGCGAGAAGAAGACGGTTGAAATGACCCTAAGTCGCAAGGATCTCAGTTACTGGAGCACTCGCCAACAGAATTGGGTCATGCCGGACGGCGACTTTCAAATCTGGGTCGGCCAGAGCTCGCGGGATCTGCCCTTGCACGGCAAGTACTGAAACCGATGCCCCTTCGTTTTTACCTTGTACGGTAAGCGTCATACGTTGTAATTAACTTTATTTCTGCACATAAGATAGATATATATAGAGCAGGCTGCACAGCCGTGAAACATGAGATCATCGGCAATGGAGGAGCCACAGATGCCTCCACAAGGACCCTTCTTCCTTCCCTCTCAGCCACGCGCTAGTCGCACCGGGAAACGGTCAAGACCCTGAGTCGTGGCCAGTGATAATCCGTCGGAGATTACCCACAGGGCCGGCCGATATCCTTCAGACGTGCCGATCGGGCCGATCATTGCTGTTAACCGCAGTTTCTGACGGCAAATTCCTGTCCGATGTGGGTATTGTCTCACATAGATGCTGGCCACATGCGAAAATTATCGCTGCAAAATATGCACCTAGCGTAGCAGCCATGATAACGAAAGACCGAATTTTCTAGATCCCAAGTCCCCGTATAAATAATTCCCTGCCACCCCCTCCCTATCCATCATCTCCTAAATCTATAACATCTATCGTTAAGACCAACCACTTCGGATATAAACAAAAACAATACCATTCAGTCACCATGAAGTTCCTCGCCATCTCCTCCCTCCTTGCCGCAGTCTCTGCTCTCCCTTCCGTCCCTGCCCCCAAGGCTCACAATGAGCCCAATGCCTTCGGTGTCGTCGCCGCTCGTTCGGGCTCTCCCGTCCACTTCCTCACCCTGAACGCCGCCGGCTCCCACTTCTACCTCGGCGGAAAGGCCTCCACCTACTGCCCTGAGAACGTCGAGAAGCTGGGTGCCTGCCCCCCGGGCAAGGAGACTGTTCTCCTGGGCGACAAGTACCTGGTAGGTTCTTCCTCAATCCCGTATCAACCAATAAAACAACCACTGACTCGAAATCCAGAACGTCGCTGTCCCCGGCGGCCAGAGCATCTACGTCGACCCCAAGGGCGCTCTCTCCTTCACCACCCCACACTCCGGCTACACTCCCCCCGGCTCCTCGACTGAGGGCTTCGCCTACAAGGCTGGCAAGAACGGCACCCTCGGCAGCTGGACCTACAAGAACGGCTTCATGGCCTGCCCCACCACCAACAGCACCATCGTGCCCGGTAACCCCAAGTGGCAGGTCTTCGCTGCCTCCAGCAACGCCACCGTCCCCACCGGCACGTCCGGGACTGCCTCGGCTTCTCCGCCGTTGCTGCGCCTTCCAACGGATCCGTCGCTGCCTGGGAGTACATCTAAGCTTGCTCTAAGCATGTTCCTCCTTTGATACCCCTCGGCGAGTAGCAGAACCAAACATACTCGAATGGTATATACGATCCCAAGACAACGAAAGATCCAGGGATATTCGACGCACACCATGTGAAATAACGTACTGGAGTCGAGGATTATGTATTATACGCTTTTTGTTCTGTGAATATGAAATCCGAACTTACTTAATATCTAATACAACACCGTGCATCCAACACCCTTACCTTAAGAATCCAACAAGTAAAAGCAAAATGCAATCCCATTAATCAGCATAATCCTCCCCCTCCACCTCCAGATGTCTCGTATCCTGACCCCTAAACCGCCTCTTCCCCCTGGCCACCCAATCGGCCGCAATAATCGCGCCGACAACGGCATACACCACACAAACATAATTCATATCTGTATTCTCGTTAGTACATTCCACAACACAATTCAACCCAACCCACCCCCCACAAAAGACTCCCCCTAAAAAGACAAAGAACAGAAAAGAAACGTACTGCCAGGAGTAACCGGATAAACGCTCGGAAACGAATAAACGACCAAACAAAAGGCGGTCCAAAATAACACCACCCAGTTACAGAACCACCCGACCTTCCCCAACCAAAAGGTCCATGGGGGATATTCCGCCTGCCCTTGTAGAGCAGGGCGATCACGGGCACGACATAGCTGGAGTACAGCAGAACGATACACGCCGAGACCATGCTATTGAACGCGGTGGAGGAGCCGAGGTAGAGGAGGCCTAGTAATGAGACGACGGTGCAGCTGACGACGTGGGCGTTGAAGGGGACGTCGAGGACGGGGTGGATCTTGGCCAGAAAGCGGGAGAAGGGGAGGCCGTTATCGCGGGCGAAGGACCAGCAGAGCCGGGACTGCCATGTGTGGCAGGCGATTTGGCAGCCGATCCCTGTGACTAGGATTAGGGATTCGAGGGCTATTGCGCCGGGTTTGCTTTGCAGGGCTTGGTGGAAGAGGGCGAGGATGGGGACGCCGGTGGGCGTGGAGGTGATTAGGGCCAGGTCGTGGACGCTGAAGAACATGGCGATGCAGTAGAACCAGGAGGTGATGAAGCCGATGGCGACGGTGGAGAGGATGGCGATGGGGATGGAGCGTTCGGGACGTGAGACTTCTTCGGCCAGGTGGGTGGCGGAGTCGAGGCAGGCGAAGACCCAGTTGGGGTTGATGAGGCCGACCAGGAAGGCGAGGCCGTCGGAGGGCCAGCCAGTCGAGTTAACGAAGTTGGTGAAGACGAACTGGGCGTTGGCGTGCGTGGGTGCGGCCGCGGGTACGGTGATGAGGATCACGGTGAAGGAGATGAGTGAGATGTAGAGCGTTGCGGTGGCTACGGTGGGGAGGGCTTTGCCGACGCAGTTAAAGAGGAAGGCGAAGAGGTTGATGGCTTCGTAGGCGACTACGGAGTGCCAGGGCTTGGGGACGCTGTGGGTTGGTTAGAAGGGTGTTTTGGGG